TAACACGAGAGGGAGAACTGCTCATGAACTCAGATGAGTCCAGGAAGTTCTGTGCAAGGTGTTTGTTTACAGACGGACTCCTATTCTCATGGCTGGAGGACAGCACAGATCCTTTACTTTGAAGCGAGACTCAGATATTAAAATATCAGGATGTCAAGGATCCCAAATAAAAGCCAATATTACTAAATAGCAGTTAGAACATTTATTAAAACATTTTATACTTGATTCGATTTATTACGTTTCCTGATATTACTCTTTAAAACATCTGCTTTGATCTCACTGCCTCTGTTCTGTTCAAGATACCCACAAGAATACTCAACAGCCACAAACAAGGACACTAAACATGCATCAGTAGATCTTCTGATGTTTCCACACCCACACGATCCTCAACTCATTATATTTACGTTTTCATAAAGTTTATTTAATCATCAGAATGAGCTTAACCAAAAAAGTAATGATTCTTTTCATTTTTCAGTAATTTGAAGCAACAAGCGATCAATTTTAAGAAGTTAAAATATTAACATCAAGGCAAAGTTACTGGTAGTAATCCATCCGTTGATTCTTTTCTGCTTATCTGGAGTCGGGTCACTGGGGCAACAGCCTAAGTCTGGCCCAGACATCCCTCTCCCCAGCCACTTGGGCCAGCTCTTCCGGGAGGAACCCCAAGGCGTTCCATGGCCAGGCGAGAGACGTAGTGCCTCCAAAACTCAACAGGTTGAGCGGGTTGTCCAGTAATCGGAAGGTTGCAGGTTTGATCCCGGCTCCAGACAGATAATTCTGCTGTTTTGTCCTTGGGCAAGACACTTAACCCACGCTGCCTGCTGGTGGTGGTCGAAGGGGCCGGTGGCGCCTGTGCTCGGCAGCCTCGCCTCTGTCAGTGCACCCCAGAGCAGCTGTGGCTACATGGTAGCTCATCACCATCAGTGTGTGAACGTGTGTGTGAATGGATGAATGATACACTGTAGTGTAAAGCGCTTTGGAGTCCCGCGTTATACAAGTGCATGTCATTTATCATTATCATTTATCAACGTGTCCTGGGTTTCCCTTGAGATCTCCTCCCGGTTGGACGTGCCTGGAAAATCTCACCAGGAAAGCGTCCAGGAGGCATCCTGACCAGATGCCCGAGCCACCTCAACTGCCTCCTCTCAATGTGGAGGAACAGTGGATCTACTCCAAGCCCCTCCTAGATGGCACAGCTTCTCACCCTACCTCTAAGACACACACCTGCAGAGAAAAGTCTTTTCAGCCGCTTGTGACCGTGAACTCGTTCTTTCAGTCACTACCCAACGCTCGTGACCATAGGTGAGGATTTGCTTTGCCTTCTGGTTCAGCTCTCTCTTCACCACGACAGACCGGTATCACTGCAGACACAGCTACAATCCACATATCGATCTCACGCTCCAGCTTTCTTCACTCGTGAATAAGACCCTGTGTTGTGTGGTGGGGTGAGTACTCCTCATCTCTTTAACATCTTTGAGCTCTTCATTTCAGGAGAGGGAGCTCACCAGCTGCAGGGTATTAGCAATCAGCGGCAGCTGCAGCTTCTCAGGTCATCCGCAGCAGAGCTCTATTTAAGAGGAGAGGGAACCACTACACAGCGCTGGATGATTAAATACTCATGGTAGTATTTTGGCCACTCGTTCTAGGTTGCTTGGTTTTCTAAGTAGATAATTGACTTGGAGAAGTTCTTGGATTATTCTTGGACTCTTGTGTTGGATTTTTGGACTCAAGTTTTGTATCCTCTCTCCAGGATCACTGGACAATCTTCCCTGACGCTCTGGGTTTGTTGGATATTATCCTCCATCCAAGAAGCAGAACCTTACTGGATTACTCACCTGGAAAGAACCATACCTTCCTGGACTTCACGGTTCGCCTCTCCTCTTATTCCTCTGCCACCCTGCCTGGCTCCCTCTCCTGGACTCACCCCGTCACTCCACCTGCCCTCCTCGACCTCCTCCACCTGCAGAACTTGGACTCTCTCTGGCTCCAACTACTCTGGGTTTATTCCAGGGACACCTTTTGTTAGATTCCTTAAATAAATCATTGTTTTGAACTTTTCCCCCATCTTGTGATGATTCTTCATGTCGTGGGTTAAACACATTCCCAGGAACATGACACCCTGTGATACTTAAACTCCTCCACTTGAGGCAGGACCTCATCCCTGACCTGGAGACGGCATTCTGCCCTTTTCCGACTTAAGACCATGGTCTCAGATTTGGAGGAGCTGACTTTCAGCTGCTTCACACTCAGCTTTCAACTGCTCCATCAAAAGCCGGAGATCATGTCCCAATGAAGCCAACAGGACCACATCATCTGCATAAAGCAGAGACCTGATCCTCAGGCCACCAAAACAGTTCCCATCAACACCTTGGCTGCGCCTAGAAATCCTGTCCATTAAAGTTTTGAACAATCTGTGACAAAGGGCAGCCTTCGTGGAGTCCAACTCTCACTAGGAATGAGCCCAACTTTCTGCCGACAACGCCTAACAGCCCATATCAGAGGTCCTCGTACCTCGTACTTCTGGAGTACCCCTACAGGACCCCCAAGGGAGGGAAATCCACAAAACACATGTAGATGTGATGGGTGAACTCCCAGGGCCCTCCAAGGATACAGAACTGGTCCAGCGTTCCACGGCCAGGACAAAAACCGCATTGCTCCTCCTAATCCGAGGTTCAACAATCCAATAGACCTTTTATCTCCAGAACCTCTGAATAGACCTTACCAGGGAGGCACAGGAGTGTGACTAGACTACTGGAGGACATATTGACCACTTTCCACACTCGACTACTTTCTTCTATCTGCTCTTTAACTGTATTATTTCCTGCTATTTCAGCTGTTAACTTTATTTTCTCTCTAAGTGTTTTTCTCCCCAGAAGAAGCTACAATGATGTTCTGCTGAGCTGTGGTGGTCTCATGGAGGGGGCCATCGTCTAGCACACTGCTGCTAACCACTTAAACATTCTCCTTCTCCTGATAATAACTTTTTACTTTCCTTGACGTTGGATGTGCTACTACTAGTTTACCCGTTTAATTATAGATCCACTAGGATAAATACAATAAAGTTTATCTCTCACCAAATAGAATATTTACTAAGAAATCACAATATAACCATAGACACACTACTTGGTGTGTGTGCGTGCGTGTGTGTGTGTGTGTGTGTGTGTGTGTGTGTCGTGGAGGATGGCTGCTTATACTGAGCCAGGATCCTCTGGAGGTTTATTCCTGTTAAAAGGGAGGTTTCCTCTCCACTGTCGCTAAATGCTTGCTTAGTATGAGGTTTGCTGTAAAGTCACTGAAACCAGTTTATTTGCTGGGTTCCTTATATAGGAAACATTTTTTTCTGATTGGCTTAATGACCTGACCTGTATTGGAATGTTTCCTGTGTGAAGTGCCTTGAGACGACTCTTGTCGTGATTTTGCGCTACATAAATAAACTTGAATTGAATTGAATTGATCCCCTGTAGTTGGAACGTATGCGGTCCCCCTTTTTAAATAGGGGGACCACCACCTCGGTTTGCCAGTCAAGTGAAACTGCTCCCGATGTCCACGCAATACTGCAGAGCTGCGTCAGCCAAGACAGCCCTACAATATCCAGAGCCTTGAAGAACTCCGGGCGGATCTCATCCACTACCCGAGCCTTGCCGCAGAGGAGCTTTTCGACAACCTCTGTGACTTTAGCCCAAGAGATTGGAGAGTCCAACCCAAAGTCCTCAGCTCTGCTTCCTCACTGAAAGACGTGCCGGTGGTATTGAGGAAGTCTTCAAAGCACTTCGCCCACCAATCCACAACGTCCCAAATCGAGGTCAGCAGCACACCATCCCCACTATAAACAGTGTTGGTAGCACACTGCTTTCTCCTCCTGAGGCCCCGGATGGTGTACCAGAATCTCCTCAAAGCCATGCGGAAGGCTGTCTCCATGGTCTCACCAAACTCCTCCCATGCCCAGGTTTTTGCCTCTGCAATCACCCAAGCTGCATTTTGCTTGGACTGCTGGCACCTGTCAGCTGTCTCTGGAGTCCCGCAGGGCAAAAAGACCCAACAGGACTCTTTCTTTAGCTTGACAGCATCCCGCCGGTGTCCACCAGCGGGTTCGGGGGTTGCTGCCATGACAGACACTGATGACCCTGCCCTCTCTAGTACCCCCCACAGGATGGTTTGGTAACTTTTTAGATTTTTGGATGATTATGTTTTTCTTACTTTGAAAAATGACCAAGTTATTAAAGAAAATGAAGAACATAGTTTAATGGTTACTGGAGTTAATATATGCAAGCGTCTGTAGCATGGACGTAATTTTGGGGGGGGGGGACAGGGGGGACATGTCCCCCCCACTTTTTCCAAAGTCAAGTTTTGACCCCTGCACTTTTTACCATCCAAAAACAATATTACGCTATATTAAATTGACACTGGTTGAGCTCTAGGACCAAGCAGAAAACAACCGTTTGTGTTGAAGCCTGTTTCCCATTAGAGAATACTGTAAAGACACCCCCCCCCCCCCCACCACCACCACCACCACCGTGTCCCCCCCACTTCTAAAGTGAAAATTGCGTCCATGGTCTGTAGAGGATCACAGTCTAGAGAGACAGTTTTATCTACAGGGACCACCGTTTGATTACAGAGGTATCCATGGAAACCTGTCTATCATCATTTCATGAACACTGTTTTAATCCACAGCCATTACTTGATTACACCGTTGGTCAATATTTTTCAAACTTCACCGAACAGGAGTTCCCTCAAATCATAATCTATAAAGTGGTAGTGATTATAAACTATGAAACAACGTTTCAGGACGTGCACCGTAGACGAGTTCAGTTAAAAAAGCGAACGTGGTGTTCTGACCCGCTTCAGGTGGAGTTTACGTGTTCTGTCTGTGCTTGTGTGTGTGCTTTCTAAAGAAACACGGAATCTTTCCCAAAACGTGTGTATTATAACTAAAAGTTCAAAATCTTGTAGGTGTGTGTGTTGCCTTGTTAAAGACAGGTGCAGATTGTAGTCTAACTGACCACCGGAGACAGGAGCCGCCTTTGTCCCGTCCGGATCTCCTCTCTCTGCTGCGTTTGGGTCCTTACCTCACCAGTTTGACAGAAAAAGAATCATAAAAGAAACAGAAACCATCCTTGTCTTGTTTTAGCTCTGTCTTCAAATGTGACATTTTTAACTTGTAAAATATAATTAATGAGAATTTAAATGAGTGTAATTCATTACTAAACATCAAAATAAATACGGGAATTTAGATGCTAGATGGATGAAATCCCAGGAATGGGACCATCCCAACCTCACAACTCTCTGCACGTCAAGAGTGCAGTTGTTTGCTATCTGTGTGCTTAAAATACAGAGTTATTGACTGCTATGGCTAAAAATAGTTCTTCTGCTCAATGGTCCCCTCTATGTGGGACTTCTTGTGGTATTCAGACTCACAACTAGCTAGTTAAGTCGGGCGAGATATCATATCCACTTTCAAGTTCTGTCCTTCAAGAAACTCCAGACAGAGATCAGCATGTTCCCGGATTGTAGCTTTGCACAGTCTAACAAGAAGCCGCAACAGTCTGGATTTGTTTTATATTCTGGGAAGAGATCAATCTTTTAAACAAGAAACACGCAAAGTCTTGACACATGACACCCTGTTGCATAAAAGTTCATAAAATCACTTTTTACCATTAAATCCTTTAGGGTTGTAACTGCTCTGACTTCCTCTTTCTGAAGATCTACACTCAGGCACTGAGTAAATATGTTCATCCACACAGGCGATGCATGACAGAGCACATATTATTAAGCTATCCGTTTACAGTATACATGTATAGACACTGTGCTATTGCATGCTCTGCAGAGGGAGTTCATCGGGGCGCTCACCTGCGCTGTCACACCTGCGGCGTCTCACATATTCCAGATCCATCCTTTGAAACCCTTCAGTAAAGCTACTAGTGGACTATCAAAATCACAAACAGGATCATGCGGCCAGTGGCGGCAGAGCTTATGCTCTTTTTAAAGAAACTGAATCGTTGCGCCAAAGCATTCTCAGCCCACCCCCTCCCCTCAAAGCCTTCTCTCTTTGAGACTACCATGACATATGATAGCAGCATGCGGGGCTTCTCTTTTAATCTTTGTCATTGCCAGAGTTCACTCATGACACGGGACAGAAAGAACTCCATGTCAAAAGAGACAAATGCACCGAGGACACAGAGTTTTGCTGTAGAGACGCCAACTTTCATGCAAACTGTCTAAAATCAGACAACATGTTTCCACTTGAAGGGACAGGATCTAATGGTAGAGCATGTCTCACTGTTCATTGTTGTGTTTGTTTCCTTTGGTTTTACATACCAAAGTGACTAAAATATCTTAGGCAGGGTTCACATTGTGCAACTAAGAAACAGCAAACGGGGGCTTCTGGTTGACCTACAAGAGTAATGACAGCATGGGTTTTAGCTCCCAATAGTCAAAGCAAGGCAAATACCTTCAAACTCGCCAAGTCAGAATTAAACCGCGTTTACATGCAGCCAGTAACCCTTTTAAAGCCCAAACATTCACAATAACCTGCAGGGGCGTGTCCAGGGAGTGGCCTGGGGTAGCACATGCCACCCTTGGAATCTGATTGGCCACCCCAGGTGCCACCACACTAATTTACCTTTAAATAGGCTTTTCATTGTCCACAAAGGCTTGGGGGTAAAACAAAAAAAGCATAACCATTGGTGCCACCCATGCTGAAAGTTGTGCCTCACCTGGGCCACCCCATTTTAAAAGATCTGGACACGCCACTGATAACCCGGTTCCACAGGTCCATGTAAACACCACCAAAAACCCGGATATGCTCATAAACGGGTTTTTAAAAACCCGGTTACTACACCTGGGGTAACCCTTTTCTAACCCGAATGTTTGGTCGTGTAAACACATACCGGGATACCCCCATCAAAGCGTGTGTTCTGCGCATGCTCTGTTCACAAGGAATCTTGGTCTTTTGAGTAGCGAGACGTCTTGTATGCGCCAGAACTCCGGAAGTAAACAACAAGTTGGGAGCAAAACGGCGAGTCGCGGCACAGCACCACACTTTTGGAGTGACGAGGAAACTAAAGCGCAAACAAATGCGGTCACTATCTCTTCCGAACTGGGAAACATGTTGTTGTTTTCACGGATACCGGAACAAGAAGAACCGGAAATGACGCATATTGCGTCTGGACGTAGTCCACACGTCCTGACGCTACCCCAACGTCCGCATTTAAATCGGGTTATGCAAGTTAGAGGTAACTCTTTCTATTTATGCTTGTAAACGGGTTATTCTGATCAACTCAGAAACCCGAATACCGACCTTAACCCGATCATAACCCGGATGTTGGCTGCATGTAAACGTAGTCCATGTGATCAGTTGAATGTGAACTAGAACTAGAAAGAAAAGTAACGGAAGGGAAGGAAAGGAATGGAGGATGTGTACAATTACTACTTGATAAATGATAAAAATGGCCCACACTTGTGTAGTCAGAGGACACTTTCAGAGTCAGAGGACTCCAGAGTGCTTTACACCACCGTGTATCATTCATCCATTCACACACACATTCACACGCTGATGGTGATGAGCTACAATGTAGCCACAGCTGCCCTGGGGCACAATGATAGAGGTGAGGACCATGCATAATCTTGAACATAGATGTTGCCATTTGATGCATCACACCAGAGTTAGCTGCAGGCAAATTCCCAACTAAAACCTACCCTCAGCCCCATACCCAGATTTAAAGAATCCACACACAACTTTCCAATAAAATCCCCATGGATCACATTTCTAACTGGTACCAGAATAAGTTGCTTCTAAAAAGATGTTCAGAACAATAAAACGTTAAAGGTCAAGTCCACATGTACTGCATGATTTAAAAATAGCTCTAAAAGTCTTACATAGCTGTGAATTTTTAAGAGAAGATTTTGCAGTTTAACATTTTTGACAGAGCCGCAATTCTTTCTGACCTCTGCAAGTGTCATCCACGGCAACGTTACTTTGTAAAAGAGGCAGATCGCCCAAAAGGTGACTGATGAAGTGGAATGAGACACTCATATGCATAGATGTAGTTTTCACTTTAGATGTGTGGGGACACAACCTGCATGAGGAACTGTATACTTATTGTCCTTACAATAAGTATACAAAAAACATGTCAAATGGAATAGGAAACAGGCTTCAACACAAGCGGTAGTTTTCTGCTCGGGGGCATGTTTGCCCTGCACCCACCCACTCCCCACCCCCCAAAAAAATAAAAAACGTCCATGCTCATATGTAAAGGCTGTTATTGTCAATCTCATAGAGCTGGTGGGGCAATAACAGACAAAATCTTGCTAACACAGATGTGCCAAACTAGCTTAACCCTTTAGGCCCTAGGCCTTTTTCCTTTGGGCCCTGGCGCCTCCCAATCGGGGGCCTTTGGAGTTTCATGTCCCAAGTGTCAGTGATGGTTTGCGTTCCACGAGCACAGCTACAATCAAACCAGTTTAGATTGTAAACAAAGCTATTTTCGGATTTTGATACTTTAAGATAAAATAATACTTGAACTTTATTTTAGAAGAGCTGCCCTGAGTGAAAGTGCTGACAGGATGGAGGTTGTGAGTTCAAATTCCATTTAGGAAATTTAGTCAATTGTTTTATTTATTCCAGGGATCCTCAATTACATTTGGTCAAGGTTTTTTTTTCAGCAGACACCAGAGAAGGTCAAATGCTCTTCTTACATTAAAATAAAGTAACTAACTAAAAACATTTTTAAATTTTTATTTTAAAAATAAAACGGAATAAATCTTCTTACTTAAAATAAAGTTCAAATATCATTGTATCTTAATTTATTACAATTTAAAATGGCCTTGTTTCCCATCTGGGCTGATTGATTGTGGTTTTAGTTGTGTTTGGAGAATGTGGACAGTTGTAGATGCTTGGGACATGAAACTGTAGAGGCCCCCAAGTTGATGGTGTACCCAGAACAGTTTTAAGTGGACCCATGTCTTTCATCTTAAAACCTTTTCTTCAACACTTCTTTCACATCGTTGAGTAAGACATTGTCACTTGCTGATTTAATCAAGTCGTCTACCCACACTAACAGAATGACCTTTCTGCTTTCAGACTCTCTGTTGTAGACATAATGATCAGCATCATATTTGAACAAAATCATTATCTATTAGGTGATCATGCAGTAACATTTTCCAGTTACGCCTAGTTTGTTTTAGACCATACAATGGCACGTTCAGTTTACATACCAAGTGTTCTCTTGTCGTCTCTTTTACCTCCAAACCTTCTGGTTGCTCCATATGAACTTTGCATGGAGTTTTGTTCTTGGGCCCATTTGTTGCGGTAAAAGATTTTCCTGATCCGCCACCTGCATCAAGCTCGAACTGAAGTCATATTTGCAGTTGGTCAAAAAGTGTCTGTATTCAGTTCCTTATTGTTGTCCATAGATACCCTTCTGCGACATATCTTGCTTTGTAAGTCTCAGATTCATCTGGGTTTGTTTTTTACTGCACACACCCAACAACCTCCCACTGCTGGTTTACCTTCTGGTAGTGGTGCTAGAGTAAAAGTCTCATTTTCCTTTAAATAGTTCATTTTCTCTCATTGCATTTTCCCACATTTTTTACTTCTTAGACTCTGTAGCCTTTTGAAATGTTGTGGGTACACCATAACTTACTCTAAAGAAATAGTTTGTATGTTCACCGTCGTCATTGTTACCCTCAGGTTTCGACTGGTAGTCCTTTAAAGAGCTTGGAGCTGTTCTCTGTCTAGTAGGATACCTCTGTTCTCCATGTTCTCGCTGCATACTTTCTGTTTGAGTCAAAGTTGTTTCACCAGTCTCATCTACATTTGACCCTTCACTCTCATTAGGTTGTACCTGATCTTGATTGACCAAGTTTGGTAGAGGGTTGTTGCAAATCTCAAAGTAATTTCTCATTGAGACGTCTGTGAAGGTTCTCAGTCATCCAGGTCATTGCAGTCTAATGAGCTTTGAAAGAAAAGCGTCTGGACTTCTTTGAGTTGCTTGAAGACGTTTCACCTCTCATCCGAGAGGCTTCTTCAGTTCTAAGGTCAAATGGTGGAGAGTCCCAGATTTAAACCCAGTGGGAGTTTCCAATGTGTTTATGTAGAAGATCATCAGGGGGTCTTTTGTTCCCTCCTCGGGGGGAACTCCCACTGGGTTTAAATCTGGGACTCTCCACCATTTGACCTTAGAACTGAAGAAGCCTCTCGGATGAGAGGTGAAACGTCTTCAAGCAACTCAAAGAAGTCCAGACGCTTTTCTTTCAAAGCTCCTTAGACTTCTCATTGAGATTTGCGTTTGTTGATTTCTGTTTGTGTCTGACGATCTGCACTGTCTTTGGTAATAGCTTTTACCAGCCTATGTTTTAGGACTTTTCCTACTTCAGTATGATACACATTTTAGTACACATGCCCGCTCCATTTCAAACACATTCTTTATTTTAAATGAGCTGTTCGTCAGAGAAAAATCGGACCATTCATTTCTTACTGAGACGTGGCAGCAAGATGGACATTTTGTGCACTTCAGTGAAATATGCCCACCAAATTAGTCTGTGTTTACCACACCATGCCCGTCACATCATGGTGGAGGTCTTGCTGTGGTCTTTAAGGATAAACATCTTAATAATTTGGTGAAAGATTGCTCTTTTTCTACTTTTGAATGTCAGGTCATCAAAGTAGGGTTACAAAATGTATTTTAAGCTACCAACCTACTGGTCCTGCTGGCCCAATTCTTTCTGAATTTGCAGAATTTCTATCATCAATGATTAAACTAGAAACGTTTTAATTCTTGGTGACTTTAACTCACACATTAATGATCCTGCTTGTATAACAGCAGTAGAGTTCATGTCTATTACAGAGTCTTTTAACTTAGAAAAGCATGTTCCAGGCCCCACACACAAAATGGGCCACACTTTGGGCCATGCTTTTTCTTTGAGACTAAAAATCAACCATTTATATGTTAAAGAAGTTCATGTCACTTCCTACAACATATCAAAGCTCAGTGGCCTAGTGGTAGAGTGTCCGCCCTGAGACTGGGAGATCAGGGTTCGATTCCTGGTCGGGTCATACCAAAGACTTAGAAAAAATGGGACCCAATGCCTCCCCGCTTGACACTCAGCATTAAGGGGTTGGACTGGGGGGTTAAACCACCAAATGGTTCCCGAGCGCGGCCGTGTCTGCAGCTCACCGCTCCCCCAGGGGATGGGTCAAATGCGGAGAACAAATTTCGCACACACATCAGTGTGTGTGACAACTAATGGGACTTTAACTTAAAGTTGAAGTGAGGCATGAGCTTCCTCTTGTATAGACGCTTTCTTTCTTTCGCTTGCTCCTGATTTTCAATGCTGTTTGGAGGCCATTTCTCCTCACAGAGCCAACTGCCTGTTGGCAATCTTGATCACTGGTTGATCAGATGTTCTGTGCGGTCAATCATTGGTGCAAAGCACACTGTGTCGGATAACATGCACTTGTTTTTCTCTCCTCTTGCCTTGCTCTACGTTATTCATGGGCATCTTTACAGAGGATCCATCCGTTTGTACAAAACTGCCCTCTCCAAGGACCGTGGGGCCCTACCATTGACTGTAATGAAGAAACCCTCCACGCTGTCACGTGTGGGTTTCTGAATAAATGAACTGAAGCCCAATAGCGGTTTAATGGAAACTTGTTTTTTCTGAATCCAGGCCTTAGTGTTGGCTTCACTAGCCCTCTTGACAACACACCACGCCAACAAATCAGCGTAATATCATTGCAACGGTGTATCCTATAGACACGCCATGCCGGCATGGCGTTGCACAAATTTTGCGGCATTCGTTCCACCTCGCTTGATAGTAATATTGCGGTACATAGTCTTATAATCGACTATTGCGCCATGGCACAACAAAGGAAGGTGTCGTGATCATATGGGGAGTCAATACCGAGCTCCGTCTGGCAAATATATTGGAAATGAAAGTAAAAATGGGCAATAAGTTTTGCTTTTTCGGCAAAATCAGCTGAGACGGCAAACTGGAGCGCCACAGCGCTCCATGAGCGTCTCTCTGTTAGAGCTGCAGCTCAGATCATAGAGACTGCACAGGGACTGTGGAAGACAGATGCCTTTAGGAGCGGCTTGTTTTTTTTTTTTTTTCTTATTCAAGTTTTTTATTAAGTTTTCCAAATTTTTACATACAAACAAAACAAAATACCCAAATAAACCCCCCCCCCCCCACACACACACACACACACACACAGCACTGGTTAACTCAAAACCACTCACAACCACCATTCATAATAACTTCAAAACATGCTATCCAACCACTTTTATATCTTTTTACCAATAAAAAACAAAATTTCATTCCAAGTTTCACAATATGGGTCTTTTTTTCCCTTCATTTTAGCAATTAATAGTTCATAAGATGCAATCTCCGTCATCGTTATTATCCAGTCTCTGTAAACAGGTGCCTCAGAGCTTTTCCATTTACGCAGTATAACTCTAGCTGCTGAAATAAAACCTGTAAGAGCTAGGGCCCCTGCCGTTGTAGATATATTCGGTATACCCGACAAGTCTCCTAGTAAACAAAGTAGAGCAGTTTCCGGGAGTGGTATACCCAACCACTCTTGCATTGTATTCAGTATTTTTTTCCAAAAAGGTTGAACAACATAGCATGACCACATAGAATGAATAGAGGAGCGGCTTGTTAAAAAAACGTAACTATCGCCGCTTCAATTGCAATAAAAAGCAAGTTATGCCCAAGATAAACGTAAGTCTGCGGCATCGCAGAGACCGCCCCCGTACCTCCTTTATACCGCCATTGCCTAATCTTTTCTAAAAAAGGATTGCACCACATTATCGCCACGGTCCGACCACTTATAAACGACCAAAAGGTCCCTGATGCTGCCACGGCTTTGTGGCCAATTGACTGCATTGTTTTGTAAAAACTACTGCTTTTGGCAAGTGGAGTTTGGGCCTTTGGGCCTACTCACACCGCATGTTCTGCATATAGGAAGAGGCGGGACTGACCTCCAGCTACTCTTGTGTCACATACAGATCAACTCACACACCCCACCCTCTTTATGACGAGCACACTAACTCGACTAAATGGAATCGCAGCGTGTCTATCTCTATAGCTCTTGTGATGGGACGCACACATCTTCAGGGGTGTACAGAAGTCTAGTGGCATTCGGATCACCTGGATTAATTAGAATTATTTTTTTCTGCAATTTAAACAGCAGCAGCTCTTCTGCTCTTTAATCATTCTTCTCATCCAAGAAACCATCAACGAGTCTTGGGGAACTTTGACCTCGCTTCTAAAGTCTCTGACTGCACACTTTAAGCAACCCTCAAAAACGGATGTTGTTATGCCGTGAACCAGATGTCTAGGCACCAGTAAAAGTCTAAAGTATTCAGTTGTCTACTTGAAAGTTGTAGCACATAAAATTAAAGGATAGAATAATTTTATGGTGTTCAATCCACATTTTCTTCTGTCAGGAGTCGTTGCAGCAATCAGTGTTTACAGACCGTCGATCTTAAACTGAAACAAAGTTTGACTCTTTGAGTTATCTTTATCTCAACTTTTGACGAAATCAAGCTTTAATCAATAGCTTTCAGTTTCACAATCACCTAGTGTGTCAACCCATTTTGCTGCCTCGTTTCCATTAATCAGCGATTGTTGTTAACATAATTAGTCTCACGCGATAATCAGTTTGGAACTTTAAACACTCAGAAGATTGGATCAAAAAAAAACATGGCCAGAAAGCACATTTCCAGACAAAACTGGGACTACAAAGTTTGAGCTTATTAGTTTTACTTTTACGCCTTTTATGATGTTTGAGGATTATCTGCAGTCATTCATCGAGGTTAATAGAAGTTAGGATCACCAAAATGATTATTGGCACTTTTAGTGCAGATCAGCAGGAAATTCCAAGCACCTCCTGTTTCACCCTGTAAAGGTAAAGACCGAATAAAGCAGCGTAGCCACTAGCAGAAAAAATAACCTCGCGAGTGTAGGGTAACAGAACGTTAGAAACAGGCTATTGAACCCTTCCAAGCAGGCTTAATCCAAAGAAGGCTACATCCACAGAATCCCTGTTTCAACAACTCTTATCTATAGCAGTGATTTAGGGGAGGTGCTGTTAAAATCTGCACACTTAAAGAGGCAGCCTAGTGAAGATCACTCACAAGCATGAAGGGATTCAGTCACTTGTTCAGCCTACAGCTCTCAAAGATTGTTGCATGATAAATGTGGCATCAACTCCGTTTGGGCAACATTTCAGACTGAAGCGGAAAGGACTCGAGGTGAGGATCGTTTCATTCATAAAATCGTAGTTTTTAAACTTTCAGCTGGGAATTTCACTTCTAACATTCAGGACAAATGTAGAGCAAATATTGTTTTTCTGATCTTTGCCTAAAATGGCTGTAGGTAATGACAGTTCTGTTTGAAATAGGGCAACCAAATACGTTTTTAAAGTTATGCTTACTCATCACTGAACATCTGATTAGTCTTCACCACATCTATTGTCTAGATGTTCTGGCATTCTTTGTGGTACTGGCTTTGGTTGGTGTTGCATGGATATGGGCTTCCTGTAAATGCTGCATTAAATGTTTGACGAAGAAGAGGAAAACCAAGTTATTTGTTGATAACTTGCAAAATAACTAAAATTGAAAGCACTGCCCTAATGCTCACCTACTGGTAAACATTTTATTCTTTTATCTTGAGAGAGGCGCTATATAAAAAGTTATATTTTTCTCCATTCTCACTGCATAGATTCATTTGTTTTCTTACGAGAGAAGCTCTGGCTCCTTCCAGGTAGCTACAACCAATGTTCTGTCCCAGTGGAGCTCCAACAAGACAGAAATCATTCACAATAAAAGAAGACAGATGGGATTTTTTGGAAACTTGTTTTTAACACCAAATTAGCTCAAATACTAAAGCATGGAGCTTTGAGCATTCACAGGTTTACGTATCTCGAAATTTTGTTCACAAATGAGGGGAAGATGGAGAAGGAGATGGTGAGGAAGATTGGTGCATCTGCAATGGTGCGGGCGTTGTACCGGTCTGCTGTGGTGAAGAGGGAGCAGGGCCGGAAGGTGAAGCTCTTGATTTACCGGCCTATCTATGTTCCAACCCTCACCTGTGGCCACGAGTTTTGGGTAGGGATCAAATTAGATCATGGATACAAGCAGCCGAAATTTGTTTTCTCTGCAGGGTGGCTGGGCTCTCTCTTAGAGATAGGGTGAGAAGCTCGGTCATCCGGGAGGGGCTCAGAATAGACCCGCTGCTCCTCCACATCCAGAGGAACCAACTGAGGTGGCTCAAGCATCTGGTGAGAATGTCTCCTGAACTCCTCCCTGGTGAGGTTTTCCAGGTACGTCCAACCGGGAGGAGACCCAAAGGAAGACCCAGGACACAATAGGGGGACCATGTCTCTCAGCTGGCCGGGGAATGCTTTGGGATTCCCCCGGAGGACCTGGCCCAAGTGGCTGGGGAGAGGGAAGTCTGGGCCTCTGCTTAGGCTGCTGCCCCATGACCCGCCCTCAGAAAAGCGGAAGGCAATAGGTGGATGAATGGATGGATGAATATTGACAGTTTAAAACATTTTTATGTTACTAATACTGATTAGTGGTCACCATGCTGATTTGGGTTAATCCTCAAATTCAACTGGATTTAGATGTAAAATTTCAATAGAATATTCTTGAAGACTACACAAAATATACAGATCTTAGCAAAAATATTATCGCCTACCTTTGGGGTCAGGTTGATTTAAAATAAATAACGTCTATAATGAGATTTCCATGTTTGGTCAGTACATTATCTTTAAAATCAATGTCTTACACCACTGACTAACAATAACTGGTTTGTGTTTTACAGCGATGACTTTACCTCCAGCCTTGGCATTCCTCCTGCTGTTTTCATTGGCCTTTCTACCCAGAGGGGATGGTGGGAAAGTACTGGTTTTTCCAGTGGACGGGAGCCACTGGATCAACATGAATATCCTTGTGGAAGCAATGCATTCTCAAGGCCATCAAGTTACAGTGCTTCGCACGTCCACCAGTTGGTATGTTTCTGAATTCTCGCCCTACTACACCTCTATCACCATCTTCCAGGACAAGCCCCAACACCTGGAAAGCCAAGATTCCATGACGGAGTTTTTGAACAGAGCTCTAGAGATTCGCCGGAACAGAGGCTCCTTTTGGGGATTTTTTGATTTTTACAAAAACTTCTTTGAACTGTTTGGAGAAAATCATAAAGATGTGGCAAAGTTGATCATCAGCATCTTTGAGAATAAGACACTCCTTAGAAAACTAAATGAATCTGGATATGATATTGTTCTAACAGACCCCGTATTTCCAGGTGGAGTGTTGTTGGCACACTATCTCAAGCTTCCTTTGGTTTTGAACGTACGCTGGATCATCAGTGGAGAGGCCCATTTTGCTTTCGCTCCATCTCCACTGTCCTATATTCCCGTTGTGTTCTCACAGTTGTCTGACCAGATGAGCTTCATTCAGAGAGTCCACAACATGATCCATTATGGGATGTTGGTTTACATGTACCACTATGTCTCCAATCCACCATACCAGGCGGTGTGTGATGAGTATTTAGGAAAGAATGTAAGCATCATGTCTTTAATGCAAGCAGCTGATCTCTGGTTGATGAGGGTCGATTTTACCTTCGAGTTCCCTCGTCCCACGATGCCCAATGTTGTCTACATTGGAGGTTTCCAAGGTAAACCTTCCAAACCTTTGCCCTTGGAGTTAGAGGAATTTGTGCAGAGCTCTGGTGACCATGGAATAATCGTTATGACTTTGGGCACACTGCTGAGTGATCCTGGTCCTGAGTTATCTGAGATGATTGCATCAGCGTTTGCTAAACTCCCTCAGAAGGTTGTATGGAGGCATGTTGGTAAAAGACCAGCCGCTCTAGGGAACAACACCATGCTGGTTGACTGGCTACCTCAAAATGACATCCTTGGCCACCCTAAGACCAAGGTCTTTGTCACACACGGGGGCACCAACGGCATCTACCAAGCTATCTACCATGGTGTGCCAGTCCTGGGTATGCCACTTATCTTTGACCAGGATGACAACATGGTCCGTCTGAAGGCCCGTGGAGTTGCAGAGACACTTGAAGTGGCATCGTTGACTGTTCAGTCTCTGACAAATACTTTGAAGACTATTTTGGAGCGAGAACATTTCTACAAGCAAAATATGATCAAACTGTCACAGCTTCACCATGACAAACCAATAAAACCCATTGATAATGCTGTATTCTGGATGGAGTACGTCATGAGGCACAAGGGAGCCGCACATTTGCGCACCGAGTCATACAGGCTGCCTTGGTATGCCTACTATTGTCTAGATGTTCTGGCATTCTTTGTGGTACTGGCTTTGCTTGGTGTTGCATGGATATGGGCTTCCTGTAAATGCTGCATTAGATGTTTGACGAAGAAGAGGAAAACCAAGTTGGAATGAAAAGGACTGCTGCTTGCTAATGGAAAGCTTTTTAAGTTGCTGTTAAGTTTTGTAAAATTTTAAGTTGCTGTCTGACATAAGGGTTGATCTCAGTATAATCACGTGTTGATGAACTTCCTGTTTTTTAAAACTTGTGAAATTCCAAACAGGAACAGAGCCCGCATAACAAGGACGACCTTTTCTCTTCACATGTAACATTTCTGTAAAATATAATTAATGTTTTATTTTGTTTTTTTGAGTTTAGCAATCAAAATGAATACTTCAGTGCTATCTATCATCTTCCAACTCTGCAGAGGAGACCTTTTTGATCTGTGTGCATACTGCCAATAATGCTACTACTGAAGTCATGGTAGCATCAATTTTATGAACAGTTTTCTCTTTAATGTGTATTTGTTTACTAAATCAGTTGAATAAATAAATGCTGATCTGTGTCTACGAACAACACTCATCACAATGTTTCTTGCTCTTCACATAAACTCAGTAAGTCAATAATTGTTTATATATGGATGGATGGATCGAGAATTTTATTTTATCTTTGACTCTATTTCCAAAACAGTAAGGGATCTGCAGAGGGACCTGAAAGGTGTTTGTTCATTCTGATCACACACGGCTGGTCTACTATGGCCTCAGGTGTCTGGGGCTGAGGCCATCTGGACCTGCAGCCTTGTTCTACAGCTGTATCTTCACAGACAGGAGAGGGAAAAGAGTCTGCTGTTGTGGTTGATGACAACAATGGAGCAGCAGCAGAATCTATAACCGTGGTGGAAGACAAAAATGTTGAGATTTAACAGGGAAGCTTTGGGTCATGGGAGGTCAAGAGGCACCTCAATACCTTCTCATCAGTATGGTGTAACACATAACATCCTCCTCCTTAATATTAATGCACCTGAGATGCAAGGGCGCCCCCAAGGGGTGGCCAGCGGTGGCCATGGCCACCCCTATAAAATTGCTGGCCCCCCAGGAAAAACCAGTGTTAACAAATTATATTAATGTTCAGTCAAACCATATATTGATCTTGTTTATTCAAGACATACTTGTAAAACAAAATAAAAATATTACAATTAACAAGTAAAGAAATAATTTCTGCTGCTCACCATTTAAAAAAAAGTTTTTATTTCAATAGTTTTTTTTAACACAGCAACGGGTGAATTAACCTAAAATAATACAATTTTAAATTAAATCAGGGCAGTGGCGGTTCTACATCGAATTACTCCCCGGGCGAGGCCCCCTTTGAGCGCCCCCCCCAACAGCCCCCCACCACCGCCAACACACCACCCCACCTGCATGACCACGCATGTTTTCTACAAACAGGCATGTTTTATTAGAATGACTATTGAACATTCATTTTTCTAAGTTGCACATATTTACATTAATTACTATGAAGTTGTCAGAATGTAAAGCAATATACATTATATACTGTATCAAAATATATAGAATCAAATATACAAAAACAAACAATAACTAAATATTAAGAATATATGAACATAATAGATAATAAATATACTAAATAGCAAAAATATTTCACACATAACAAACTAAAGATAATCACTACAGCATTGCACTTAGAATAGAAAACACAAACTAAAATTAAAACCTAACCTTGATGCAACGTCATCAATAATGTCATCATATGAAATCTGCTCCCCTACTGAGTGATTGATACTAATCAGAGCCAGGTTAGTGAGCCGCCCCTGAAACATAGGTGACCTCAGGTATGACTCGATCAAGTTTTGAAAAGCTCCTCTCAGCTTGAGCCACAGTGACTGGCAGAGCAGTCCAAAAGTTGGGGTAGATCTCCAATAGATCTTTATCATGATCCATAATATTTTAGAAACGCCTCTGAAATTGTAATTTAAACTGACATAAAAAACTGTTGACTACCAAAAATGCCAACTTTTACAGAACAAATCATGTAAAAAATAATCAGTGCAGCCATCTGCAATAAATAAACAGGATAGTTAGTGGTGACTGGGGAGTTTTCTTCTGCTTGTAGAGTTGTTTTATTTATTATTATGTGAACTTGATCAACATGTGTTTGTTGTTGTTCAGGCAGGCCACGGGCTGCAGTGAGCATTTAACAAATCCTAGTTTGAATCAGTAAAAAATGATTGAAGGAATTTTTTTAACCGTTAAAATCCCAGTTAACTGGTTAAAAAATATAAAACATGCATCATGAGAGCTACATTACTTTATCTTTCTCCTCTTTTTTCTTTTTATTCCTGAATGGGGCACCTGGTGGTTTTAGCCTTTTTATGTCCATCTCTTCTGTTTGGCTCCTGACTCAGTAAGTTTCCTTTAGTCAGGACTAAACAATTTGACCTTGATGGGGGGGTGACCACAAAATCGTTTTGTTTTTCCTTTTTTTTATTCGGCCATTTCACACAATTCAGAGAAACCTGAAAGAATGATAGGCCTGTGTTTATGATATTATGAATGAAATATGGAAGAACGTTAAGATGTGATTGACTTTAGCCATGTTAATACAGTTGATTCAGCCCCTGCACGCTCATTTCATTTGGGAAAGACGCAGAGGTGAATTCCCCCGCCGCACCCCTCCCCTTCCTGTTCTTCATAGACACACGGTACACGTGAACGTTCTCAGTCAGCAGGAGCGCCTGCAGCTGCAAGGGGCGCCAACTTGCTGTTTCCAATCCAGACACTGTCAGATAATAGAAAACCTCGGTGCGGCGCAGATTTCCTTTTTTTTTTTTTTTACTCCGTGCTTGTGCGCCCCTTTTGTGTCATGAAAAAATGCCGCCCCGGGCAACTGCCCTGTCTGCCCGTGCCTAAAACTGCTACTGAATCAGGGATACCATTTTAAGTAACTGAAATGTATATTTCTGAAATATTTGTGTTTGTAAAATTTAAGTTAAATGTTTTGAATACGTACTGTTATTTTCATCAAAACGAATAAAGGAGCAATGCAGTACATCACCACAGGCTAAATTCTCCCAGAGTAGCCACAAGAACCAATTTGGTGTGCCACCCCAAAAAAATTTTTGGCCCTATCTGGCCGCCCCTATCAAAATTTTCTGGAAGCGCCCCTGCTGAGATGATCAAAACAAAAACATTTTGTTGAGATTAGGAGGCTAAAATCTTCCCATCTAGTTTAATGGAACCAAAGTTTAGTTCCAGCTTTAGGCCACAAGAGGGCACCAAATCACCAACCACCCCTTCTTTTCTAAATGATTTTTCAGAGCAAGTGTGTGTAGTTTCAGCAAGGTTTTTTTATTAAGTAAAAGTTGTTCCCTCTTCTGCTCCTCTTCTTTTTCCTCCTCCTCCTTCTCCTCTTCTTCCTCCTTCACCCGATGCCACCAAGAGGACAAAAAGTTGACAATTTTTATGTTTTAGCTTTAATGAGATGAGAAGGCTAAAGTCTTACTAAATTATGTATAGAACCAAAGTTTAGCTTCAGCTTCTGCCACTAGAGGGCGCCAAAACATTAAAAATGGATTTACAGTACTAGAACCATCGACATAAATAGACGACTAGAACCCAACTCTTTCGAGATTAAGAATCTTTGCTGCCGTCTGGCGGTCACAACCTGTTACTACGGTACTGTTCACAACGCTACACAAATGGAAGTCATTTGGACTTTCTGTAGATTTCTTCAAAATTAAACAAGTAAATCTACAAGCTCAAGCAGGGACTATTAGCAGCTAGCTACATTGCTACAAACCAAGCCCCCACAAAAATGCACTCCAACCCGGAATGCAGCTTGCAACAATTGCTTTCTAGTACAAAACCAAAATTTTCAGCAACATAAAATGAGAAAAGTATGTTATTAATCACAAATATTGTGTTTGCGTGGTCAAAAGATTGAAATGTATGAACTTGAGATTCAACTGGTAAAAACACTCTCTTTAAAAAGGCTTTAAAATATTTTTCTTATTTGTTCATAATTTTAATAATAGTTGCTTTAATATTATTACGGTTATACATGCGCCCATAAATCTTTCGTCTTTTCCTCCGGAACCTTTGTTCTGGGCGAGAAACAGGAGACCGGATATTTGTCGGACGAGCCGGAAGATCTCTGAAGTCACATTCACGACGAAACTCCGGTATCAGCAAAAACAGGTGATTTATCCACTTTTTATTAAATAATTTGTTCATTTATTCCTCCGTAAAATCTGAACTCTACACTTTCTGACTTCAGTGTTTTAGAAAGGCAGTGAATTCGAAAGCTGCTGCTAGCTAGCTAGCTAGCGCAGGTTTGACAGGCCAATCGGACAATGGAGACATGCATTTTGTTTACGAATATAACTGTGTTTTCCTCATTTAATAAATAAATGCATAGTAACACCATTGTATTCTTCTAGTTTAGAAGGTATGGAAGGACAGCGATAACGTTTTTGTTAAATCAGATTAGCTGACCGTCGGTAGGGCCAGTGATTAGAAAGTAGGGCTGACACGCACCATCTTTTTCGTGTTTTATAAGTAATTGTATGAATCTATATTCTCTGAGGTTAAATGGCGGCTTTAAGCTTCTGACAATAATATTAAATAGGCTTTATGACTGAGTGACAAAAAGTACTAAATAATTAGTCCATTTACTAACATTTGTCAGTAACATACAATTTTTTAAATACACCTAAAGCAAAACTCTCATCAACCAGAACTCTAAAATGTTCCTGTAAAAAAGTTGCATCGAACTGTTTTGGGGAAACATTTGTTACAGTTGCAGATTCATTTTTGGGGTTGTATAAAGACTTAATGAAACTTTTCTGTCCTCTTTGCAGAACCTCCACCCACCCGGACCAGTCCTCATGCCTTTAGTTTGATCATCATCGATGATGTTTGCCTTGAAGCTTGTCCCGCGGTTCAGTTTAAGTAGAGCAACTTGTAAGTATACTCTTTTGTCGACTACTCTCGCTACAGTTTTGCTCCATTCACGCAGCACCTTGACTAAACTTTGTTTTCCTCTGTAGTCGATATGCGGTGCTATTTTAGTCCTATATGTCTAAAGGCTGTTGTGGTATAATCATACAAAATGTGATATGAACGGGATTCGTAGGGTTGACTCTAAAAAGTTAAATTTAACTAGATGTGATTTCATTCGATTGAGATATACTTTTTTTGTCGATCCACTAATATAACCAACGGCTTTTCATTTCTGATTTCCAACGCGGAAAACGAAAGTCAAAATGTCTCTGGTTTATCATCACATCAAAATTATGTTGCTGCCTTTTGGGAAGAGGATTGGAAACAACCTGTTTGTAATAAAATAAACACAAAGTAACTCACAATAACAGGACTCTTCTTTTTATTCCCAGATGCCCTTCAAGCCCATGGAGGAATATTACATGGTTGCACACACCCGGCCATTCCTCTTTACTGCTCCTCACTGCAGCAGAAACTCAGAAACTACGCAACAGCAGCGGACAACACATCTCCTCCTCGATGGATCCAGCTAGAGCCAGAACTGGATGAGGCTCTCATCCCACGGAAGCTGTCAGTGAGTCCTCTGGAGAGCTGGCTGTCGCTGCGTTACTCCCTCCCTCCCCTGACAGAGTCTCCTCAGCCACAGGAGGACATTGGGCTGCTGGAGGAGAAACTACTGCCGTCTGTCTCTGTACCCATTCTGGAGGACACGGAGGGGTCAACAACTCCTATCAGATGTAAAAATGATCTAGAGATCCGGAGGCGGAAGATGAACCGGCACAAGTACAAGAAGCTGCAAAAGAGGACCAAGTTCTTAAAGCGGAGAGTAATGGAGGGCAGGGGGAGGAAGAAGCAGGTTAGGAGGACTTTTCTTTACTCTTTAGGCTTGTTTCCACTGTCAGAACTTCTGGGTAATTTTCCCGGATCTTCCCGGTGTAGGCGCGTCTCCACGTCATCGGGCTGGGTGAATGGTTTTACGGGCCATTTTCAAAAACTGAGTACCTGAACAGGTTTAGGTACTCAGAAAGGCCCAGTAGTGTGGCTGAGCCAAACTTTTGGTTAACTCGCGCTGATTGGTTGTAGGAAATGACATCAGCAGACATCATCCAAAACAAAAGGGTTGCTTGTGAAACAGAATGGGGGTACGAGCAATAAGCACCATTCAATCTGCTATAAATTGGCGTTATTAAAGTCCCAGCGTGAAAAACAAAGTAGAATTCCCCCACAAAGACCTAATTCACAGGTCCTTGTCTCGTCCTCCAAATGGATTGAATTGCTGTTCTTGAACAGATTAAAACTTGTAAAGTTACTGTAGACACTTTTTGGCGCTGATCAGCGACAATCACTTACTGCCGAAGCGGCTGCGCTATGCTGGCATCTGTGCAAAGTCCTAAAAGGGCTGAGTGTACGGAGACCCACCAGCTGAGAGGACCAGGCCATCTAATTACCCCTCCCCAAAATTACCCTCGAGTTCCAACAGCGGAAACACGCCTTTTATTTACCGTTTTATAAAGTTCTGTTGAGTATGGTCATAAATATTAACTTGCATATTTACAACTCTGTCGTGTGCAGAAAAGGTTTGAGGAGGACCTCAAGAGGATTTGGACACGAGCTGGACTGAAGAAAGCTCCAGAGGGATGGACGACACCTAAGATCTTTATTAAACAACATGGAAACAAGAGGAACTGAATAACCAAAGCAGCTGGTGTTTGTGCTGCGTCCTTCTCTCTGGACGAGCCTCTTCAGCTCACATCACAGACTGCTGCTAGCGCTTCACGTCTGTTTTACTTCAGTTAAAGTGCATGTGAGCACTGAGGCCAGATCCCCTGTGTGCATGTGTTTCTACAGTGTACAAAATCTAATAAAGATCTCTGCCAAGTTTAGGAAATATGCGGGATTCAGTTTCTTTATCCGATCACCGTTTTGATATTGAAATGGTGCTGGTAGCATTTTCCTGTTTACTCCCTAGATGGCAGTGTGGTGAAGAAGTTGCATCATCTTGGCATGATTTTTTCTTTTTCAAAATAAGAGCCAATTAGATGTATATGAACTCATTTCCAGGTTCTAAATTCTGAAAAGGTAAGCAGCCCACGTAAAGCTTTTAAATGGAAGCAGTTTAAAGCAACACTAGCTGTGTTCCAGCTACGCTGTGAGGTGGTTTCTCCAGCTTGACTCACAAATTCAGACAGGCTTGTTGCTGAAAACAAACCTTTTCAGGACAAAGATGGCAATCAGTTCATCGTTTATCACTTCTGGTGAATGTTTGTCATTTTCAATAAATCCTAATTTCTTGACATTATCTCAGTCCTTTGAAGCATGATCTGACCTCTGTCAGGATTTGTTTCCCCCCAGAGGCTGTAGACATTTTTTAAAAGTTATTTTAAGGAATATTTCTAATTCCCACCTATAGACGTACATTTTCACACATGTATTTGACAAATATTACCCCTCTGATGCGTGAATTATGAAATCTTCAAGCATGATTTTTTAAACAATTTTTTTCATTCATCTTTAGGTGTGAATGAAACAAATTTCAACAAATATTTTTTGTACTATTTTGTTCATTTACAAATAATTTATTACATGTCCGTCTCAGTGGACAGCGTGCATTCTGAACATGAAATATGGTGGCTTGACTTACTGAAGTCCAAATGGAGGGGCTCACATGCAATAAAGTCTTCAACAGCTGTGCTTAATAGCAAAAAATAAAGAAATAACAATTTTGAGTACCTGTCCACTGTAGTGACCATTATGCATCAAAGGGTTAAATCATTATTTTTAGAGCCAGATGTGGTTTGTGTGCAACAGCTGTCCACTGCAAGGGTTAAAAACCTTCAAACTGGTGCTCTTTAACAAAGTGTGTGTGTGTGTGTGAATATTTTTAAGAGAATCTTGAACGAGTAGAAACAGGCTTCTAGTACAAACAACAGTTTGTCTGATAGACGAGTCTTCTCAGCACAAAGCAAGCATGGGTTGGTGTAGGTGAGGAGTGCAGCAGCAGCAAAACTATGTCAGGATTAAATTTCCATGGCTGATGGAGGCGGAGCTTGTTGAAGCTCAGGACTACAGGAACACAACTGAACTCTGCTGCTGACTAAACTTCTGAGTCTTTATGCTTTTCAACAACGGATAAGTGCAGGCCACCTCTGACGGGCTACAGGCACTGAGAAGAAGACTCGCTTGGAGATGAATCTGCTCAAGAGTAAGTCCACATTTGGGTGTTTTTGTCTTTTCATCAAGGGAGAAGAATCCTAAAAGGAATTTTCTTTGTCCAATAATTGGATCCAGGTGAGAGATGCCTTTCCAGACCAAAAGCAGACCATGTTGCTCCTGCTTCTCCGTCATATTCATAGGTTACAGTCACATTTGCATCAACAGCCTGTCACCATCAGTGGGTTTAGATTGATCTCTTTCAGCACAGATGGGTTTTTCTGCTCCTGACAAAAACGCTGGATAGTGAGGCAGATGATGGGATTTTTCTGTCAGGAGAGTCAAGTTCTGCGTTTTCATCACGTTTCCCCACAGAAATCGGTTTCTAATGTGTTTATTCTAAAGCCTGGTCTTGTTTTAGGACCTTATATTGGAAACATTCTCTACAATGGCTGTTATTCAGGTGTCTTAAATGTCTTCCAGAATGGACTAAAAGACTGGATCGAGTGTGCACCTTTGTTTCTTCTATAAGTGATTACTGAGGAGAGTTTTTTCATAAAGATAAGCTCTGGCTTTCTGGGTTTTACAGGGTTGTGAATGAGGGATTTTTTCCCCCTTTGTGGCTCCGGCCCAATGTGTTTCCAGTTAACTTGTGGTCAGAGTGAAGGAGTCAGCACAATCCAGCAGCCAGTCGTTAGACGTGTCAGTAATGAGTGTTTTACCTCGAGCTGGTCGTTTTTCCAGTCTGGACGGCGTTTAGGAGGAGGAGGGCGATCCGTTCCTAACATGTTTATGATGGCTGGGTCTGTTTAATGATCAGCCACAAACAACAGGGCTTGGAACAGATTTGAATGATTGTTTAGAGCAGAACAAACACGGGAGCATGCAGCTACTAATTTCAGCCAGAAAATAACAGGGTTCACAACAAGATGGTTTACGTTCTGGAAAAGACCCAGTGAGCAGAAAGTTGCCCACACACTCAGAAAAACGCCTCGTACTTTTATAACTTGGATATTTGCTGTGATCAGATGGATGAAATGACTTCCAGGTCACTGGTACTGTTGTTACCGGGCAGCTAAATGAACAGAACCACATAGTCACGTCATGCTGTCTCATTTCTGCTGGACAGTGAATAACCCCTCCAGATTCTTTGTAAATCAGTCGAGTCTGCAGCTGCTTTTCAGTTCTGATGTGTTTGAAGTTGTGATCGGAAGGCGAGTAACCTTCACAGACCTGCAGTACTCACACATCACAGACATTTAGTAGACTGGAGTTATTTTCTGAGTTTTGATCACACGTGCAACCTCTTGGTCTGCCACACAGTTCGTCAAGATACGTGAGGATGGAATTGCAGGGATGTCTGTTATTGTCACTGTTCAACCATATGCTGTCACAAGCCGTCTGAAACACAACTACATTCCACCGATTTAACAATATATGACTAATTATCCAGTATAGACGCAAAAACTCAACAGAACTCTAACGGGGCTTCATTGAAATGGAACCAGGAGCTGTTAGCCTCCTGTTCTTTATGATCAGCTGGGAAAACAGGAAGTTTATTCAATTCAAATTCAAAAATACTTTATTAATCCCAGAGTTTCAGTACACACAATTCTGAGATCAGACATACATACATAGACACATGACAAGAATTGGTGACTGTGGTCATTCGCAACCCGAGTCGCGCTACCTTAATAGATTAAGAGGGTTTATATGAGGATTGAGTCAGGGGGAGGGGAAAAATGGCACTTCAGAGGTACCCTCCACAGGGAGGCAGCTTTGCTATGCAAAAAAACACCTCAGACAGATATGCACACAGACTTCAGACATTACACAACATAAGGATCCACTAGGTGGGGAGGTAGAGTTGGGACTCTCCTCACTTCGGTGTGTGCAGCTGCAGAGCAGCGCTCATCACCTCCGTTTGGACAGGGGAAGGAGATAATGGGTTAGAGGGCACAGTGACTCCTGGAAACGATTCCACGGCCTTCACCGGTCACAGTCCCGCCCAGGCTGGGATAGGGAGAAAGGGTTTCCATAGTGACGGCAGCATTCCACATTTCTTCTGAGGGGGGAGTTTTCACTTCAGCCTCACAGGCTCAAGGGCACCAGATTCAGATAAGAATTTTTTTGGGGACAGACAGAGATAATTTCCTCTCTGTCTTAAAGTTCTGCTGGTCTTCAACCCCTCTAAATCCAATAATGGCATAATTAATCTATCCCAATCCGTGTTGATCCGTCAACTTTCTCCTTGATGGTATCCACCTTCTGGGTCAGAGTCTGAATCTCAGCCAAAGTTCCAAGCTTATGACTCAACTCGACAATTATATGAGTTTGTGCTTTCACAGCGCGATGCATGCCATCCCTGAGCTCCGGGATTGAGCCAATATTCCTCGAAAGCTCATTAATTTTCCGGTAAGCCAGGTGCTCGCTCAGGCCAAACAGCAGAAATCCCGACACCAACGCCACGAATATCCAAACGTCTTCAGAATCCTCTACAGACAGCTGAGAGAGGCAGATCAGGTTCCGCTGTTTCCAGGAGTCCATGATATGCCCAGCTGGCTCTGTCCCAGAGGGGCATCCGGGAGCCCCTTCTCCCGCTCTCATCGTTGAAAAAATTTTGTCAATCACATTGAGAGACCCACTGACCAGATCCATTTTTTAATAATTTCCAGTTTCCAGAAAAAATGCAGAAAGCGCCGTGCACAAGACCGGACAAAGAGCCTTGGGATAAGAGAGGGAGAGGAGAAAAAAAGCGTCTGTACTCTCCAAGAGCCGGAAGAAGATATTATAAACACACAAACTCAACTCAGAAACCAATTTTTTAAAACCTCATCAGATTTCTGTAAATGTCTGTATTTGATGTAGCGCCCTCTAGAGTTCTACAACCCCCCAAGGCGCTTTACACAGTCATCATGCTGAATGTTTCTAAGAAAACAGTTTTTTATTATCCCAAGCTTCTTCAGCAGCTCTTGGTGTTTTGTCATTGCCCGCTTGTGTTTTCTTTTGGAGGGATGTGATAAGAAGCATCGTACATCCACGTGTTCACCTTCTCCATTATCTGGACCCACGAGCACAAACTAGTCAGTCAGGCTCACGCTGGAGGTCCAGAGGCACCACTTTAATTAACCAAAGTGTTTTATTTGTAAATATTCCAAAGCAGATCTGTTTACAGCGCTAGACATGTATTCATTATTGTACTTTTTATTGGGTATTTCAAGACGTTTGGTGTTGTTTTAACAAGTCAGATTTGCCTTTGACTATTTTTGAGGAGCAGTGGAAATCCACAGGTTGTTTGGTCACGGTCCTGGATGCTGAGACCAGGCAGTGTGACTGAAGGGATCAGAATAAGAGTTTCCTTCCTCATCCCTCCAGGAGGATCATGGCCCTGCAGCAAGCCATCAGCGGCCAGGATGAATAGAGGCTCTGTCCGCTCTGGCATCTCCACTGGCCACTCACTGAACACACAGAAAACGGAGCAGTGGGGAAAATGATAAAAAAGCACAAACGTGTTGTAGGAAAATCTCCAGAAAAGAGAAAATGCAAACAGCAAAATGCTTTGTTTACCTCTAGTTTCTTGGTCTTCCTGTGTGAATTTTCTCCTTTAGGATTTGCCTTTTTGCTGTTTCGTTTTTTTTTACCCAGTCCTGCAGCTGAACCCATCGCTGATCCAACTCGTTTTTTTTTCTCTTCCTTTAAGCGTTTGGTCAGTTCAGATCCACGTCTTAGGGCTTTTCAGCACATTTAAGTGTGGAGCTGTCGGATGCATTTTTCAGTGGACGGCCTTTGAATTAATGCAGCAACGGCAGGCAGTCTGAAAGAAAAGCATCAAAGCTAATCGTGAATATTTTGGTCTCTTTCAGTTCTTGCCGTGCTCTTCCTGCCAGGAGGTAAAACGTTCTCATTTCCATGCACGACTTTAGTGAAAAATTAGTTCACAATAGTTTAATTTTCCCTTTGAGCACTCGTTTACGACCGCTTGTTTGTTTGTTGGTTGTGGCAGCTTGGGGTCAGAGCAGCAGCAGCACTGGCGTGGTGGTGAAGACCATGAACATGACTCTCCCTGCTGGTTCCAGGGCTGTCCTGCCTTGTCACAGTTCCCGCATGGTGTGGACCCGAGACAGGCTGAAGGACCGCAAGAGGGTGGTGCACTGGGACGTGGTCCACAGTAGCCCTGAATATTCAGCTGAGCGAGTCCTGGACATGTCACCTGGAGCCCACCAGAGGGTGTACAATGGCTTCAACAAGGGGCGCGTTTCCGTCCCAGATTCTGCCTTCAGTGATGGAAATTTCTCCCTCGTCATCAGCAGTGAGACTCATTTTGGTGCAGTCATCACAGCCGTCCTTTCCTCACTCATCAATGCCATTTTGTTTTCTCCTTCTTTGCAGATGTGGTTGCAAGTGACAAGGGTGTTTACACGTGTAATCTACACCATCACTACTGTCAGATTCACCAGTCCATTCAGATCCAGCTCAATGTCACCAAGTCAGGTGAGGCCACCTGTTCGCTCGCGCTGGTTTCCAAGTTATAATGAGTGAAGCAGACGAGGGTGTAGCCTGTCTCACCTTGACACGTTGTTTCCAGCTCGTAAAGAGAAACGTTACTGGGATGGAGAGAAGACTGTGTTTGTGGTCTTGCTGGGAAGCTCGGTGGTGTTGCCTTGTGTGAACCGGCGGCCTCTTTGGAGAGACGGTCTCCAGGAGGACCAGCAGCAGGTGGCTCACTGGGACTTCCAGCCCCCTGGGGTACGTCCTGACAAGGCCGACCGCCTGGTGGACCTCTATGCTTCTGGAGAGCGAAGGGATTATGGACCTCTGTTTGCTCAGAGGAAGATGAGTGTGGAGGAGGATGCTTTTACACTAGGGGACTTCTCGCTCTCCATCTCTGACCTAAAGCCTGTAGATAAAGGCCTTTACTCTTGCCACCTGCATCACCACTACTGTGGCCTGCAAGAGAGGCGCATCTTCAGACTCACGGTGGGACCTCCACTGCCACTCCAACCCACCACGACCTCCAGAACCTTCCTTTATGATGAGCTGGAACCAAGTAAGTTCTGCACAAACATCACCATGTGTTTTTCTAGTGGGAACGGCTGAGGGAGGCTGGATGGCTTTGGGTTTTCTTAATAGGCATAGCTGGTCAGTTGAATCAGTTTCTTGTTGTGCCAAGTTTCTCCTCAGCTCTGTCTGTTTTTATGCTTGAGCTGCAGAGGGAGGCGCAGGAATGTAGAGGCCAGCTGAGTCAGGCTTTTAAAAGTGGGAATTTTTGTTGTTTACTTGCAGTTCTTGTTGAAGACGTTTTCCACAGATAATAAATTTAACTTTGTGCTGCAGCGGATGTGGTCTTTTTCCCCAACAACTGTTTTACATTTAAAGCTTTTTCCTTTTTGACTCCTCCGAGAGGAGGAGGCTCCAAACGTCGAGTGAATCTGGGAGTTTGTGGTCGTGCGTGTTTTCTTCCTTCTGTCCCACTTTTCCAGAAAACAGGTCCGCTGACCTACTGTCTAGACTGGTATGGTAACTCCCAGTTTGTTCTGTTCCTTAACCCTCCCACTGTCCTAATGGGTGTGACTCCATGAGGAAAGGTGACCATTGAGCAGGATTGATGGTTTATCCCTTGAGGTCCACCTCACCCCTGCCACGTGGACCTCAAGGGATAAACCATCAATCCTGCTCAATGGTACACTTTCCTGGTGGGGTCACCCATAAAGACAGTGGGAGGGTTAACAGTCTCTGCTCTGCTTCTCTGCTGATGTGGATTGGCTCCTGGCAAAGGCATGTTTACCAGTACTCAGAGGAAGTCTCATACATCTGTCCAACATCTGGGCCAGCTGTTACATGAAAGAGCAAGGCCTAGAGATTCTCCCCCCTTTTAAAAGACGTGACAGCCTATTCAACACACTGTCAATCACGCTAGGACCAATGTGGACCAATGGCATCGTCTTTTATTCACCAGAGAATTCAGCTCCTCTTCATGCTTCACCGATCTTAGATGAAAACCAAATAGGTTCCTGCATTTCTCTGAGATAACAAATGCCACGAGAGCTTTTCACTCTAATGCTGCAATCATTCCTGTCAGCTGCAAACAGATTGCGTCGTTCTTTTCACAAGAAAAACATTGTGGGAACTGTCAGCAATTCTGTTGAGGTCTCTGTTCTGTGAGAGCAAAGACGATTTTCCTCAGTTCATTGACTTGCTAATGATGCAAGTCTCTATGGGAGGAAATAAAATGCAAAAAGGTTACTCTCAGAGCAGAATGTGTCAAATAGACCTGCACACACTCACACACACACACACTTCTGTCAGGATGATGGTAATGGGCTGCTACTGTAACAGGGGTGTGGCTTTTTTTGCAGCTGGGCATTCACCTAAAACATGTCTTCAGTTTCTTGCTAATCGGTAACAGCTCTGTGGGGGGTGCATGATTAAATCACCTTAAGTGCCATTTATTAAAAAGAAAATTTGTAGACTGACTGGTTTGAAAAGCTTGGGAAAGTCGTTCCCTCATCTGTAAACCAGTTGTGCAGTTTTCAGTTGTTAAAACGAGCTGGCCTATAGAACCCTAGAACGTGCTATATCAAATGCAAATCATTTTCCATTTAGTTTGAAAAAAAAAAGGTTTTTGCTGCTTCTTCTTCTTCGGTGTTTGGCCCCGTTGACTAATCTCTGTAGCAGTGGCGGTTTTACCATTAGGCATAGGTCGGCGGCCGCCTGGGGCCCCCTTGTGTTGGGGGGCCCCCCGGCCCTGACCGCCGGCACCCCCCTTTTAATGCCACAATATTCTTATTACCAACCTGTGGCCGCCGACGGGATTGGACATGCGCACTTCTCATTACCATAATTCCTGAACCATTCAAGATGTCATTAAAATTCCTAAAGTGCTGAAAGGATTAAAAATGGGGCTTTGCGTGCATATACAATACATTACGGTAGCCACCGGGATTCCCTGTCTTGAACGCAAGGAATCACAACACAGATTCAGAGACGTGCTGAGTTTGTCATCCAAAATGCTCCGTTTTATAACTGTTGAATGGCGGATCAGATTCAAATAATTCCAACGGTTCCTAAAAGTACATAAAAGCAGCTTTCCAACGATCTATAGCATGAAGCAATCAGAGTTAGAGAAAATATCGCTACGAGGGGAAATCCTGCTGTACAGCCTGATTGAAACGGAGCGCAGCGCCGCGGTGAAAGCGGATAACGGAACGGGGAAGCTAATTAGCATAAAACCAGCATGACATTATAGAAATGCCTCAAAGAAAATCAACACGATCCATTAGGTGTCCCAGAAGGCTTATATCTGAAGACAGTGACGACGAAGAAGGACAGATCTCCAGTGAACCAGGATATGAACGTTTGTTCAGTCTTTATTTATTTTTTTTTGAACAACCCTCAACTATTTGCTAATTGTAAGATTCAGCTTCATTCCAGCATTATTTATCTTTTTACAATAAATAATTATTTTTGCTAAAACAAAAGTTTTTGGTATAGCAGTGCACGGTGTGCCAGAGAAGCACCCCATGGCAGTGTGAGGTGTGACTCTGCCTGCAGCTGGAGAGAAACTGCTTCAAGGTCTACCACATCAAATAAAAACGTCTGAAAGTTTACAAAAATAAATGGTCTTAAAAACTGCTAAAAAAGATACCAAGGTTCACACTTTAAGAATATGGTAAATGGCCTGTATTTGATATAGCGCCTTCTAGAGTCCTGGAACCCCCCAAGGCGCTTTACAACACAATCAGTCATTCACCCATTCACACACACATTCACACACTGGTAGGGATGAACTACAATGTAACCACAGCTGCCCTGGGGCGCACTGACAGAGGCGAGGCTGCCGAGCACTGGCGCCACCGGTCCCTCCGACCACCACCAGCAGGCAAGGTGGGTTAAGTGTCTTGCCCAAGGACACAACGACAGCGACAGACTGAGCGGGGCTCGAACCTGCAACCTTCCGATTACGGGGCGAGCACCTAACTCCTGTTTCCACCGTGAAAGCGCTCAAAGGGAGAGAAATACAGGAAAAAAGAGGAGGACTGATAAAAAGGGAAAATAACTCGTGTCTAGGGTTGTCACGGTATGAAAATTTAACCTCACGGTTATTGTGACCAAAATTATCACGGTTTTCGGTATTATCGCGGTATTTTTTAAACAGTGCTGCATATGTTCAGAAAGCATTGATAGTCCTGTTCTACACAAACTGAAATAGTTCTGAAAAGGTTTAACAGTGTTTATTAAACCTAAAATAACACAAAGCCTTAGCAAAAGTGCAACTTTTCACAAGTAAAGGAACAAATAGCTTATTTTTCTGGAGCATGTTACAGTAGTCAGTGCAGGTTTAAATGATACAAATCCAAACATTCAAAACATAAACAATATGTAAACAAATCAAATAAACACCACTTGTTTTCTCATATACTTGTTTTCTTCATTATCAAAATGAAAATTTAAAACTCCAGTCCACACTTGACTTGAGCGCTGTACAAGTCAACCTTAAAAAAATATGTATTTAAAATAAATAGCCACTTTAAACAAATGACTAAAATAACTACTACACTATGTAATCAAATCCAAATGTTCAAGTATAAATGGCATTGAATAAGTAAACAAATCAATGACAAGGAACTAACTGTATATTTCTCTTCATCATCAACAAATAAGATGCTTCATGCAGCAACAGGGTGTCCGTGACACGGTTTAAATGCTGCCAGAGGGCGCTGCGGCTGCAGTATATAGTGACTCGTTGCATTCTCCCTCAACCAAAAGACCTCACGTCATGCATTTAAGCTAAAATGCTAATGTTAACTTACCTTGCACTGGCTGTAGAGACGTGGGTGATGGTCACGCAGATGTGCCATGAGATTTGAAGTGCTGCTGCCTTTTGCAGACACTTGTTTCCTGCACGTTCTGCAAACGGGATAGCCGTCTTCTATTAACTGTCCCTCAGCGTTTTTCAGAAATCCAAAATATGCCCATACTTCCGAGTTAGTCTTCTTTGAGGGCTGATGGATGTCCTGGGCGCTGCCGTCTCCTCCTTCGGCCATTATTTCAGCTTCAAAGTTTTGGTGCCGTTGCAAACTAAAAAGTGCGTGTGCGCGCCGCGGGAACTTCAGCTGAAGCGACGGTGGCTGGTAAGGGTCACCGCGCCGAAACCGCGGCCACGGTAAACCCACCGAGATAATTTAGTTTTTTAAAAACTGGACGGTTATTTTTATTGTCAACTTTTTTACCGGGGTTTACCGCTATACCGGTTACCGTGACAACCCTACTTGTGTCAGAAGAGGGGCGAGTTTCGCAAATCCAGTTAAAGGTAAGATTGTCGAAAATGTAGTGTAAGGGGCCCCATGTCTGTGTTCGCCTTGGGCCCCCAAATTACTAAATCCGCCTCTGCTCTGTAGCGATGAATACATCATGTTTTTGGTTGTTCCGATTGGTCCTAGCGCTGTCCAATGGCATGCAAAGACAGTTTAAAAGAAAACCCTAGAGTCTGCCTCACGACTGAGCTCTGTCTATTGGCCGTGTCCAGACTATACATGTTGCCAGGCTAGCTCTCACCGTTTTGCATCAGAAAACTCATTTATTTTGAGGTATTTTAACCCTCTGGAGGCAGGTGTTGCAGATGTGCAGCGTTAAAACCTACCTACCTGGTTACTCCACATATGTGTTTCATGAGCATTATTTAACTCCGGAGTTCCCCTGAAGGACTTAGTTGTTCGTCCTTTCATCAAAACCCAATTTGAGCCTGAGAGGGTTCGTCGTCACTATCACGGATTCCCAAAGTATCTGCAAATGCTCAACACCAAGCTGTAAGATTCGTTTTCCATGCGCGAAGAAATTAGACGTCTGTGTGTTTGTGAGACTTGGACAGCCCTAAATGGAAAACTAATACAGACATGCAGACGGGCCACACCGCAGGCATTGCCTCTGTTCCCTCACACTTTTGCCCCCCCCCCCCCCCCCCCCATTTTTCCCTCAGAAAAGCATGACATCAGGCCTGGAAGTCATCACAGCCGAGCAGCTTTCTGGCATTTAACTCTCTGCTCTCTCTCTCCTTCGGACTCTGGTTTACAGAAACACAGAGATTAGAGTCTGCCTCCGAGGGGAACTGGAATATGGATTTATTCAGAACATGATTTAACTTTGCTCTGGACGTTTCATGATTAAACACTTAAAATACAAGCATTCATCTCCAGCACATTAAACCATCCCTGTTAGTGTAATAAGGTCTCCATTTTAACAGTATCCCATGTGAGGGAGTTATTCTTAAAGAGCAAGTCACCCCCAAATCAACTTTTTTTTTTTGCTGATAAACTAAATAAACAAGTGTCTAATCGTGCTGCAGACACGTGTAGTCAATAATTTGGCACTTCAGTGCATCTTAGTTAAAATTTAAATATTCTACCTAAAACTGTCAGTGTTGTGCCATTGTCTGCACTATATTTGAATTTAAATCTGCCACCGCTATTGGCTAACAGACTATGATGTAAACTGGTACATTATGATGTCACAATGCTGTCGTGAGCCTGTGTGTGTGTGTGTGTGGGTGTGTGTGTATTTGTTAGCGGCTCCGCCCTCTCAGTCTGCTAGGCAACAGCATTTGTTGCATTTTTCAAACAGGAAGTGGGAGTGGTGTTAGACTCTGGTAGGGGGTGACTTGCTCTTTAATGAGGCGGTTTTTCTTGTTTGCTTTCAGAGGTTGAAGAGGTTTCACGAAATAAGGAGAGTCCACGAGTTGTGAACGTGTTCCTGCCTGAACAGAGAGGGTATTTTGTGCAGCATCTAGGCTATTTCTTGGCCATCATCCTGCTGCTGGCGGTCATTGTTGTTGTTGCCATCATCATGTTGACTAGGCGCCGCAAAAGACGAGGTAACCATGCTTATTTTAACCGTTTACCACCACCTCTTGATTTGGGCTTTTCCTCTTTCTACTCACTATAATCACTCTTTGTCTCAGAGCTGGGGTGCGAGAGTGGGCGGTCTGTTCGGTAAGGCGTCTTAACGTTATACAACATCATATTTTACACGTGCGTGAGCCGTAAGAGCTGTTTTTCCTGAGCAGGGTCAACGTGAGCAGTGGAGATGAAATTGCGTTGGACTGCACCGAGCTGAATACTTGTAATCAAGAATGTTTGAATTCAGGTGTAGTAAACCACATTCACACTCGTGCAGAACAAAACGAAAAGGCCTTTTTACTGCCTTTAACCTCCATGTTTACTATTATGCCCACAGATTACAAAAACAACCTGCTGAAAGAGAAAGACATGACCAAAGACTGCAACAGGGGTGAGACATTCCTTATTGCAACTGAAGAAAACCCTTGTTGTGGTGTTGGCCACGGGCCCGTGTTGCTGTGATGTTTTCATATTCTATCTTTCAGAATTTGATGGGAAGATGTGGAAGTGAGTGTGATGTTTCTGAGAAGCTGCTGGCAGGTCCAGGGCAAAACGCAGAGGACCAAGAAAACTCAAATCAAAACAGGAAATCCAGGAGAGGACAAGGGGAATACTCCCTCTGCTGTAATCTGAGCACGCGAAGCTTTTCATCACTATTTTATTTTACTTTTTTACATAGTCACCTTGCATCTCATCTACAAAACTCAGTGGTATTTGATCATTAGTTTTTATGTTCGATTATTATTGTCTTTCTTTTTGTTATTTGGCAAAATGCATATAGAGATTCTTAACCGTGCGCGCTTCCAGACCGTTTATAATGGATGACTTTTGGAATATTTTCTTCTTACGTTTTGCTGTAACTCACTTTGTAGATTATACATCACTGCATTATAAATGGATAGAAATAGACATATTTGGATGTAAACAAATGCAACATGTTATGTTATAATCAAGTAAAATCATGTAAAGTATGTTTTAAAGCCCCGTTAAAGTAATCAGAGCTGACAAATGAAGCCCAGAACGAATACACAATAGTAGATTACAATTGTGTAAAAGGAATATGTGTATATATATACTTTTTTTGGACTAAAGGCCCAGTTCTCTAAATCTCAGGAAAGTAAATTGAATTCCTAGACTTTACTCATTTGTTTGCATAAAGCATGTATAATGTAATATCCTCATTTTCAAAACACTGAATTTTTTTTCTGAGAAACCTGCAGCATTCATGTAAACTGTGCGTCTGTCCTTCTGTGACACACGGTGATGACTCTCCGTCTAGATGAACAATTACGTTTTCTCCAGCTTGGTGTGTACACTTTACCCTGGGTCTTTTCTGCTATTTCATCAAAAATATTCTGTTACACACATTTGGGATCCGAACGAGCTCGGAATAATCTGAATGTAAGAAGAAAAGGGAAATGGTATGACTGGAGGGTTTTAGGAATGCTCTTAAAATATGAAAACATCAGTTGTGTCTTTTGTTTATACAGAATTACCCATAACAAATGGACAGTTATTTTTGTTTTCCATGAAATTGTCATTAGAGCATGTAGGCTGAAGATGAAAATAAAGAATAAAGCAGGTTTTCCTTTGTCTGGTGTCGTCACTGCGCTCTAAACAGTGTTGTGTAAGCTTGTGCCACGACTGCAATGCCCAAACGAGCCGCTAGATGGCAGCATTCTCCAACCAATCAGACGACGTTCCCAGCTCCTATCGCAAGGATGTGGACTGTCCCTTCCTGTTTTAGTGCCGACAGAGCCACCGTACCGACCCACACCGGAGCAGCAGGAACACAGGCACCCCGAAGGCGATCATGGCTGGATTTCCCCCGTGTCTCCCCGCGCCGCGGAGCAGCGTTCTCCTCCTCCGTGTCGTGTCCGGGCTGAAGTAGGGAATGCTGCTGTTATTCTCCGGTTAGCTGCTAACACCGCGGGCCCGTTTTATTGCAGCTGCCAGCCCCCTTCTCGCTCCTTTCCTGTGTCAATGATTGTCCTCCCCTCACGCTCATGGCGGAGACTAAAATAATATACCACATAGACGAGGAGGAGACTCCTTATCTCGTCAAGCTGTCCGTTTCTCCGGAGAAAGTCACCTTAGCGGATTTTAAAAATGTCCTCAACAACCGACCGGTCAACAGCTACAAATTCTTCTTCAAATCCATGGACCAGGATTTCGGGTGAGAGCTGGGTGTCCTGTTTGTGATTGATTAGCTTCTGTGTCCACCGCTGCAGCGTCCTCACCTGTGTGTGTGTGAACTATAGCAGTGTGTGTGTGTGTGTGTGTGTGTCCACGCGCCTCCTGGCACCTGCTCATTATCCCAGGCTCCTCTGAGCGCAGCGGAGGACGCTCAGGGGTGTTTGAAGTGGTACCAGATCCGTCCAGAGCTCTAATGACGCAGCTCTGTTCGGATCCCACTCACAACCAGAGCCTGGTCCTCGCGCCAGACTTCACCCATCACTCACTTACGCTTCTCTTCCTGGGTTTTTGTTTCAGGGCGTCCCATTTTATTATGTTTTACTAATTATTCCGGGCTTAAACACCCCCCCCCCCCCCCCCCCAGCAGATGCTGTAAAAGCGGGTGGACCTGAGGACATGTGAGATGTATGTCAGTGGGGACTAATTGCATCAGAGACGTCAAAACTTCATGTTTTCTTAATAAAACATGACTGCCACGTTACAGCAATGGTTCTGGCCTGCTCAGCTCATCACTCACAGCTCAGACTGTCAGATGTTATCATGACGTTGTTCATTTAACGCCATCATGTTAGTCGTAGCCATGGACGTAATTTTCACTTTAGAAGTGGGGGTGGGGGGGTGGGGGGGATACAGAGTGGGGAGGGGGGAGTGAATCTTTATAGTATGCTCTAATGGGAAACAGGCTTCAACACAAACGGTTGTTTTCTGCTTGGTCCTAGAGCTCAACTAGTGTCAATTTAATATAGCGTAATATTGTTTTTGGATGGTAAAAAGTGCAGGGGTCAAACCTTGACTTTGGAAAGACTGGGGGGGACATGTCCCCCCTGTCCCCCCCAAAATTACGTCCATGGTCGTAGCACACATTTAAGTTCTCTCTCTCTTTGGGGCACTCCGGGCAGTAAGACAGCCAGGTGGTAGATGCATGCTCTGCATAAAGAACTCTAATGTTGAGTCATTTTATTTAAAGAGTTCACATAAATTTATAAATGCAGCAAAACAATGTGATTTACTATAATTTAATGCATATCTTTTAGGAATGTAAGAAAATATCGACATAGCAATATACCGCGATATTTTTTCCTGCGATATTATATCGATGTTCAAAAGCTGTGTATCGATTTTTTTGGAAGAATTTACGTGCAAACATTTGTGTATTTTCTTTTCTTTTGGTGCAAATCAAATGCCGTCCGCTAGTCAGCAGTAGGGTGCAATGGAGTTAGTTTCCACCACTGAAATGTAAACCCCTCTATTATGGTTCAGATACCTCATGTTAATCGTGTTAAGTATCAGTTTGGACCATTTATTGAATTTTCCTATAATAATTTTAGTCTAAAAAAATCGCTATAATTGTCCGACTGAATGTATCGCAATATATCGTATTGTCTCCCCTGTATCGTGATAAGTATCGTATCGCCAGAATTTCACCAATACACATCCCTAATATCTTTAATGAAGCTGATTATTGAGAGTGGGTTTTTATATAAAACTCACATTAAAGCTGTTATCTGTCATTTCTGCCCAAGGAAGAAGCAGGAGCTGCCTCCTCTTTGCCTTTAGATGCTGCCTGATCCGAATAGCATCATGATTGCTTCCTTTTCTGTATTTTAATTCTGTCCTGATTTTTCAGAAGTCGCACCAAAGCTCCAGTTCTGCGGGTCAGCGAGTGTCAGGCCTGTGCCGAGGGTGACGTGTGCGTGTCGGGGCTCTGGCTCGGCGAGCCAGTGTGCATTAATGTGTAACAGGGTAATCGTGACAGGAGGAAATGCACGGACATGCAGAATCCACAGAACCGAGTGTTTGTGAGGGAAGCGGCTCTTCCTGGTCGGAGTCTAGGCCTGGTCGGACCGCTTTGTCCCCCGGTTCTGGTTTCCTGCCTGCATGGCCTCAACAGGGCCTCAGGTGATTGACAAGCAGATTATGGAAACAAACAAAGCATGTTTGCTCTCTCCACATGGAGACACGACTCCTGGTTGCTCCACACACCAGACTTGCTTGCTTGTGCATCAACAAAGGTGTTATAAAGCAGACTGCTCGCTGAACAGTTTGACGAGTCTTCCATTTTTTTCACTCGGAGCTCTTGTGCACCGATCATAAAAGCATCGCGGCGAGCCTTTGAGTTAAGGGTGAATATTCAGGCTCTGTGAGCGCCGTATGGCACTGGCACGGTATGGAAGCAAAACCCAGTCAAAGGCAAAGAGGAATGCAGCGCTTTGTGGTAGCCGTAGTGGCTCTGCAGCATCCAGACAGACGGCACGGCTGCTGGAGAATTAGCGACCGAGGAACAGGGCTGCCGAGCAGCGAGGGAACACATCAAATCCCTTGCAGTTATAGTCAGTGTTTGAAATGTAAATGAGCAGTCAGCGCTAGGTCCTCTGTAGTAGACCCCCTGGTGAGCACAGGGAGAAAAAAATAAAACGCCATTTTCTTAAAGGGTTTCTCAGCTACGGTTGCTCTGGCCACACGAATGTGATGAACGGGTTTACGCCCCTGAGGCCTGAGCTCACGGCGGCGAACATCAGGTCCCGGTGGAGTCTGGTGGTGTAGCCGTAGCTTTTGCATCCACACAGCAGACGTTAAGCTATGAGGGTTCCGGATACACATTTAACGCTTAAGTAGTTGCTTTTCTTCCCTCAGCAATATTCATGCGTTCATCAGTATTCATATGACAGAACCTAATTGAGCGGGGTGTGGCGTGAACCAACCCACTTGGCTTTTTCAGGAACTTCAAGGTGATGATACGGCGTTTTGTCGGCGCCTCTGGTGGTGAGTGGGTTTGAGACCTCACTAGAATTCAAGTCACAGAGGCGCTCTGGAGCTGAGGAAGCAGCCGAGCTGACGGGCTGAAGGAAGCAGTCAAGAGGGCTGGTATGGGGGGTGCCTCTCTTCTGCAGAGACTCTAGTCGGAGGACAAAATCCTGCAGCTTTTTGCACCAATGCCCTCCTCCATCTCCGTCCATGTTTTCACCACCTGAGGAGTGTGACAGATTTGAAGGCTGTGCTGCAGTTTGGTGTCAAATCGCATCAACAGCTGCTGCGGTAGTGTTTATATAGGAGTTGTCAGAAGGTGACGTTAGGGAGGAAGATGGCAGCATGGTGTTGGTATCCTGATGACTTATCTAGAGTTTGAGTCATGTCTGTTTTCTGTCTTTATTCTGCTCTCCTCTTGCATCAGCACCATCTAGGGATGCTCCGATCAGGTTTTAATCTGCCGATCACCGATACCGATCAGCCAAGAGGCCGATCGGCCGATTACCGATACCAATTACATAGATTGGCTGTAAATTGTTCATTTAGCTATGGTGAGTTCTGATGCATGTGTTACATATTAATTCAGAAAAAAATGGTTTTACTTCACTTCAAATTATCTAATATCAGTAACAATTTATAAGAAATTGAAAACATTAAGGCTCTCTTTAGGCTACAAATAGTGCAAAAAAAGTCATTATCTCACATCACCGCCTAAATCAAATTAAGCAACCAAGGATACGTTCAGATACATCCAGCGAGCTGTTAAGCTCAGCATTGACACAGGACTGACATCTGAGCTCCAAATGTCACTTGTGAAACTCACAGAGGATGAGACGCTTTCTTTAAGGAGTCCCTCGATGAAAGAATACACTGTCTGGTGGAGCTCTGGAAGGGCTACGTCGGCGAAATATTTACGTCCCGGTAGCATGTAGCGAGGTTCCAAGTGGGTTAGTAGTCGGCGGAATCCGGCGTCTTCCACAACTGAAAAAGGCTGGTCGTCTAGTCCAATAAACTCGATGATTTTACGGGTAATTTGCTTAGCCTTTTGACTGTCACGCTCATATGGGCGAGTGTTTCCAAGCGCCGGCTGCGTTAGCCGCCGTCTGACTGTGGCTGCATTAGCAGGCTTCTTTTCATTGTCTGCGGTGAGCCTCAAAAACTCACCGTGCTCCGCCAAGTGTTTAGTCTTTAAATGTCGGATCAAATTCGTTGTGTTGAATTTTTTTGAAGTGCTTCCTCCGCGGGGTATGTATTCGTTGCAAGTGTTGCAAGACGCAAACTTAATATCACTCTCGCACACCGTAAAGAAGTTCCACACGGCAGACTTGTTTGTCTTTGCGGGTTTGCCGCCACGCGCATGCGCACTAAGCGGGGAGAAGCGGAAGGGTGAGCTACCGGCCGGGAAGAGTAAGCGTCAGTGCCAGATCGGAAATGAAAGGCAGTGATCGGCGATCACAGATCACACACTTTTGCAGGAAAATCGGCCGATGATTATCTGTGGCCGATCAATCGGAGCACCCCTAGTACCATCCTCCCCCAAAGATGCGGCACTCCTCCTGCATCTGCTTTCTAAGTTAGCCACTCTTCCTCTGTCTTCCAGAGCGTAAACATGAGTAATCTGCCACAGCCACACGAACGTCTTCAGCTGGGTTCATCGTGTTAAATCTTAAGTCGTTATCCTGTGAAATCTGTTAAGACCTATCTAAGCTGTCCGCTTTAAAAACCCAGCTCTGTGGCAGCACCTCACACGCCTCTATAAACACGACCCACAGCTCTTTAACGTCCGTGCACGGGAAGAGTTGAGGAATGCATCGCAAAACCGGTCCTGACATCAGCTGGAAGCTGTTAAAAGAGATCAGCTGTTTTTGTTTGAATAGTTTGGTTTGCTGTCGTGGTTTTGCGCCGTATAACAGGAGGACGCAGCTCTGGCAGAAACCGTAGAAGAACTGTTGTCCGTGTGAGTGGAACAGCCTGTTTGATTCCTGACACGCATTAGGAAGAGGACCACTCCCACATCCTCACGACTCGTCACGAGTCACCTTATAGCTGCCCGTGCAGCTCGAGAGAGAAAGAGAGAGGATGCAATCACTTCCGACCCAACTAGCAGCAGGCCGAGTCGGCCCTCGGCTTCCTCCCTTTTCCTCCCCGAGGTGGAACAAGCCACAGCGGCAGACTCTGTGGTCGCCAGTCCCACAGCAGTGACACACACACACACACACACACACACACACACACACACACACACACCCAGGCAAAAACAAAAGTAGCTTGGCTAATCATTTCAGTAGCTTAGAAGTTCTGGCAAACAAGGAGTGGGGGAAAAAGCTATAAAGTGGTTGCCAGAGACACCCCTGCATAAAATCTTCTTAGGATTTCCTGCTGCTCTCATGTTGTGCCTCTCCCCTCTCATAAAGCACACTCAAAGCCAAGAAGCTAACGTGAGATCTCCACACTTTAAAAATACTCAGTAATACCAAATCAGGGAACGTTCTCATCTAACGAAGGCGTTTCAGCTCGTCCCCGTCCTCCCTGCTGGCTCCAGCCGGAGCCGTGCGATACCGGCCCAGCAGGTGTGGTGACGGGTTTTCAGCTGAGCAGGTCAAAGGGTAACTGAGGTATTTTTGTAGAGAATGTACAGCCAAAGAGAGAAGCTCCCACACTAGATGTCTCTATTAATACCTTTCACACCTGGTTTCTGCTGCAGCTCTTCCTGCAAACACTCAAACATTGACACAAACCCGTTGATCGTGACAGAATTATTCATTCCAGGGCTATGTTTTGGTCACACATCTAACTTTCCATTAAATGTGTGCCACATCGCCTTTAAACCGGCTGCTCTGTGTAACCTTGCTGTGTGTGCTGTAACTGGGCGGGCGGCCTTGAAGTCCACACGCCGCAGCTACGCACTCAGAGCAGCATCGCCGCCGCTTTTTAAGGTTATCGTGATTTCAAGGGCGCAAAGTTGGCAAAAACAGCGATGCTGAAAACGGGACTTTCATAGCGTGAATGCTGCTTTGTGTGTGCGCCAGCAATGCAGTGAAGGAAGCGCAATTCCAGGTGTGTCACGTTACGTGTGTGTGTGTGTGTTTGTCTCTCGATCCGTTAGCCTGACCGTGTCCGTCTGTCTCCCTAGGGTTGTCAAAGAAGAGATTTCCGATGACAACGCTAAGCTGCCATGCTTCAACGGGAGGGTGGTGTCCTGGGTAAGTGAGATAGATGAGCAGCATGCTGTCCCTGTAAAGCCTCAACTGCACACACACACACACACACACACACACACACACACACACACACACACACACACACACACACACACACACACACACACACACACACATGGAGCTCTCAGCTGCAGCAGTGAGGGTTTTAAATCAGCTGATCTCGCCGTTGAGCTGTAAAATGTGAGCACTTCCATTAGGCGCCAGCATTAACCACCGTTACCTTAAACTCCACTGACTTACGTGGCTTCAGAGCGTCGTCTTGTTGCGGGCTGTAAACTGCACCTAAAGCACCGCTGTGGGACAGTAAACCACGCAAAATTAAACCAGTCTGGAGGATTTATGTCGTCATCACTATCTGCCATCAAACGGAACAAAAAATCAGGATGAAGCCTTTAAATATTGATCCGGAAAACAAAAAGAGTCGTTAAATGGAGTTTGGCTGATTCACTGGGGGTGTTGTTTCTGTTCTACGGATGTTTTGTTTTATTGCTCACAAAAGGTAAGTCATTCATTAGTCAGCCTCTCCACGTAGGGTCAGAGGTCAGAATTACCCACGCAGTGCTGGCTGTGCTCTCAATAACAGCCAATCGGTCCACGTCTAACTTAAAGAAGACCTCGCTATAATAAAGAGCTTCTGTTATAGGGGAAAAAATCATGAATGATTTAATCAGAATTGAGTTCCTGATTAATTCACTTAATAATTTTTGAATTTTTCACAAAAACGATGCAGCAGACTGAACAGGTAAATTTTAAGATGCGTTCATGGTTGAAAACCTGAAAATCGTCATGCTTTAAGAAGGAAGTAACAATTTTATTTATTAGTAAATTTTTAATGGAAATGCCAAAGAAGATTATTTATAAAAATAATATCTGCTGGGAGTTCGCCCAACCAGTCTACACGTGTTTTGTGGATTTGGAGAAGGTGTTTGACCGCGTCCCCCGTGGGGCCCTGTGGGGGGTACTCCGGGATTATGGGGTACCAGGTCCGCTGATACGTGCTGTTAGGTCCCTTAATGACCAGTGTCAGAGCTTGGTCCGCATTGCCGGCATTAACGCTCTGGAGGCAGGCGTTGTAGATGTGCAACGTTAAAACCTACCTACCTGGTTACTCCACATCCAAGAGCATTTTTTAACTCAGAAGTACCCCTGAAGGATTTAGTTGTTCGTCATTTTATCAAAACTTATTCTGAGCCTGAGAGGGTTAACTCGTTTCCGGTGATAGTTGGACTCCACTTTACTTTTACGGACAGGATTTCTAGGCGCAGCCAAGGTGTTGAGGGGATCTGTTTTGGTGGCCTGAGGATCAGGTCTCTGTCTCTTGCTGATGATGTGGTCCTGTTGGCTTCATCAGACAATGATCTCCAGCTTTCACTGGAGCGGTTCGCAGATGATTGTGAAGCGGCTGGGATGAGAATCAGCTCCTCCTAATCTGAGACCATGGCCTTGATTCAGAAAAGGGTAGAATGTCTTCTCCGGGTCAGGGATGAGGTCCTGCCTCAAGTGGAGGAGTTTTAGTATCTCGGGGTCTTGTTCATGAGTGAGGGAGCACTGGAGCGTGAGATCGATAGGTGGATTTGTTGCTGCGTCTGCAGCGATGCGGGCGTTGTTCTGGTCTGTCGTGGTGAAGAGAGAGCGGAGCTGGAAAGCAAAGCTCTCGATTTAACGGTTGATCTACGTTCCTACCCTCACCTATGGTCACGACGAGCGTTGGGTAGTGACCGAAAGAACGAGATCGCGGATACAAGCGGCCGAAATGAGTTTTCTCTGCAGGGTGGCTGGGCTCTCCCTTAGAGATAGGGTGAGAAGCTCAGTCATCCAAGAGGAGGGTGGATGGGGGCGATGGTGGCACAGGAGTTAAATGCTTGTCCCGTATTTGGAAGGTTGCAGGTTCGAGCCCCGCTCAGTTTGTCGCTGTCGTTGTGTCCTTGGGCAAGACACTTAACCCCCCTTGCCTGCTGGTGGTGGTCGGAGGGACCGGTGGCGCCCGTGCTCGGCAGCCTCGCCTCTGTCAGTGCGCCCCAGGGCAGCTGTGGCTACATCGTAGCTCATCCCCACCAGTGTGTGAATGTGTGTGTGAATGGGACTGATTGTGTTGTAAAGCACCTTGGGGGTCCAAGGACTCTATAAGGCGCTATATCAAATACAGGCCATTCACCATTTACCAAGAGGGGCTCGGAGTAGATTAGCTGCTCCCCCACATTAAGAGGAGCTATTTGGTCAGGATGCCTCCTGAACACCTCTCAGGTGAGGTTTTCCGGGCACATCCAACCGGGAGGAACCCTAAAGGAAGACCCAGGACACACTGGAGGGACTACGTGTCTCAGCTGGCCAGGGAACCCCTTGGGATTCCCCCGGAGGAGCTGGCCCAAGTGGCTGGGGGGAGGAAAGTCTTGGCCTCTCTACTTGGGCTGCTGCCCCCGCGACCCGACTCCGGATAAGTGGCTGAAAATGGATGAATATCTGTTAAAGTCATATCCCTGTACTGTACATAATGTAGGCAATACGTCAGTTTTCTTTGCTAAGCCCCCCCATCCCCCAATCCCATAGAACCTCGTGCAATTTGAATTGAGCACCGCTCAGCATTCCCAACAGCATTCGCTTATGTACAGATGTAAATCACTGAGTGTGCACAAACGTTTGCCCGACTCCGGATAGGCGGATGAAAATGGATGGATGGATGGGTTTTTAGCTCTGTTGGCCTGCTAGAGATGTGCGTTCAAAAACGAGAGGTGTTGCAGTAATCACGGAAGTGGGAAGAGCGCCTTAAGGTGTGATATGTTGTTTCCCCCTCTAGGTGGCGCCCTCTGACAAAAAAAAACTCCGGATTTCTGCTTTAAGTACAGGATTAGTTTAGGAGGCTGAATTGGGATTTTCACAATTCCAGCGACAACCAACTATTTCTACCAGTTCAGTAGTCTGACAGAATCTTCTTATTTGGGCCAACTGGCATTAGACATGGCAGCAATTAGGTCTTAAACACACATCCATGTCTGTTATGAATCATTAGCAGTGTGGTTGCATTCAAACTCAGACTTTGTTTATGGGTCGGGTTTATGTGTCTAACCTAAAGTCCTGTTTGCTAAAACTGAACTGCATCATCTCGTGTTCTCCCTCATCCCAGACGTGCTAATCTTGAGTTTTAGCTGAAAACAACTAGACGTGGTTGAAAATGTCTTCAGAATAGCCCGACAGGTCCAGTTGTTGTCATTCATTAGATCATCACGCTGTGTTGGTTCGTTGGGCTTACTGAATAAAAATGAGATAGGAAACCCCTAAACCTGCTGCAAAATGGTTGTTTTCTAGTGTATTTATCAGTAAAGAAGGGATATTCCACGTGATGCTGCCTGGGTGGCGTACGTCCGGTCCATCACCTCTTTATTAAAGGAAATGAATGATTTCTGTAGCTTGTATTCAGTAGATCCCTACACACAATAAAACCATTAACATCAACGACTACCTCAACAGCGGTGAGAGTTGGGACCAAGAAGGAAGACCGTAGCGATCGTCATCGTGATTCACAAGCGGCATAAAATCTGCTTCCTTCTTCCTGTAGAATGTGGCGTGACAACAGTAACTCGGCTGCTGGTGTTTGAACGGCCACCTGCTGAACTTTCATTTCTCTGGCTCAGATCAAAGGACGAGTCATTTTGGTGCAGATAATAGTAAAAGCAGTGATTTCACGTTTCCGAGTCTCTGGTTGCTTGGCTTCCAGTAATTGCATGATGTCATTTCAAAGCGACGCGGAGGTCGATACCCATATACTTTGAAGTATTTTTCACAGAGCCTAATGTGTCGTCTGGACTCTTCCTCAGCTGGTTCTGGCAGAGAGTGCGCACTCGGATGGAGGGTCTCAGTGCACAGAGAGCCATCCGGAGCTCCCCCCTCCCCTCGAAAGGACAGGGGGCATCGGAGACTCACGACCCCCCTCCTTCCAGTAAGTAGGCTGTTTGCTCCTTGTTGTCATACACGCATGATACCACGCAGGCAGATGCTTCCACGCAGGTTTTCTTTTATTCTTTTAAAAATCGGAGCCATTTAAAATCTGCATAGTTCAACAGAGAGCATCATCGAATCAGCTCTAATGAGGAGGGGCAGGACACTTGTTTGTGTCCCCTCCCTCCCTCCCACACACCCATGAAGTGAGGCGTTAGTCCACCCATCTATGTAAACGTAATGCCGTCAGTGCTGCTGATTCTTGAAACGTCTTCAGGCAAACACTTCCACTCGGCGAGGCCCATTGTGTTCAGTCACTCGGAGCATTCATCCATGCTAACGGCACACCGGACCCAAAAACCACACGGGTGCTCCAAAGGTCACAGACGGAGACTCTCTCCACAGCTCCACTTGGGTTAGCTCAGTTCAGAGTCAGCATTATAAAGTATCGCTGGCAGGAGAAGCCCCTCGCTAAATATAACCAGGGAGGCTGTTGCCCTTGCAGCGTGAGAGCGGTGTGACTGAGGCTCTATATTGAGAACATGCAATCTGTCATGTCTGAGTGTATCTCTTTATCCAGGGTTTGACATCTCGGCTCTGGTTTGCTCCCTGCTGTTGGGCTGTCAGCCGCTCTGATGATTTCATTGTTCCCAGCCAGCTCTCACTACCGCCACCTTGTGGATCAAACGGCAGCATGCCACTGCTCCTCCGAACCACCCCCTTCGACACTCTGCTTTCTCTTTCTCTCTCACCCCGAGTCTGTTCGTATTCCCTGCTGCGATCCTCCTCCCCCCCCCCAGCCTTCTTACCTTCCGCCTCTCCCTCAGAGTCGCTGGAATATTATTATTATCACGTCATTTTCTCTTTGTGCTTCATTCATGCCTTTCATGCGTTTGTCCACGTGAATAGGCTTATTTTAAAGAATAGGTGTGCTGGGCTGAGAATGGACACAGCTGATGTGCCGCTCTCTGCCCGTAATCCGGATTAAAGCGCGCATCTCTTTTTCCCAAAAGGGAGGGAGAGACGATTGGCAGCAGTCGGGGTGGGGGGGGGGGAGGGGTTTAGAAAGGAGAGGGGGGTGGTGTTTGTTCACAGCTGCAGCCTTGCCTCTTAGATGATCTCCTCCCGGATCAGCACCGACAGCCTTGCGGTCAGCACCGCTTTTCGCCGTCCAACAGAAAGATGGTGTGTTCGGCCATATTTGCATGCATGCACTGACCTGCGCTAGCGTAGTCCAGGTGCACCCGTCAGTGTTGTGTAGGTGAAACGTGTAAACGTGCTCCGCTGAGTGACGCAGCATGCTGTCTGCTTCAGAATATTTGCATGGATTGTGTCCTCGCCGAGCCACTCAGGTGTGGTGGAGCATTGTTTTTAAACATGGTGATGGTGGCCCACGCGTTAGTGAGCACCGACCTGTTTGTGGCCAGAATTAGGAGGTAAGGTAGACGTGTGAATTCATGCAGGTGGAACACACACTGTTGCCTAAGTGTGTGTGACGGGCAGACAAGGTTGAGTAGAGTTCTCACCGGCTTCAGGTTTCCCCACGAGCCCGGCGGCGGTGTAAGTCCCCTGACCCCGGTGCCCGAGGCCAGCACGTCTCCAGCCGTCTGACAGAACAACATTCTGCAAGCCGTCAGCCCCCGCCGCACCACCCCAAGAACACCGACTGGCTCGTTGCTGAGCCACACCTGATCTACCACTCCTCACTTTTTATGCGATCTGTCACTCCGCTCTTCGCCGCTCTCCCCCAATCGCGCTCCAGGCACCATCTGGGCGTTCAATGGGTCTCATTAATGCCAGCATTGTCCAGATCCACTCCCTCTCAGGGTATCTGGTCGTTAATGACACTTAGTGGAAAACGCATCACATGCCGCAGAACAATGTAACTGCTGTTTTGGCCAGAGGGACTGAATTTGAAACAGAGTCATGATATGAGTTGCGTTTCTCCCCAAGGCCGGATGACAGGCAGACGGATCCTGTAGCTGGAATCTGTTCAGGATAGTCGGACCGACGTCTGCAGAATCAGTCCGTAACGCTTGTTTGGTGTGACAGTGACCGAGTGTGTTGGATGCATCGTTAAACATCCCATCCCGCTGTTTGTGTGTCTCTGTTGCAGTGCCAATGCAGTGAGCAGCCGCGACGGTCTGGACACGGAGACGGGGACAGAGTCTCTCCTGAGCCACAGACGGGAGCGAGAAAGAGAGCGAGCTCGCAGGAGAGCTCGGGAAACTGAGCGTGAGTTTAATCTGCCGGGAACAGATGGAGTAAAAAAAAAATAGAAAAGGAAATAGATCCAATTATCTCGTCATTTGGATGCTGCTGCTTCTCCGCTGAACTCGTACTCACCTTTCAAAAATACAGACGGCAGACATGCGTGTTAAAGTGTCCCATCAGGACGGAGACGTCCACCTGGCCGAGAAACACACCCATGTTCTCAGAAAGGAAGAAGTTCTGTGTGTGCGTGTGTGTGTGTGTGTGTGTGTGTGTGTGTGTTTCCTCCTCCTCCCGTCTGTAAGGATGATTACAGATTACATCCTGTCAGAGGACACTGATAAAATGTTGGAGGAAGTCAGATGCAGCTGGGATTGAAACAGTCGACCAGGAAAAGACTCAAACACACAGACTGGAGATAATATTTAGGTAAAATATGATCACATGGTTTCAGGAAGTATAATAAAAAAACGTCTGTTTTTGTTATTTTAGCCGGTTAGCGCTCCCCCCGTGCGCCTGCTCCTCCTGTTCTCGCTGCCTTTCCTCTTCTCATCCGGCACTCCAAGCTCATTAAACAAATACTCATTAATCAATGTGGAGCAATTAGTGGCTCAGAGCTCAGCATCAAGTTGTAGGAAGGCTCAGTAGCTCCAGCGGTTTAAAGGGTAATGGCCTCTGAGGAGATTCCTCTCACAGAGCGACCTGCTAGCTTGAACAGCTGCTGTTTTTTTCACGCGTGGTGTCTCAAACCCAGCCGACCGTCCTTCAGTCTGTGCTTCCTGACCTCATCGGAAACTAAACGCTAGCAGCAGATAGGGAGGATCCCGTCACACACACCCTTCTCCCAGGAAACACAGTGTCCGTTCCCACACCTCACGTCTCATCGCCTGCTAGTTTGTTGGAGCTAATTAAATGAAACCACCACACCCACCAGCAGATTTGTGGTTAACAAATCTACCAAACAAGATCTGGTGAAGTGTAGCTGAATTTGACTTGGTCTAAAGGCCGGGACGTAAATCTGTACAAAGCCCCGCCCCCGTCTGCCTGCAGCATCAGCAGCAGGAATTTCCCCGACACCCTATCCACATGCTGCAGGTGATTCCTCCTGCGTGACCTGTGTAGTGTGTGTCTCTGGTAAACATATCCCTGATTCTGGTTTCCCGTGCTGTCACGTTTAGAGATGAAAAATGCTGCAGTCGGAACGTTTTAGGACAATGAGCAGGTGTCTGGCCCAGAAGGCAGTCGTCAGAAAGAAAGAGATGTTTGAGAACCATCTTTGCTTTTGCGCTCCGGTCTCACGGAGCAGAAAAGAGCTTTGCAGTTGCACGACAAGTAATTTAGTTCAGTGCTGCAGGATTTGGGTCAGGGAAGACGTGGCTAAGCCGGAGCACTCGTGCTTGTGTTAAGGTTTTAACAGAAAGCAGGAAAACAGCTGAACTTCCACCAGCTCTCTCATCACGGCCATCTTTCAATCTTTTATTTAACTTAACCTGGTGTTGTTTCACCTGGGGGGGGGGCAGATCGTCTACAATCCTGTATCATCTTAGACAAGCCTGTCTTCTGATTGGTCAGGGGCAGATTATCGTTCTACTGTATAGATGCACGCCATGGGAGGGAGAGAGGGGAGGAGGCGATACTTTCTCCTCACTCTTAGTTCCCTTTGTCACTTTGCGATGGAGGCGAACCGTCGTCTGGCGAGGACCGTCTAGTTCCTGTTCAGTCCTGGTTTTTGGTGTTGAACGTGCGTCAGGGATTGGTTTGTTACGCTATATTATTTCTGTTTCTCCGGTTTTAGTACAGCTAACTCTATTGGCTCTAGTGTACTTTAACTTTGGTCGGACCCAAAGTGACTCATTCAGACTTTTGACGTTAAAAGATCACAAGAGTTGTACTTTTAGCCAGAAGGCGTTGCTCCACTTGTTGTATTGTTTCTGTGCTTTACGCTCATTCTCTGTTGTTGTCTTCATTATAGATGAGCTGTGCAGGCTGTGAGCAGCCAGCTGGTGGGCTGAGGCTGTCTGAAGCTCAGGCTGGCTTTTAGAGAGCGGCTGGCACAGACGGAGCAGAGTACAAAGACACAGATTCTCCGTCTGGCTTAGTGAACCTGCACACTTGCTCTTTCTGTTTTTGTTTTCCCTGCTGGGACTCATCAGTATGGGAGGAAGTATGTCTGCGTGAGTCCTGACTGTGGATGTCAGGCCCCTCTGCCGATTGACTGCTCACACGCCGAAGCTCAGCTTTCATAAGCGTGCCATCTGGGTGGAGCCAGCGATGGAGTCCCCTGCGTCGCTGGGATGTTTTGTTTGCTCACGGCGAATACGACGGCGGCCTTGCCCTTTTCGCCTCGTGAGGCCTTTCCAACAGATCCGCTGCTACCCCGAGAGAGCGCCACCTCTACGGGAATGTACGTATGGAGACGTGCAGAGTAGTCCTGCTGTGCTGGGTGGTTGATGGACGCAGAACTACTTTCTCCTTTCCTCATGTGTGGATGTGCAAGTCTATGAGCTCAATCAGAGTGACCTTTTAACTCTGACCTGATTAGACGCCATCACTCAGGTGTAGCGTAGGGTTGCAGATGCTCCAGCTATATTTATACTCCTCTCTCTCGTTCTGATCCTACCCCTCAATGAGCGGTGCGACCTCCCGTCTGACTCACTGCTCCTCCGCTCTTTCTCCCCGCAGTCCCTCGCATCAACGGTCACTCCAAATCAGAGCGCACGGCAAGGGACTCGGCCATGGGTTACGACAGCGCCTCGGTAATGAGCAGCGAGCTGGAGTCCAGCTCGTTTGTCGACAGCGAGGAAGATGAGGACGCTAGCAGGTAGCGTGTAACCTCACACCAGAGTGTGCTTCTGTGTGTCCCTAACCTTTTGAAGCCACAATGCTTCGTGCTAATAAACCACTTTTGGAGCCTAAACAAGAATATAAACAATTTCGGTTATGTGGATTAGTGTCGGCTTTAGATTGGGAATGGATGACGTCACTCAAGATTATCTGGACAGTTTAGCTCTTTCGGTTACTATGAACCTCGTGTGTTTTAGCGTCCTGCAATACCAGCCTCTTAATTTATATATTAGTCCATTTTTAAACCTCACAAGGAAATCATGAATCTATTTTTCCTCCTATATATTAAAAAAATAGAAATTTCAAAGGTTGTAGCAAATGTTTAACCTGGTGTCATCTCATCGACCTAAGATCCTGGGCCACAAATGAGTTTAATTTAATAACTGAAAGCCTAAGTATTTATCACTGATGTTAATATACCAAACATGTAATGATGTGTTTTAATTACATGTAATTATATAACAATATAACAGTAACAAAGATATAACGCTGGCTTTTCACTGCTGTAGATCCTCAACCAAGGGACCGTAGACATGTCTAGGACTGAGATGGAGGAAATTTCTGATGAAGCTACTAATCCTGGTGCTCCATCCACCAGGAGGAATGTGTTTTCACTATTATCCTGGTAGATTTCACTATTAGCAGGGTGATTTATCACCTCCCAGGATGGCCGATCTTTTCCTTCAGACTTTACTGTTTTGACGTTTTAACTGAAAGAAAACGAAATCATCCCAAAAGGGATCATTAAGCTACTTGTATGTTCATTCTGGAAGCTGGAGGCCAGCTTTAGCTCATCATATAAAACAAAAATACAAGAATCAAGTTATTTTTCCTCAGTTATGTTAAACTCAGCTGACAATAACGTTGAAATATGTTTATTGGGCCTCAAATTCTGCTCTGTGGTGCAGCTATTATCAGTCTGTAGATCACAGACCCTTCTCACACTTGAGGCCGTTGTGCTAAAAGTCCTAAATGAGTTTTATATTCCATTGTTGCCTCAAATGTCACGTTGACTTCTGCAGCACGTTTCAAATGAAAACAAAACGGACCAGCACTCAGATGAGTCCGCGCCCTCTAAAGCCTGTTAGAAGTCCACTCACGCTCCTTCCACAGATTTAATTTTCCTCTCGTTCGTTTCAGGCTCAGTAGTTCCACAGAGCAGAGTTCGTCTTCACAGCTGATGCGTCGACACAAACGGCGCCGACGAAGGCACAAGGTGGCCAAAATAGACCGGGTATGCACTTCTAAGTCACATCACTGCTTCAGCTGAAATGAACTCTTGACAGCCAGAGCTGGAAACGGACGGGAGAGCTGATCAGTGCAGACTTTTATTCACATTGTGTTCATTATAAACCTCTGCTTGTCTTTTCAGTCTTCATCCTTCAGCAGCATCACAGACTCCACCATGAGCCTCAACATCATCACCGTCACACTCAACATGGGTGAGGGTTGCTCCCTCTGCTTAGGAGGTTGCTCCTTGTAGCTCTCTCTCTCATCTGTATCCTATTCCTTATCGTTTCCATTGTTGTGGCAGAGAAATACAACTTCCTGGGTATCAGTATTGTGGGGCAGAGCAACGACCGGGGAGACGGCGGGATTTACATCGGTTCTATCATGAAGGGAGGCGCTGTAGCTGCTGACGGGAGGATAGAGCCTGGAGACATGCTTCTACAGGTTGTGCTGGATGTTCTGAGTATGGATGGAGTCACTGCAGCACTGCTATCACTGTTTTACACCGCACACACACACACACACTGATGGGTGCTCATCTGTCTTAGGTTTATCAATAGCCACATCACTTCCTTTACTAAACTGAAGGCTTCCTTCTTGTTTCTTCTCTTTGTGACACATCAGCTCTTACATACACTCTATTATGACCCACATGATGACATTATGATGCTCACAGTCAGCAGAAATGTGTTTAAAGAGTTCCTCAGATAAAACATCCGAGTCTTAGTCAGAACTCCATCATCATGTTTTGTGCACAAACCCACAAAATGCATGACGAGTAATCTAAACGGATGCAACTGTGTTTTGTTCTATAAACCAGGTGAACGATGTCAACTTTGAGAACATGAGTAACGACGACGCTGTGAGGATCCTGAGAGAGATCGTCTCCAAGCCAGGGTAAAGAACGCCAAACTCCAAATTGCAGCAATCGTTTTGAGAAAAACTGAGTTTTCTCGGCCCTCTGTGGTTTCATTTGGTCACCACTGGTGCAGGTTTTCTGAGATTCCTGGTTTCTGAGAAAAATCTAAAAGTTCCCTGCCAGAATTTGTCCAGATATTGATTAAGCCAATAAACTTTTACTAAAACCCTTCTGCAGGAACTTGAGCGGATAAAGCAGCTGTTTAGCTGTCCTACTCGTTTTATTTATTTATTTTTCTTTATAAAGCGCCAAATCATGACAAGAGTCGTCTCAAAGCATTTCACACAGTAAATATTCCAATACAGGTCATTAAGCCAATCAGTCAAAAGTTTCCTGAACAAGGAACCCAGCAGGTTGCATCAAGTCACTGACTAGTGTCAGAGTCTTTACAGCAACCTCAGACTGAGCAAGCATTTAGCGACAGTGGAGAGGAAAACTCCCTTTTAACAGGAAGAAACCTCCAGATGATCCTGGCTCAGTATAAGCAGCTATCCTCCACGACAGAGCAGACACACACATCCACACACACACACACCATATATACTAAGGAGTGTTTCTATGGTTACATTGTGATTTCTTAGTAAATATTCTATTTGGTGAGAAATAAACTTTATTGTATTTATCCTAGTGGATCTATAATTAAACGGGTAAACTAGTAGTAGCACATTCAATGTCAAAGAAAGTAAAAAGCTATTATCAGGAGAGGGAGAATGTTTAAGTGGTTAGCAGCAGTGTGCTAGATGACGGCCCCCTCCATGAGGCCACCACAGCTCAGCAGAACATCATTGTAGCTTCTTCTGGGGAGAAAAACACTTACAGAGAAAATAAAGTTAACAGCTGAAATAGCAGGAAATAATACAGTTAAAGAGCAGATAGTAGAAGAAAGCAGTAGAGTGTGACAAGTGGTCAGTGTGTCCTCCAGCAGTCTAAGCCTATAGCAGCATAACTACAGAGATAACTCGGGATAACCTAGCCTTTTAGATGGAGGCATGTTGGAGGCAGGGCTAGGGAGAGTCGTCTTTACCGACTGTACACTCCACCTCCCTCTATTCCCCCACTTGTCCAGATCTAGGCTAACATCAGAGTTTAACCATAGGCCCTATCAAATAAAAATGTTTTAAGCCTAGTCTTAAAAGTAGAAAAGGTGTCTGCCTCATGGACTAAAGCTGGGAGTTGGTTCCAGAAGAGAGGAGCCTGATAGCTAAAAGATCTGCCTCCCATCCTGTTTTTAGATATTATGGGAACCACCAGTAAACCTGCAGTCAAAGAGTGAAGTGCTCGGTTGGGATTGGATCTAAAATGCAAGTTGAACGTTTAGATGAAGCTAATATTTTTGATAACTCTGAAAGCTCAACTGGATCAAAACGGTTCAAGCACAGATGAGGTTCTACAGTTACCTCTAATGCTGCCTCACTTACTGAGGAAGAAGAAATCACATTAGGGAGGATGCTAAAGATTTTGTTTCTAATAGAATTAATTTTACTTGTGAAAAAGTCGTTGCTGCTGAATGCTAAGGGAATAGATGGTTCAGAGCTATGATTCTGTGTAAGTTTAGCAACTGTACTGAAAATAAATTTAGGATTATGCGTATTCTCCTCAATTATTGCTGAGAAATAAGCAGTTCTAGTTTGTTGAAGCTTATTTTTATAAAGCACAAGACTATTTTTCCAGGATAGGTAGTACTCCTCATGGTGCGTAGAGCGCCATGTTCTCTCCAATTTCCTAGAGTTTTGTTTTAAGGCTCGTAAATGAGAATTAAACCAGGGAGCAACTTCCTGTCCCTAATTACCTTCTTTTTTAAAGGGGCAACATCATCTAATGCCACATCACTTCCTTTACTAAACTGAAGGCGTTAAAGGGATGGTTCCATAGATAAATGATAAGTCAGCCGATGGATCTGAACAACCTCAGTTTGGAGAAACAGAGTTTACGCCTGGCAACCCACAGTCGCATTCTGCTACCAAAATCTTTCTTTTCTGTAGAACGTTCTGAACATTTTTCTTTGTTTTATTGCAATAACCAACATCCATTTTCATAAATGTATATTTATCTGCTCCTATAGGAGCATTAAATCTAGTTATGGTGCATTTGTTCTCAGCAATTAATCGAGGTTAAGCACAATTTAAATATGAAACTCGTACAATTAATCGCGAGAAACATTTTTGGTTAATTGATGGCTCGAATAATGATTTAATACATTGTAATATAAAACCAGTCAGTTTCAACAGTTAGCAAGCGTCACTCCTGCTAGCTTGCTGCTTCTCACTCTTTGATGCGTCTCTGGCTGCTTACAGACCGACGTGTTCAGTCCTAAACTTTGCTGCTAGCTTTGCAGTTTTTTTTACCCCCTCAATTTAGGGGGTTGTTTGTGTTGCGGCGAGCCTTTTTACCATGACGGATGATGAGACGTACGTCAGAATTCAGCTAAGAACTATGGAGATACAAGTTAAGGTTCAAATCGCGTCGCCCTATTTTCTACTTTCTCTGGGGCGAGACCCGCTCAGTCTGCCGCTGTCGTTGTGTCCTTGGGCAAGACACTTAACCCACGTTGCCTGCTGGTGGTGGTCGGAGGGACCAGTGGCGCCAGTGCTCGGCAGCCTCGCCTCTGTCAGCGCGCCCCAGGGCAGCTGTGGCTACATTGTAGCTCATCCCCACCAGTGTGTGAATGTGTGTGTGAATGGGTGAATGACTGATTGTGTTGTAAAGCGCCTTGGGGGGTTCCAGGACTCTAGAAGGTGCTATATCAAATACAGGCCATTTACCATTTACTTAAACAATCACTTAATGCAGTGGAAAGGTATAAGTATTAGCGTTTGCCTGAATATCTATAAAGTTTTGGAAGCAGGAGTTGTTTTAAAATGGTGAATGTTCACCTTGGAACTCGAGTAATCCTATCAGACCAAGCAGAGGTCATTTAAAGAGCTTTTTATTATAGGTGAAACATCCTTTCCACAGAATCCCATTTCAGAATACAGTAAATGTCTTTTTCACAAGCGTGATGGAACAAAGAACATGTTGGAACGTGTTTACACTCATCTCTATTTCTTCAGACCGATCAGTCTTACTGTTGCCAAATGTTGGGATCCGTCTCCACGGAGTTACTTCACCATCCCTCGAGGTAAAAAAACACTCTGGTGTCGGATTATAGTTGCTCTTCCTCACAAATCCAGCGTTGATCAGAATATTCAGAGCACTAAAGCTACATCATTTGTCCTGTTTGTTTGATTGGTTAAGCTGAACCAGTGAGGCCCATTGACCCAGCGGCTTGGATCTCGCACACCACGGCCCTGACTGGACCCTACCCTCACTACGGTAAACTCTCTCCTCTGCGCTTACGACTGAATTTTAAAATGCTGTTCTAATCGTGACGCGCTAGCTTGGTTTTCTTTCAGAGTTTGACGACTTGCCTCTGTCCGCAAGCAAAACAGACATGGCAACCATCGTCAAGGTGATGCAGCTGCCTGACTCAGGTCTTGAGATCCGAGACAGGATGTGGTTGAAGATCACCATCGCTAATGCAGTCATTGGTGAGAAGAACAGAGTAAAGCCGAACTTTTTATAGATTTGAGGTTTAAAAGCACTTTACTGGAACTCGGGCAGCTCGGGGGTTGATGTGGTTTGTGAGCCGTTTGATTGTAATTCTTTAGCTTGGCTGAACCACCTGCTGTCATTGCTCGTGTGAGTGTGTTTTAAGCATGGACCGAGTTTTTAGTGTCTATCACTGAGTGTGTGTGTGTGTGTTTCATCAGGTGCTGATGTGGTCGACTGGCTTTACTCCAGAGTAGAAGGCTTCAAAGATCGACGAGATGCAAGAAAGTATGCGAGCAGTTTGCTGAAACATGGCTACCTGAGGCACACAGTCAACAAAATCACCTTCTCTGAACAGTGCTACTACACGTTTGGAGACCTCTGCCAAAGTACGGGCAGGTTTTCCAAAACCCCAATGGTTCCAGTCAGTGTCTCACAGGGATGTGACTGTTGGAGACCAATCTGTGCTCACAAATAACTCCACATGTTGGTCAAAGGTTTTAGAATTTCTCTCAAGAGTCTCAGAGTTTAAAACACGATCAAAAACGAGCCCAGCAAACTTTTTCTTGAAATAATCGCAGAGTTTTGCAGGCATCTGAAACCCGTGGGAATCTTCTCACTTTAGTTTCCACGACTCAGAAAGTGGCTGGTGATTAAATTGCAGCAAACTTGTTTGAACAAACTGAGACTTAATTAGGTTTCCAGGAAAACTGCGATTCGTTTGCAACTACAACTAGGGTTGTCACGGTGTGAGAATTTAACCTCACGGTTATTGTGACCAAAATTACCACGGTTTTCGGTATTATCGCGGTATTTTTTTAAACGTGCTACATTTTCACACAATTAAATAAACCCTGTATATCAGGAAATATTGTCCTCAGTTTGTGTCTAAATTTAGCCTAAAATGTGTTATTTTGTAATTATGTTGTTTATTTGTTTACATTTTTCCCCTTTAGTCTTTAAAATACCAATATTTGCCCATAACTTCTTACTTTTTGTCTGTTTGATGTCATCATTTTAAAAATATTAGATCAGGTGATACTCAGTACTCAAGTAGCCTTCTAATCAGATACTTTTTTACCCTTACTTGAGTAATAAACCCTATATCAGGAAAATATTGTCCTCAGTTTGTGTCCTTCCAGTGAGCTTTGCAGATGTGGGAAAATGTCATCAGGCAGTAATCGTTGTTAAATTCATAATTATTCTCGGAGAGAGACCAACTCTTATCTGCCCCTGGGAGCCCCGTAATGCATAGCGTCATTTCAACATGGCGGTGTCCGCGACACGGTTTATATGCAGGTAGCGGCGCTGCGGCTGCTTTATATAGCCACTCGTTGCTTTCTCCCTCAACCCAAATCCTCGGATCACGCATTTTAGCTAAAACGCTAACGTTAGCTTGCCTTGCGTTGACTGTAGAGTTGTGGGTGATGGTCACGCAGATGTGTCATGAGATTTGAAGCGTTGCTGCCTTTCACAGACACTTTTTCTGCACGTGCTGCAAACAGGATAGCCATCTTCTATCAGCTGTCCCTCGGCATTCTTCAGATATCCAAAAGATGCCCGTACTTCCCACTTTGTCTTCTTTGAGGGATAATAAATGTCCGGAGCGCTGCCGTCTCCTCCTTTGGCCATTATTTCAGCTTTAGCTTCAAGAAAGTTTTGGCTATAAACAACAAAGTGCACATGTGCTGCCAGCAACTTCAGCAGACGATACGGTGGCTGGTAAGGGTCACCGCGCCTACACCGCAGCCACGGTAATCCACCGAGATTTTTTATTTTTTTAAAACAAGACGATTATTATTATTGTCAACTTTTTTACCGGGGTTTACCGCTACACCGGTTACCATGACAACCCTAACTACAACACATGGTCGTTTTCAGGGATCTAACAGGTGCTTGAAATGTATAGAAATGAATTTAAATGTGGTGAAAGTGAATAAGTTATTACTGAATGTGCTGAAAAATCCTGAAAACTTGCCTGAGAATGCTTGACGAAAGCTTGAGTTTACTTAGTCGTTAGGTGTGGAACGTGCACACTTGGTCTGATTCACACAGTCTTGTGTCTCCAGCTGGTCTCCAACAGTCACAGCCCAGTGCAGTGCTGGCCTCCACCTCTCACACTGGTTGTGTCTGGAGTGAGAACTGTTCTCTGTCTTGTCTAGACATGGCGTCACTCAATTTAAACGAGGGATCCAGTGGCGGAGGATCTGAGCAGGACACTTTGGCACCTCTACCTCCCACCGCCAACCCCTGGCCTCTGGGGGGACAGCCGTTCCCCTACCCTCCTTTTCCCTCGGCACCCCCGAGCTTCCCGCCAGGCTACTCCGACCCGTGCCACAGTTTTCACAGCGGCAGCGCAGGCAGCCAGCACAGTGAGGGTGAGCACTAAAACCTCATATCTCTGACGTCTGTATTAACAACTGTCTGACTAATGTTAGCTCCTCTGGCTCTCTGAGCCGCTGCCTTCCCCCTAGTTACGTTTGTGTGTTTCTAAACCGCGTCCTGTGTTGTCAAGGTCAATCATGAGCATCATGGGTCACGCAGCGGACAGCTCTGCAGTACTGGGTGTGTACACACACACACAAAAATAAACCCGATCAGCCGTGTGATTCCAAATCATCAGTGATTCCATCCTTCTCTATCAGCCCGTCAATCATCTGCTTTCATTTTGGATCAAAATGTGATGCTGCTGCATGATTTTAATGGTCTGCATTGAAGGAGGAGGGTGTGCACATGCCTCAAGCTATGAATATAGCACTTGAGGCAAAATAATTCAGAATTACCACTTCAGCATCTTTGCTGTCCTGTCCTGATATGGTCACATGTTGCTTTCACCTTCTTTATTTTGATTTTCTGCAAATAAATAAAATCATTTCAGTTTATTTATATATCATAACACGAAACATTTCTAACATTCCAGTTGAACCTACTGTACATTATGTTCACTTCATATGCCAACTTTACAGTGATCTCCATGCTAAGCAAGCTTGTAGCGACAGTAGAGGGGAAAACTCCCTTTGAACACAACCTGGCAGCCGTCTGCCACGACTCACTGGGGGATGATTGAAAAATGCTTAGAGGTAGGGCTGCTCAATTAATCAAATTTTAATCACGATTACGATCTGAGTTTTGAACGATTATAAAAACAAAACAAGCCGATTATTTGCTCCTCCCACTTGCGCTGCCCTGAGTTGCAAATGAAGCGCTCCTCCCACAGTGTTGCCAACTTAGCGACTTTGACGCTATTTCTAGCAGCTTTTCAGACCCCCTTCTTGACTTTTCAAATCTTAAAAGTACCTAGTGAACACCTCAGAAACATCTCTGGTAACCCTTAGCTACTTTCTGGATAACTGTCGTCGACATTTCCTGCAGGTTAGCTAAACACTCCGCCTGTGCTCCGGACCGTTCATCAGGACATTAGGAAAGGGAATGATGCAGTGATGTGTCGGTCGCTAAAGAAACGGCTCTCAGAGCCGGCTCCTTGTTGGAGTAACCAGAGTGAGTGACACACACCGTACCTGCGGACTCCTGAGCCGCTAAAAACTGCTAAATGTGCGCGTGTGGCGCGCTAAACACACATGCAGCTTGCCCCGATTGCTGTGAGACCGGGGTTGGGGGGTGGGGGGGTGCAGCTGTGGTTGGGACAGTTATTACATTAACTGATGGACTTGTAAATAATTATTTATAAATAAGGTAGAAATAAGTTCCTCACGCTGATAAATAATAACTAATCTCTATGAGGACACGGTGCTAGTGCACTCTCCTACAGCACCTTGACACGACTCAATAAATGTTATGCAACATTTTGTGAACATAAATTTATTTGTTATAAATGCTACTGTATAATTCTTGCTGTCAGTATTTGCAAGATATTGGTATTTGGGTCTGTACTGGTTAGACTTACGTGAGTTAAACCAAGGTCTACAGCCTTTGGGTCATAAACTATGAGCTGTAAGTATACTGGTCTTTTTACACAGGAGTTATTTTAGTGATCATCTTGTTTCTTATTTTTGTCCTGATTGTGCCCTGAGCAATTTTATGAATGAATAAAAACAAATAAAATCAACATAAATTGAAAAATCGTCCTAAATGATCGTGATCCCAATTTCAGTCACCATAATCGTGATTATTATTTTTGCCATGATCGAGCAGCCCTACTTAGAGGTTTAGTTTGTTTTGGTGCTCCTAAACTTAAAGGGATATTTTAGCAAACGGTTTTCATTGTAAAAATGATAAATATTTATATTGTAGATCGCTTCCTGAACAGCCTTGTTCGAGAAAGAAAGAGTACATATTACAGGACTGACTAGCTAGTGGCTAATGTGAAAGAAGCTAAAAACAACGTTTATTATTTAACTTAAAACAGCTCCAGTCTTAAAAAAAAGTCCTTATTTTTGCACCACCACCACACGTTGTTTCACAAGGACGTTTGTGGTGGTTTAAAACCGTAAATATCAGGAGTAGCTTCATGTAGCCGTGCATCCAGGGGTCGAGTCCCGTGGACGTTTAAATGTAGCGGCTGTGTGTGACGGGTAACACGTCTCAGTACAGACAGAAGGACCGGGAGCCTGTTCAGGAACGAGGGGCTGCGACCTGGATGGGAGAGAGGGCGTTTCAGCTCCAGCAGCCTCCTGCTGCCCATGGGCACGGAGGAAAGCAACCCGCAGCAAGCAGCGCAGCAGTGTGCTGTTGTTGGCTAAACCAGCAGCGATGACTGTGATCAGGAGGAGATTGTTGTCACGTGTGTGTGAACGGCTGTGAAATTCACAAGCTTGGAGGTTGGAGATGCACTTTGGCCGAGGCTGCTAGGGCCGTCGAACATGAACCATTTCTTCAAACTGAGGTTTTGATGGAAGCCTTCTGCAACTTAGAGGTGACTCACAATGCCCCCCCCCCCCAAACTGCTAAAAATGCCCTAAGACTCCTGCTTGTTTCATTGTGTGCATGTGTTTGTTTAAATTGTTGTAGTCAGAAGAATAAAGCAGGACCGCTCGTGTTAGTCTGAAGGCATCGGAGCAGGTGTAGTGCCGTGTGTTGGTCAGCGTGGGCTGGGAGGTGTGTGTAATCCTATTGTTCCCTCTTGTTTCTGCTGGGCAACGTTAGACTGAAGGAGGAGGTAGTCCCGGGACTCTGGGGGAACCGGTAAGCCTGCTAACCCCCATCCTCCTCTTCTGCTGCTCTCTGTTTCCATCCAGTCTTTATTCTATCCCTCCTCTCTCTCTCTCCTGTCCTCAGCATCCTCCACCTATCATACTGCAGCTTTAATCCCCCCCCCCCGCCTCATGATTCCTCCGTCCATGTGTATCCCGTGTGTGACTCTCCTGACAGTCGATGCTTTCCCTCCGCACCTCTGGGCATGCGTTTGAACTGTACTGGGAGGTGCATGAAGCAGGATGACGAGTCTCAGGCTTGTGCTGGGACGGGACAGCCATGCACCACTCTGCCCAGTACTGCAGACGTGGAGGAGGTGGTTTAGCAGAAGCATGGTACACCTCCATCAGTCTGGGAATTATCAGCTGTTAAATCAGATTTGATGTGAACCACGACGCACCTGAGACAAAGTTCAGATGAGTGGCATGTCGCTGATGCTGGTGTACCACTGATCCTGATTATCCGTGAATGTGGTGGTGTTTGTAAAACGTCAGATCAGCTCATGATTAGTGGCAGTGGGTGAAACCTTTAGGATAATCATTTCTGCCCTCGACGCTCTCTGGAGCACTTGGGGAAGTGTCTGGTCACACCTTAAACAAAGTGCTTCCACGTGTTTCATCGGTGCGTTAAACTGTATGTTGGAGTTTTTACACCAGGACGTGTTCGTGTGGTGTGTCGCAGCGGTTGTTTAACGTGTGACCTCGTTTCTCTGCACTAGCTGGTCTTGAGTCACGTGTGTCCGATGAGTGGCTCTCGCCGCCTTTTCTGGGGTGTTGTGCGAATGCCACAAAAGATTTTCCTAAAGTGTTCCCTGTTGTGTTGTTGTTTTTTTTCCTCAGGAAGCCGAAGCAGTGGATCCAACTCCAGCGCAGGCAAGGACAGACGCTCTCCGCAGGAGAGGTGTCAGAGGACAGCATGCAGCGAACCAGAGCCCGGTGTTCGTGGAGGGAGGCGCGGTGACCGGTCCGCCAGCCAGATGAGCCACCACAGCCACGCCCTCTCCAGCCACAGCCACGCCAGGTCGAGTCTCAGTCACAGGAGCCCCTCTTTCTCTCAGAACAATCACCCCCCCTTCACCTATAGCCACGCCCCCTTCGCCCAGCCAAGCCCAGGCTCCTGCGCACAGAGCGAGCGGAGCCACGCCTCCTCCTACGGCCCCCCAGGCCTGCCTCCCCCTTACTGTCTGGCTCGTCTGGCTCCCAAAACCTCTGTCAGCAGCAGCACCCCCCCTGGGGCCCCCCCTGGGAGAGAGTTAGCAGCCGTTCCTCCTGAGCTCACCGCCAGCCGCCAGTCGTTCCAGCACGCCATGGGCAACCCCTGTGAGTTCTTTGTGGACATCATGTGACAGGACAGTGCCTTTAAAACAGAGAGCACAAACCCCCCCCTCCTCTTAGCTTCCTGCTGTCTGATGTCCACAGGAAGTACCTGCTGTGTTAGCACAAACAGCGACGTCGCCACTCCCAAAGCACAGGTGCTCTGCTGAGGAAACCAAGCGACTCTTTCCTGTTGACGTGTACAGTCTGTGAAACGTGAGTGGTGTTCAGTGCGGTGACGTCTTTAAAGCTGCCATGCGGACATTCTGGGGAGGTTTTTCTCTACCTGGGATGTTTTCTGTTCTGCGGGACCTTTAACGTGGCTGGGGCTGGATCTCAATCCTCCAGACCTGGGTTGTGTGCCGACTCATCAAACTCTTGTTTCTGTTGCCAGCAGGTGGTCTGAGCTCTCCCCGTTCAGCCTGAGCGGGTCCTGGCCCGGCTGTCAGCCAACGGCTGCTCAGTGCGTGACCGTCTTAACTGCTTTAAATAAATTTAATGAATTAATTTTGTTTTAAAGTATTGTCGGCTCCAGAGGGTGAATGCGTACACTGGATGGCGTTGTGGTGTTATTTATGTGTTCATGTTGCGTTGATTTGGTTTGCCTTCAGCAGCTCACTGACAGACAATCAGACACCACACTCTGTGAGGCCGGGGCCGCTCTCCACTGACGTAGCTGTGCTGCGGTGACGGCACCGTTGCTGCGGACGTTCGCCTGCTCGCGTGCCGATCACCAGTACCTGCTGTGAGTCAGTGAGAAAAGCCAAAGGCTCACATGGTGTGGTGGGTATTTCTTAATGTCTGAGCGGTTTCTGATGCCAATCTTTTATTTTTCATTTACTCGTTTTAATTTTGTGATCATCACATCTCTACCAGTTTAAACCGACTTCGAGGGGAATCCCGACCGACAATAACAATGGCAACCCCGATTTATTCACTTAATCACACACACACACACACACACTTGTTTTATGAGCACTTATGTTTTTGTCTCCCTCCTTTTAGAATGAAACACTGTTTGCAATCAAAGCTTTCTTTAATTTTGTTTCGCAGCAAAAAAGGAATAAATTGTACATAGAAAATTATATATGAATTAAAAATATATATGTTCAAAGATGTTTAATTGGTGCTTTTTTTAATACCTAAAATTACCAACTACAGTCATTCATACAGATTTAGATTTTATATATGAACCAAATGTTTGTTCTTCCATCACACACCGCTGGTTTTCAAACCAGGGGTCGGGGCCCGATTTTGGGTCATGCAACACAAGGCGTGGGGTCTGGAGCAGATCTACACGGGACTAAATAACTCCCCAGTGGCGCATTTACACTCAGGTCCTTAAATATTGGGACATGGACACTGCTAACATTTTTTGGCTCTATGCACCACAATGGATATCAAATGAAATGAACAAGATGTGCTTTAACTGCAGACTGTCAGCTTTTATTTGAGGGTGTTTACATCCAAATCAGGTGAACGGTGTAGGAATACAACAGTTTGCACATGTGCCTCCCACTTGTTAAGGGACCAAAAGTAACGGTACAATTGGCTTCTCAGCTGTTCCATGGCCAGGTGGGAGTTATTCCCTCATTATTATTATTATTATTATAATAAAAGCTGACAGTCTGCAGTTAAAGCACATCTTGTTCGTTTCATCTGAGCGCTTATGTTTTTGCCTCCCTCCTCGTTTCACTAGAAACAGGCTCGACTCATCTTTTTAGCTTAGCTTTTAACTGAATACTATCACTTTTTAATTAATGAATTTAATTATTTAGGTTATTTATTTATCTAATCATTATTTATTTAATGTATTCTTTCTTTATACGTGCTTTTTAAACAGTTTTTTACCTTGATTTATGATCAACATTTTAATATCTATACAACTTTTGAGATTAAAATTCTCATTTTAGCTCTTTTGATTTTACATTTTAATCTTAATTTAACCTTTTTCCAGTGCTTCCTCTGTGGGAGCCCTCTGCCCCGGGAGCGGTGGTCAGCTGTGGCAGCCTCGGTGCTTTCCAGGTGTGCCTAGGTGGAGGTGGGGGTCTCTGCCCTCCCTGCCCTGGGCGCCCTGTGTCAGTGCCTCGGCTGCTGCTGTGGATCTGCTGCTGTCGGGGCGGATGGCTCCCCTGATGGTGTTTCCTTATCCTTATCTTAGCTGGTCTGGCTCATCTGATCTCAGTCAATCGTGTTTTTTACCATGGGGAAGGGGGCATGTGTGTGCCGGAGGATGAGTGTTGTGAAGGGTTTTTATTGTCAGACTGTTTTTAAAATTTTGGGGATGGGAGGGAATGCAGGGCCTTTTTAATCTGTTAAGCACTTTGAGTTGCATGTATTGTACGATTAAGTGCAATATAAATAAAAGTTGATTGATATCCATTGTGGGGGTGCATGGAGCCAAAAACGTTAGCATTGTGTCGATGTCCTAATATTTATGGACCTGACTGTAGCATAACTGTTGGGAAAAGCTAAACACGGAAGTCATAAGCTTACTTTTTAAACTAACAGTTGGATGTGTTCACGCTTCACCACGCAGGGTCACAAAGCCGAGTTTTATCATGTAGATCCAAAACTTAAACGTTTGTCAGTTTGAGCTGACGGAAGAAAAACTTCAATAAAATGTGTTAATTTAAAAAAAAAGTTGAAATGTTTGCATAAAAGGTTGGTCTTTACTAACAAATACTCCATTCATGCTTTTATTTATTTAAATAAAACTTGTTGCTTCAAATGAATACAAATGCAAAGAGGACTTTTGTAGGTTTTAACACTAAATGTTAATTGTTTGGGATTTTTTTTATTAACTAGAAAAAGCTTTATGAAAATGTAAAAGTCTTGTGGGAACTCTAACGTATGCGTGTCTTTCGTAAACCAGTAAGGATTAAACGGACCTGTGGGCCGTTTGAAGGTAAAAACCTAGATTCACCACTAGGTGGAGACATTCTGCTCTAATAGATCTAAACTGTTTAATAGGAACAACTGTAAATAAGAGCATTGGTTTTGGACAGATGGGATTAAATCATTGGAGTGATTTTAAATGAAATAAATGTTTTAATTAGTAGTTTTTTTTAGTCTGATCAGCTGATGTGAAGAAGCCGGTGATGCTCTTTAGACGGTGATGTGTCGGTGTGTCATCAACATCTTATTTACTGTACAGCTACCACCTCTGTGTGGAACTTCCAAACACCGGCTCGGCTGCGTGTACTTTCCTAGTGGGCAGATGTTTCAGATCACTTTACATCACACACACACACACACACACACAGACCCCCAGTCTGCTGACCCACCAACCACACACACACACAGATGTGTGAATGAGATGCTGCGCTCCCACACATGACGGGGGCTGGCAGGAAGGAAGTGATGTCAGAGATGCACTTCACCAACACAAGCAACTCCAGATCAGTCAGTTTGTGTTTTAGAACATGATCACATAAAATATTCTGTTTCTAAAAGTTGCAGTCTGACTCTGGCTGAACTTCATGTCAGCCTACATGCAGACACACACACACACACACACACACACACACACACACTTTTACCAGCAGGCTGCATATGACGGCGGTCTGGCTTACCGAGCAGCAACGAGCGTTTCCCAGAGCCAGTATGGTAATCCAGCTGCTGGGAGTTTACATTGCCTCACAGCTGCATGTCTGGGGGGTGGGGGGGTTGAGGGTGAAGGGTAAGTGTGGGAGGTAGCGGAGTGTGCGTTTGCAGAGGTGCTGACTTTTGACACCAATGTCTGCTGTAATAGGTTGTGAGTTAGGCGGACCGCTGCTCAGAGCTGTGTGCTAAATGTCATCTGATCATGAGGCATCATGAACGTGATACACAGCAGCAAAGCGCTTACTCACTGATGCTTCTGCTGTGTGAGCGGTGAGCTTATTGTGCTGAGTCACCTGTGATGCCATCACAACAACAAAATTCCCAAATGGGAAGCAGTTCCCTTTTCAGAGAAATTAAACAACAGCGTCGGTGTGTGGCATGATAAGGCGCAGGTTCCCCTTGAAACGCGGTTTATTTTCAGTTTTGTTATCTTCGAGGAGTTTCGCTCTTGGTGGATTGAAAGTACTTCCCTAAAAAAACAACAACAACAAACCTGTGTTGGTTTGTTATTGTTGTTTTTATTATTTAAATGGCCTCCACCGTAGGTTTGTGTCACAAAGGTAAAATGTGTTTAACTGGTTTCTAAACTTTAAACTGAATCAAAAGGGTTAAAGGGTCTGAAACTTAAAGCTAAAGGACCCCATGAACAAGTGGGGACATGCTCGGTGCAGTAACCCCCCCCCCCCCCCCATGCACCATCATGTTGACATTTCATGGTGTTGGCTCTGAGTTACCAGCTCTGATCATCAGATTGCATCAGATAAAAACCATCCAGCTGAACTCCAGATAACTTTTACCCTAAGCTGACCTTTCCCCGAAGAGTTAAACGAGCTGAGCCAACTCATCAAGTCCTCAACCGTAATTCGAACCACCTTCCTGGGAGGGGTTCTGAACGAGACAAAATCCAAAACCGTCTGACTTAAAATTTGGTATGGGAGGAAAATGTAGATTTATCTGCAGTCTGTAACATTTATTAATACTTTTGATCTAAAATTTCCATTTTAAAACATCACATTCTTGAACAGATGCTGTAAACTTTACATTTACTTGTTTAAACGCTGATTTTAAGGTTATTTGTGAAGCGAGAACGGCTCCTGGCTCCAGGGAAAAGGACAAAAGACACCCGTTTCCTCCCTTCGACCCACCTGGGACAGGTAATGGAGAGATACACAACACAGCTGAACCCAGATGAGTCTGGTTCTCAGGGTGGATTTATGATCTAATCCCGAACTTTCTGACCACAACTGTGAAACCTTATCGGAAGGAAGCTGTTTGATTAAACCTCAGCAACTGTCATCTACCAAAAATAAAAAACAAGAAAAGAAACCAAGACTCATTCAGAAGCAACACAAAAGAGAGGAAAACACTGCAAACTGATGGTATCGGTCATCTAAGAACATCCACGTCTGGTTTTATCAAATCATGAATTAATTGTGTCAAAGCTATTTTTAAAGGTTGTGTTATTTCTACTCTTGATTTGTTTGAATCTTCACGGACTCCTCCTCTGGGCAGGAGACACGCCCACTTGGCTTTAATCAAAACCACAGCTCAGCAGGCAGTGAGATGCGTGTGTTTGAGGTAGAAGTTCACAGAACTTGAGTTCAGTTAAACGCGAGAGAGCTCGGAGGAGATGATGACAGCAAAGGTGCCGATTTAGATTAGCAAAGGAAGAAGAAGAAGAGGAGGAGGAGATGTGTTTTTAGTGGAAAACAATTACACCTGGCTCGGTCTTTCCCTTTGAAGTTCGGGACTGCAGGATGGTTCTGATCCAGTGGCTGATGGGTCTTGCTCTGCTTACACAGAGCTGCATGTCCAGCCTGGACCAAGCTGAGGTAGGCTGTAAGACATGGAGACAGGAAGGAGACAATGTCTGCTGTGATGAATGCCATCCTGGTGAGTAATAAAATACTAACACACACACACACACACATATATAGAGATATATCCCATACCAATTTATTTCTATGGTGCATTTAAAAACAGCATGGGAGCTGGCCAAAGCGCCTCCAAAGCAACAGCGGGCACATAAAACAGATAAAACAATCAATAGGAGCAGATGGGAACCGCAGTCAAAGCACAGAACAAAGATACCTGTTTGTCTCAAACACCTCAGTCACAGTGAATCTTAAAACTAGGTGAGAATCCAGATTTTGGAAGAGTCTGCCTGCGGTGGCTGCATGCAACCAGAAATAGTTTCGGTGGTTTGGCGCCTAATGCCACAACAAAAGCAGCAGATGGCTCCATTCATGACTCCAGATGACTTAAACACTCAGAGCTGTTTAACCTTTTTATTGGACTGAAGAAGAAGATCGGACCTTTAGTTCTCCGTGTCTGACGTGTTGTCACACACGGGGATTTCTTCTCAGGGAATCGTCTGGTCAGGCAGTGTGGCCCCCGACCAAAACAACTCTGCACGCCGTGTGAAACTGGGACGTACACACACAATCCCATGACCCGAAGGTGTGACAGGTGTACTCAGTGTGTCGGTATGTTACTGGACACGATCAGCACCTTCTTTGTAGCTCATACTTTATACTTGTCTCCAGTTACATGAAGCCCCTTTGTTTGCAGGCGCCCAAGTCCATCTGGAAGACTGCACCAACCAAAGCGACACTCAGTGTGGCTGTAAGGACGGACTCACCTGCGGAGACGGGAAATGCTCCTTCTGTGTGGAGAAATGCGCCAAAGGCTCTGAACCCACCGATGACAGTAAGCAAAACTTCTGATGTTTGACCTTCAGCATCCACACTGGTCCTGTTCCAGCTCAGCTGTACATTTCCATTTACAGGGTCTTGCAGACCGTGTCCACGTGGAACCTTCAACAACATGAACCATAGCACTTGTAAACCCTGGAGTACCAAGTGAGATATATTTTACAATCCTGCAACTGAATCACATTTATCTGTACATAGTTAAAACCAGTAAAGGTAACTGGAAGTCCTCTGTCCCTTTCAAGGTGTCCTGGTCCCAATCAGGAGATTGTGGCTGAAGGGAATGCCTTTTCTGACATCCAGTGTCAGGTGATGGTTCCTTCGGAAGGAGTTACTTCTGTAGACCGCCATAAGCCACCTGGTAAGGCGTCATTGCGTTCCTAAAAATGTTGCCGAGTTTATTCTTGATTTGATTCAAGGGGATGCTTGTTTTGTTCTTCTAACAGTTCGTCCAGATCCACCGGGGCAGGTGGCGTCATATGAGGTCATCATGGCGGTTATGATGGCAGCATTCATCGCCACCGCCGTCGTCATCATCATCATCATTGTGGCTGTGAAAGTCAACCATTCAAAAAAGAAGCCAGAAAAGATGGCTGAAAAACAGCTGAAAACACCTGTAATCAGAACACCAACAGGTACTTTCAACACGGCTGCACTGAACCACACCAGGACGACATTAACACGTTTCTCTCCTTTCCTTCTTCAGACGATCCAAGGACTTTAATAGCGATTGAGTGCAGTTTTCATGAGGCTCAGCAGGAACAAGGCAGCAGCACAGAGTCTCTGATCAAGGATTCATCCGAGGAGTTCGCTCCGTGAGCAGAAACGCATCAAACTGTGTTGAAAACAAGACGATCCTGAAGAAGACGGTACTCCCTCTTGTGATAAAAGATTTCTTCCTTGAGCCAGTTTACTTGGCTCCTGCTGAACAAGCCTCGTGGGTGATGTCATGCATGGAGTATAAAACAGCTCCAGGGGATCCAGGAACAATGCTTTATTGTCACTCTGTATACAGGGAAGTGGAATTCTGTAGGAAAACACAAAGTGGGCTCTAGAAAGACCTTTTCACCATGTGAGCAGTGGAAGGAACCAAAGACACCATTCTTGACCTTCAACTAAAAAAAAAGTAACTTGTTTTTTTTAAGTGCTTTTGACACAGTTCCAGTGGAGTAGCCCGAGTGTGGTGTGAATGAGTGTGTAATGTTTCCGATATTTGCACATCCTGTGTGTGTGTGTGTGCTGCTAAGTGTGTAAATTCAGTACGTGTAGGCAGGATCAGGCATCTACACATTTTAGTCACTTATTTCTGAGCCCACGCGCCTCCCCCAAAGTGCAGACGTCAGCCTTCACCTCAACTACAAAGTTATTTCTGCTGAGTGTGTAAATGTGACGCGTGGTGGTGCATCTGTCCAAAGCAGCACAACAAATTTCAACGAAATAAGCTTCAGAGAACTATTTTTAACTTTAGCATCTATAAGTGGCTCCATTTCCGATAATTATTAATGGAAATACGAGTTTTGCAGGCTGGTTTAACTGAGGCCAGCCAGGACTTTCCCATTATTACCCAACTGGTAATTAAAAACCCAGTCAAGGGGTTTCCCCTTGTACTTTTTTTGGTTACTTATTTACATGCAGCACCAGGAAGGCAGAAGACTAATGGCTCAGCTTCAAATGCAGCTTGACAAGCTGATGGCCGTCTATTGAGCAACAGCCTGGGACTGCTCACGTGCCTTGGAGAATCCTAAGTGAGTCATTTGTGAAAGGTAGGTGCTTTTGGGGGGGATGAACACTTGCTAGCAAACAAACCAGTTCTAAACGGCGGCATCGGGGTCAAGAGGAAACCCTCGTCGCTCTGAAACTTCCTTCAAGGTGGGCAGCCAGATAAGACCAACAGGAAGTGTTTGTTCCAGCCGCATTTCTTTTCTGCACTGAGGCGGGCGTTTCGTCACAGGGTGGAACATTTAAGCCTCACGTGGGTGGGCCGCTGGATGAAATGTGAGCCCACACCTTTTGTGATTTATCATTTAGCTGATGAGTCACAACCCAGATGAGCAACGACTCCTCAAAGTTCACAGGTGTCTCAAGGTCACCTCTTGACATGCTGAATGCAGCCAGGCGCGTTGCAAGCTTTTCAAAGGTGTGGGGGATGTTGTCTGTGCCTAAAATAAGTTCATGTTATTCATCTTGTTAGTTTAATTTCCATAATAGCGGAGCAGGTGCGGATTTTAGACGCGTCACGCACGTCTCCGTTTTAAACATGTTTAAACTGTTCAGAATACAAATCCAGGCTCTGTCTCGTTAGATTGGTGTAACTAAAGTTTGTACTGAATGAAACTTTACATTAAACCATGTTGAAAAGAAAAGGATCCGATTAAATCGTTTCCCCCTCATTTACAGTCAGAAGTACAGCGCAGTGCGCACGGCTCTGGGGTTAATCAAGTTTAGTTGTTTCTCTTTGCAACAATCTTCACAAGAAGGCAAATCAGTTAAATGGCAGGTTACAGATATTTACATTTGACTGTTTATTTTGACGGATAAACTCAAGGATGTTGGTTGTTTTGAAAGAATTACCCCGACGCACACTGATGCACACACAGATGAGCTGACATTTTAATCGTTACGCACATCGCGGAGGTAACTAAATCAATCAAGAAATGATTCCCATCAGAACATCAGAGCTTTATTCTGGACACTGCTCAGCGCGGCTCGGAGCGCACACGGTGGACAGTGAGCTGAAGATCTAGAGGGGTTCTCAGCGCAGTGCAGAACCACGGCAATGCGGTAAGATTTCCTCCCACTGAAGCGGTCTGGAAAGCCGGTCTCTCTGAGGGATGTGTCACTCGGAAAAATGTTCTCTGATGCAACTTTGGCTGAACAGCGCTTGTTCCCGTCTCCATATTGGAGACGCATATCCCACCTTTACTCTCTGCCTGGGTAAGGGCTTCCTAGATTCTACAATGTAGCATTAAAGATTAGAATATCTGTACCTCACGTCCTGCATCTGTCCAAAATGACCAAACGTATCCATTCTTTCGTTCTTTTTTAAACACAGAAACAGTTTTGTTTACCTGCTTGTAGCTACAGTTTCGCCGACGGCTGCCGGCTTCTTCAAAAAGCTATGGTTGTTGTTGTTGGTGCTTTTTGAAGAAGCTGGCAGCCGTCGGCGAAACTGTAGCTACAAACAGGTAAACAAAACTGTTTCTGTGTTTAAAAAAGAACGAAAGAATGGATTTAGAAAGACACAGCAAGAACACACCTAAGATGACCAAACGCAGTTACATTTAACTAATAGTTTACTGAATTAGTAGTTGAACATCATTCAAGAGCAAATACATTCAATCAATAAACTCCAGCTTTAATACTAACTGGAATATGTGAGGGGCCCACCCACCAGTCTTACACACACCCACTAGCCAGCTTCCACGACTGTATAAACCCTCAATGTTGCAGGCCTGAGTGAAGCTAGGGAGCGGTGAGGCCCAAAACACAATGGCCACTTCGCTCTCAGTAGAGCATGTAAATAAAAAAATAAAAAAAGTACCTGATTTTGTAGCTCAACTTTCTCCAACTCACAACTACACCCTTGGGAACTGGAGGTAAACCGTGTCCCATCATCTGCTGGTCCTGGTCCAAACTCCCAACCAGCGACGTCCGGGCAAAGCACAAAGTAATCCAAAGGCAGTCTCCACAGTCAGTTAATATGCCACTCCCGACCTTCCGGAGGAATGAAGGTAGTCTCCACAGTTAGCTGAATTAGCTTAACCATGCTCCTAGCGCTGCGTTCACTTAGCCAGTGAAAGCTAACTGTCCGCTAGCTGCTTTATTGTACTATCGTAGATCGAAAGTCAGGACGGACTTTTAGCAAAAGTGTCCACGAGTCATTCAGTAGCCATCCACAAGCGTGCATTACCGGTCATTACTTCAAAGAACCGGACAATTAAAGTTAATTACCACGCCTCAGACATGTGCGTCCTTTTCTCCTCCCATCCCCCCTTAGCACTTCCTCTTTTCACAATAAAACCCCAAAATACAATACAATAAATTATTTATGCTTCAGTACTTCTTAACAGTTTTTAGACTTCACCACATACACGAAATACAATATTTATGTTACTTTTAACATGTAATGAACTTTTAGTTTAACCCCTATTTTCTTGTTGACTCACAGTAATGCACTAACATATTTGTCTGGGTTACACGCAGAATAGCCTCTTTAGCTCAGAAAGCACCTGTAGAGACATTTGTTCACACACAAAGTTTATGTGGAGCAGAACAAGCCCCCACAATGCGGCTTTAAAATTGAGTCAAACCCGGAAGTACCACAAATTGCAGTTCCACCCTCATCCACTAGGGGCTGGTGTCAGAAGCGAGCAAATCCTCATTGACTCCCATGTTAAAAATACCGATTTCACAGCAGAAATAAACATGTTTACAGCCTGGTACCAAAACATGTTTTTGGTTTAAATGATCTAGTTTACACTCATGACAACTCTGAGGGGGGTGAATTTTTTTCTCACTCGTCTGTTTAAGTGTATTAAAAGCCTAAAATTCTGTATACCACAGAGCTAGCTCCGTGGAAAGGCCTCAGTAGAGCCTCGGCCTGGCCTGGAAACTGCTCCGGGATTTTGAGTCTCTGTGTTTGTGTATTCTTTTTTGGATATTTTTTGTGCAATTGTTGGACAAAATGACTTGCTGTGGCATTAATTGCACTAATAGAGCGTCCAAGGAGTCTCCACTTCATTTTTTTCGGTAAGTAACATTATATTTATGTATTTTAGGTCACTGCCGAGCTGAGCTTAGATTTTAACATGTACTGTTTAACCATGACATTTAAATGTAATAGGGTAAAACCCAGTGCATTTAACATAATGCTGCACTTTAGAAAATGGGTTGAAATATAACATGTTGGTGGAGCTGGGTTCCCACTATCGGCTTGTGGAGCTCTCGGGAGACCTCTGTTTTCCACTCGGTTCTCCCCTCCCTGCAGCCCAGTCCATCTCTGTCTGATCGCGGCTCCTTAGCTGCGCGGGCTGACGGCTTGTTCTCCCAGCAGCTCGGCGCATCTGTCTGATCGCGGCTTCTGTGTGCTGTGCGGCTGCTGGCTTGTGGAGGTCTCGGAGACCTCTGTGTTCCACCCGGTTTTACCCAGCGGTCAGCCCGGCGTATCTCTGACTCAGAAGCTCTGGTGTTGTGCACAGTTAACTCCGGTTGTAGCTAGGTTACTACCTCCGTTAGCTTAGCTCCCACCTCTGCATTAGCTTTGGGTTAGCTTCAGGTTAGCTTGTAGCTAGTTCGACCGGGTGTCGTCAGTTGATCCCAGCCTTACAGCCCCACCCTCAGCTCCTCCTCACTTCCCTTTTTTGGAATTGTCTGGGCTTGACGGAACCTGTGACACGGTCAAAATGGCGGTGGTGGCCACCTCCCATTTGGCCTCAAAAAACTGATATTGGAGCCTATGGAAAGTAGATGTCCATACTATTAATGTCGATGGAGCAGAAGCGGTCGGGCCACGGCAGGTGAAATGTTCCTAGCCTACATGAAATTAAATTGTCTAATTGTAACATTAAAATGTTACTGGACACGCTGGTCTGGTTAGTTAGACCAGTGTTTGAAGTGGAAAACACACACACACACACACATTAAAATAATGCTGATAGCATAGACTAGAAGACAGGTGATGGTATTTAAATGATGATCAGGCTGCTGTAAAATGTAATCTCCATCCACATCCAGACATAATTATCCTCTATTCTTTCTCTATTTGCTCTGCTCTTGTCTGGGCTGACGAATGGTGCGCGTGGCGTGTCTATTAATAATAATAATGCATTGAACTTATAGAGCGCTTTTCTAGACACCCAAAGACGCTTTCACACACTCTTACATTCACACACTGCTAGTGATGGTAAGCTACTTGTAGCCACAGCCGCCCTGGGGAGGTCTGACAGAGGCGAGGCTGCCATTTGGCACCGTCGGCCCCTCTGACCACCACTAACACAGGCAAGTTGGGTGAAGTGTCTTGCCCAAGGAAACAACAGCAGGATACCCCTGGCGGGAGCTGGAATCGAACCCATGACCCTCCGATCATGAGGCAACCCGCTCTACCACCTATTTGGAGAGGTGGGCTGGATGCTTTGCTTTTACTGGATGATGGATTTTTTTTTCAAAACTGTTGGGAGATTTTGCCCCATGAATAACCGTAAAAACTACCGATGTGCATGTACCCTTATGAAAGAGTCCTACATTGAGAGGTAACTATTAGAAGTGCAGGTAATGCATTCTAGTGCCTATAAATGAAAAATGAATGAAAATTAAATTGTGAGTTTTTACTTCATATTTTAGAAATAAAAATGACGGGGGAACACATTTATGACGTCTTTTTAAACTAAATTTTCTAGCGCGACCTGCCTGCTTCACTTAAGTCACTGCTTATTAAGGTCCGTCCAAAATTACCGTGGCCCACCCAAAAATGAAAACCTGGCACCGCGCCTGTTATAAACCTCTGCAAATTGTTGTTTTTCACTTTATCAAACTCAAGAGTTTGTACAGCTAATGTCAAGATGTAAAATTATGAATTCAGTCGAGCTCTTCCCTCCCTCCCTTTCCTGTTTCTCCTTGAGACCCGACATCGGCTGTCGGGTCTCAAGGAGAAACAGAAGAGGGAGGTGAAGAAGGAGATGAGGCAAACAGAGTGAGTGCGACGTAGAGAAACCAGACTGGTGTGGGTGTTGAATCCCCCACATCCCCCACGGGTGCGACGCCCATGAATGCAGCATCATCTTTTATTAGCTACTTGATTTTACAGTTTTATATTTGACCACTCTGTGCGTTCAGTTTGAAGTTCCAGCAAATGAAGCGGTATTCTTCATTTTGTGTACTTTTTTACTCTGAAGTGCCTTCAGATGGGCCTTGTTGTGAAGCGGCGCTATATAAACTGAATTTTCTCCAGGAGGGCTTCACAATCCATATAAACCACAGCAGATCATAAAAGTAACTAAGAGGAAGTAAAAACTAAAGACACCAATGAGCAGGAAATTAATCTGTTTACTATCAGTGTTTGGTATGAGGTCCTAACTGGTCCATTTGGATTAGAAGTGACAGGCCACAGCTGGTCTTTGATGTCATATTTCAGCTAATGGGAAACGGTATTAAGCTCCAAAATCTAGCAGGAGTAGGTCAGAGGTTCCTTGTTAATCTGCTGCCAATAAAAGTCAAGAGGGAAAATCTAGAACATTAAATAAAAACACAAAAGATCTAAGTGAACTCCTTTTTTTTCCAACAAATTGCATTTGTGTTTATTAATGATTAAATAAGATCATCTGATTGTCACTGTACATTAGTAAACATGCCTGAAACTTCTTAGAACGTAGAGCTGACCGACGCTCACAACAGGAGCTTTCTGAAGTTAAACGTGGGTGAATATAAACCCCGTAATAGTTCAGAGCATCCGTCCATGCGGCTTGAGTCGCCGCCTCTTCAGGATCGGGTAGTTGGGATGGGGATGCACGTCGACGGCTGGACCGCGCTGCAGCCATGTGACGTGTGGTAAGCCTGTGGCAGAGTGGCACGCTGAAGGCTCAACGTTTTTGGATCGATGCAGGAGAACATGCAGAGCCCACAGAAGGGCCACAGCTACCCGCCAGCAGCCTGGTTCGGCCAAACACCGTTCTTTCTGAGCTGCACCGTATTTTAACAACACTGAACTGATGCCGAGCTCATATTTATGAGACCACTTGGTGGACGGTTAGTTTTCTGTAGACATCCAAGCCAACATTAGTGCAGAAATCCCTTTGGTTGCTGACAGTGTGTGGAGTAAAAGACAACAATATTACAAATAAATGATATTACTGTTAAACAACCACTAAATATTTAACAATCTTCAACAAACCCAAATTTTCCCTTTGGAAATTCTCACGGTGCCAGTCCAAGATGTAATCGGTACTCATTATCGTCACCTGAAACTCGTCTCACCACTCTAAAGTGCAAGAGGGTTCGTTTCAATTTCAACAGTAAAGTCAAAAGCAACGAGAACTCCAGCTACGTGATGATGTGTGTTCCACAAGAAATCCGATTCCTTCCTTATTACTGCTGCTTGCAGCCTTCCTTCTTCTCTTTAGGTCTGCTCCTTGCTGGCTTTTCGGTTTGCCGTTTTGTTGGAGGGATGAACGTGGGTTCTTCAAGGAAGTCGTGTAAGCCAGACGGCGCTACGGGAAGGGAGCTGCTGGACGGGTCTGGAGTGAGAGAGAACAATGAGAACCAAGCAGCTATTGTTTGGACGGACTCATTTCGAGTCGTTTATCCCGTGTGGACCAACCCGCGTGTCCGGTTGGGAAGTTCCCTGTGCTCTGCCTTCTGGCCTGGAAGGTCGGGTCCAACTCTTCAGCCACATTTCTCACCTCTTGGGCTTTTCTGGAACAGAACCGAATTAGTCAGCAAACAAAAACACACGGCAATGAGGCAGCTGTATCCTTACGGCATAGTGGTGACAGGACTGGGTGGCTGGTTCTCCGGGAAGCAGTCTTCCGTCGGAGACGGGAGGCCCTCAGAGTCGAGTCTCTCTCTCTGGACCTGAGGAAAGGAGGACAGTTTCTTTTCTCTTCTATAAAATAAAACACGGGTTAACACAAATGACTGAAAACTAATGATTAAAAGCCACCTGCCACTCTCTAAACCAGAGTTTTAAACTAAGACTGCATGTTGAGAAACGATGGAGTTGCATCCCTTTTGGTCAAATCTTGAAATTATCCTTACATGTGACCCATTCAGTGTGTGCTGTGGGAGACTCGGATCAGACTTTAGCTCGGTATCTGCAAGACGGACTGTTGGCTAAGGCCGCTTAGATGTGAAGACTATAGGGGTTACTGTAAATGTTCAAGAGCCATCTAGCAAGGTGAAGCTGCTGTTTGCAGGAAGGCGATAATAAAATCAAAGTACTAAGTAAACTCCCAAAGGTACACACACACACACACACACACACACACGGGCCGTACCGGTACCTGTCGCTCTCTGGCAGCTCGCCTGTCATGCTGACTAATCATTGCTCTGTGCTCATGCCAAGACCCCGGGCCTTCAAGCTCACGAGATCTTCGCTTAGACTTCATTTCCTGCTTCTGCATAAAACGAGCAATTTCCTAGCACAAAACAAACAAAAACAAATAAATCACACATGCATTCAAACCAGATTCTCCCGAGTGATGTTGAATGGGTGTGAGGTCACAATTTCACCTCATCCTGTGCCACCTGTGCGACTCTAAAATCTCCTGCTGGATATAAACCACGCGGAGGTGACGGGGAAACCTGTAAGAACGAGAGCATGAACTGAAAATAAAATCACCTAAAACAGAAGTTTTGGTCTTGTGCTATCCTAAAATCAACAGCCATTTTTGTGGATTTGCTTAATCACCCTCTTCATCAGCTTCTCCTCTTCCTCCTGAAGCCTGCGGGCCAGCTCCTCATCCTGTAGGACCTGTTGAAGCTCCCCCAGGTAAAGGCCTGCTTCTCTAGGCTCCGCCTCCAGACACGCTCCTGCAGAGCAAGTCTGACTAAGTCATCTCCACGTGAAGGTAAAACAACAAGACAAACACAACCACAGGACTGAAAGGTCAGAGATGAATCACGCAGATGTTTTGGAAGAACCCACCGTCCACAAGCCTCATGATCTGTGGGAATTACACACAGAACAACATCCTGGAAAAGCAGTATTCCACCACCACCAAGGCTGAAGGACAGATTAGGCCAAAGGGGAGACCAAACATTCATAATGAAGAACCACATTCACTGTTGATCTAAACCAGGAGAACGTTCCATAAGAGAGATAAAGTCACAGCGAAAGCCCGCTTCCAGACGACACGGTGGGAAGATCAGATGTGTGTAAAGAAAGGAAAAGAAGACATCAGCGGAGGAGTTTTCCTCGGCTGCAGGTGTTACCTGCTGCTTCACGCTTTGACCCATGTCTGCTGCTGCGGAGGCTTTGGCTACGCTGCAGTGATCTTCGTCTGGGACGCTCCACTCGTCTCTCCACCTCCTGCTCCTCCTCAGAGCTCAACCTTTCTTCTCTGATCCTGTGCCAGTGCCTGCGCTCACTCGTCGTCCGCCTCGCTCCGTTTCCACTGGAGCTTCTGTCTCCATTCTCATCACTGTTGGTGTATTTGTGCTCCTTCCACCTTTTGCTGCCCCGTTGTTCTCCGTTAACGATGTAAGAGTCTCTCCTATTCATCTCACACACCTCTCCATTAAGGTGGTGCCTGTGTGGGTCCTCTCTCTGATCTCTCCCACTGTTCTCTCGGTGTGACAACCTCCGCCTCTCCCTGATGTCTCCATGGAAACTGTGCCTGGTGGCGCCAGCTCTCTGGAAGGCTCTCTGATGTGGTTGGGAGTCGCCGTAGGAGACCTCACTCCCATGAAGCACCTGGCTGTCTCGGCTTTGAGGCCCTATTTGTAGTGGAGCCCCGCTGCCCCAGATCCTCACAGGCACACCCCTCTCCTCGAGAATGTGGCCGAGCATCTCCCAGACTCTGTTGCTTTCACTCCTCTGCTTGCAGTCCTGCTTGTCGTCTTCCTGGAATCGGACACGTTTATCGGGAGTGTCCTTGTAGCTCCAGGTCCTGGACAGGTCTCCGTTTTTGGGCCTATTCCTGTTGTGGAGCCGGACTGACTCACTGCGACATCGCCCATCCCTGACCTCTGTTGACCTGTCTGTATTCTGACTCCACGTCCTGTGCCAGTTCTCATACTCATCTCTGTGGCTTATTTCTGGACGCCGAGTCGCCAACACTCGGTTTTGTAAATCACCATTTTCCCAGCAGTCCTTCCTCTCCTCCCGAGGCTGTTTAACCTCACCCGTTAAGCTGCTGCGAGAGCAGGGGCGTCTGTATTTTTTCTCAGGCAGCTGTCGTAAAGATGCTTTCTGCTGGGGATTTGTTGCGTCCGGCCTTTCATACAACCTCCGCGACCAAAGTGAGAGCTGTTTGTTAAAAACCGTGTCAGAGTCCTCTGAATCTTCTGACTCTCTCACTTCATCCCCGATTGGCCAGTTGGAGTCTGTGTGTCCTTGGGTTGACCATGAAGTAGGGTTTATGTGAGCGGATCTCCTCCTGGGGGAGACAGACTGAGCCCCAGTTAATGATGGACCATTGTGAGAAGGCGAACACCGCCACCTAGCGGCGGTGGGAGAGTAACGCCCCTCCCTGTGGTTGCTGAAGGCGTGCTGGTGAGGAGCCGACAGCGCCGGGTCACTGGAGCTGCCTTTGGTATTGTCAAACATGCAAATAAAAGAGCGGCGAAGGAGGGTGAGTTTGCTAGCGGATGCTGCAAGACAAGTGCAGGTAATAAAATAACCAAAAATAAAAAGATGCTGCGAGTAAAACATGGTTTCAGACTTAGTGATATGCTTTCCAATGCCACCATGGATTGGAGATGGCCCTAAAAGCACGCTTTCATGCATGATGGTAAATATTCACGAAATTAACTTAAAAAAAAAAAACTACGGAGGACATAGGCGACATCTGCAGAGATGGTGAGAAACTTATTTCACGGTTATTTTTACAAAGTGGTAAAAAAGAAAATAACATCAGATAAAATTATGCCACACACACACACACACACACACACACACACACACACACACACACACACACACACACACACACACACACGCTCGGTTTCTAACCATATTAGGACTTTGTATTGACTTCATTCATATTAGTAACTGCATTTATGTCTAACTCGGGGGTCGGCAAAATAATGAATAAATATTTAATAAAATTTTATTTATTTTACTTTCATTTTTTTTCTTATTCATTTAATAATTTCTATCATAAAATCTAAACAAGAATGATAAAAACCTGAAAACTTGTCGCCTGCTTGTGCGTAATCTAATGTCTACAGGAGCTTTCTGAGCTGAAGAGGGTAGGAGATTCAGGACTTTTGCCTCAGGCAGGCTCATGCAGACAGGAACAAGCGCTCTTCAGCCCAAGTTTCACAATCAGGGACATTTTCTAAGTGACAGACTCTCTGAGAGGCAGGGGTTTGGAAAACACTCGCTTCATCGGAAGGACTCTTCCTGCGTGAGCTCTGGTTCTGCTGCTGCCTGTGACCGACGCGCTCCAAGCCCCTCTCCACATCTTCAGCTCGCCGTCCACCTTACGGGCGCCGACAGCGAGCTGTGCTGAGCTCAGACGTTCTGATGGCTCAACGCGAACCCTGCCTTTTAACCGTTTGCCTTCTTGTGAAGATTGTTGCAAAGAGAAACATTAAACTTGATTAACACCAGGGTCATGCACACCGCACCGTTATCTCCGTCACTGTAAATCAGGAAAAAAACTAATTGATCAGATCCTTTTCTGACCTTTTCAACATTGTTTAAGTTTAAGTTCGTACAAAGTTTAATGACAACAATCCAACGAGAAAGAGCCTGGATTTGTGTTCTGTACTCCTGTTTAAAACAGAGATATGTGTGACGCATCAAAGCGGCACCTGCTCAGGCCCGGCAGGCCCCCCCCCAACGCCGCGTCTGCTGTGGCTCCGTGGTTTTACCGTGGGAAACAGGTAATAATGGCTCTTTGATGAGAAAAGGTTGCCGACCCCTGGCCTAACCCAAACCTTTACTCTAACCCGAACCATAGCCAGTGTGTTCCTAAACCCAACTGTAACAAATCTCCACATCTTACCTCCAAACCTCACCCCTAAGCCTGAAACAGGGGGTCCACCATATTAGGACATAGGTGTTGGTCCTAATAAGGCCCATCGGTCTTCAGAAGACTAGTGAATTTGCCAGTTTGGGTCCTAAGTAAGGTAATTAAACAAGTGCACATGTACACACCCACACACTGAATAAAGGAGCGGAAGCCATACCTTCACTAGGAGACTCCTGCCCTCTGCTCCTCCTCCCCTCCTCCTCTTCCTGTAGTCGTTTGGCCATTTCCTGTGAAAACATGACTTCAATGATGATTGTCTACATCACTCCAACATTTACCAACTAAAACACAAATCAAAGACGGGGGTCGACATATCCATCATGCTCCATTACCCCTTTGAAGGTCTGCCCGTTTATGTTCATGCTCCGGAGTTCAGACACAACAAACTGGGAATAATCACCGTGTTTTTCCCACTCCCTGATGAAGACTGCTGGTTCTTTTGCTGGGGTCGGTCAGCCTGATGCATCAGCTCTGTAAGAGCTCAGCTGCCCCGGCAGATAGACTTGTGTTTGTTTTAGAAGAGCACGCTATACGCTCATGTGGAAACATTTACATTCATCTGAACAAAATTCAAATTTAAAGGTGTGTTCTAAGCCTAAAGGTCACAATGACTACCTAAATACCTCTAGTTTACTTCCCACAAGTCTTTTGTTGTGATTTTAAATTTCTTAAACTTTTGCCTTTCAGACATTTTGATGATCTTCCAACGTTTTCCTTTGGTCTTTAGCTAAATTTCAGCTTGCATCCTACATAAAAACCAACAATCAACTGTATAGTTGTTAACCAGCAGATGGCAGCATAACCGAATTAGACAAGCACGTGGCTAAACTTGGTGAGGAATAAAAAAAAAGTCTGGATTAACAGGATTTGTTCTGCTGATAGCTTTTTGTTTCATGTCCTAAACCTTATCTTTAATTCTCACCAAACCTTTCTATATGGACCAGCTCAGCTTAGCTCGATCTGTTCTGCTCAACACAAACAACCCAAATAATAATAATAATAATAATAATACATTTTATTTAAAAGCACCTTTCAGAACACCCAAGGTCACTTGACAGAAAATACTTAGTAAAATACAATAAAACAACAATAAAACGCAAACAAGAAAAGACAAAGAGAGAAACAATTCAATAAAATCAGAGGTCGTAGGCAGATTTAAACATACGTGTTTTGGGTTTGGTTTTGAAAAGGGTAAAACTGTCGATGTTCCTGATGTCTGGGGGAAGTGAGTTCCAGAGACGAGGAGCAGAGCGGCTGAAAGCTCTGCTCCCCATGGTAGCGAGACGGGCAGAAGGAACCGCAAGATGGATGGAAGAAGAAGATCTGAGCGAACGGGATGGGGTGTGAATACTTATAAGGTCTGAGATATATGGAGGAGAGAGGTTATGGATTGCTTTGAAGGTATGGAGGAGAATTTTGAAGATGGACCTGAATTTAACTGGGAGCCAGTGAAGCTGCTGGAGAACCGGGGTGATGTGGTGAAAGGAAGGGGTTCTGGTGATAATACGGGCTGCTGAATTCTGGACCAGTTGCAGTTTATGAAGGAGTTTGTTGGGGAGACCAAAAAGAAGTGAATTGCAATAGTCGAGACGGGAGGTGACGAGGCTGTGGACGAGAATGGCGGCAGTGCGAGGGGTCAGTGAAGGGCGGAGACGGTTTATGGAACGTAGATGGAAGTATGCTGACCGAATTATGTTATTAATGTGAGCTTGAAAAGAAAGCGAGCTGTCGAGAATGACACCCAGACTCTTGACCTAAATACTCTAAATGAACACCAATCACACCCTGGAGCCCAGCCCACCACACAGAAGAGCTTGTTCTGACTCAATACAAACTAGAGGGAGGGCATGGCTTCATTTTGATCCCAACAGGGCTGTTTCTACTGAAATACACACCTCGTCACTAGAGGTCACCAGAGCAGCTCTCTCTGAGACAGGAGCAGCAGCACACCTCAGCGCTGCCTTCTCAGAGAGGTGAGAACTAATTAACTGTCCACAAATCAGGACATATTACATTTCTCTCTGTACCACATATTCATATATATATATATATAAATCATGACAAAACGCCAGCACAGCTCCTTTTGTCTACAGTTGGGATGCGAGCAGGGTCCACTTTGCCAGCATCAGCACACAGTTAGCAGTTTGCATGACAGGTGAGGCGTTTAGGGCCGTGGGGATCTGGTATTTAAGACTGCCCAGTGCACACCTTCTGTTCCTTAATTAAAGACAATCCACAGGGAGGAAATATTTATTCAACACTACAGATCAGCCATCTAATAAGGAAGGTGGAGACGAGTGGAAAAGTATTTTTGAGCTTCAAAATCCACATTTATAAAAGTGTTTCATTTGCTGAGTGGAACACTCGACAAACGTCCCTTAGTCTGCACTCAAAGGGATAGGCAGTTTTGGCTTGCTTTTAGCACCCCCTAGTGTCCGTTTGTAGAAGCAAAAGCAAACCGCATCTCCTCGCTGTGCGTATGTCTTTTTAACTCCTTAATCTAACAGCTGAGATGTCTTCGCAGCCTTCGTTGGTGTCTACAGGAGTGGTTCATCACTAAAACAAACAAAACATCTGTGTTTGTGATCTAAACACGAAGGAAATGTGCTGGAAGCAGACTGCAGCGCCAGGTATGTCAGCTCAATTTCAAATTCAAATTCAAAGATACTTTATTAATCCCAGAGGGAAATTAGAGTTTTAGTACACACAATTCAGAGATCAGACACACATGGGCAAGACACATGACAAGAATTGGTGACTGTGGTCATTCGCAGCCCTGAGTCGCGCTACCTTAAAGAGCAAGTAACATCTAAATTAACTTTTTTTGCTGATAAACTGTATAAATGAGTGTCTAATAGTGTTTTAAATGTGTGTGTTCATTATTTTAGCTATTTTGGTGCATTTTCTTTAAAAATTAAAAATTCTGCTTAAATACCACAGTATAGCGCCACCTTCAGCTTAAAACATAAGAGTTTGAGTCTGTTTGAATACACTTTAGCCAAGGGCTAAAGAGAACGATACTACGTAAACCAGTAGAGTACTACGTAGCAGCTCTGTGTCAAAGTTATAAAAGCATCGAGTCTCGGCCACGCCTTGTGGCGAGTTGGGAGTTGGATTTGCCAGCGAGTGTAGGACGGTTAGCAGTAGTTCAGCATTAGCATATAGCATTAGCATATCCTAATCTTTAGCATAGCTTTTAGTGTTATACATACTTATTTAGTGTTAGCTTGGCTGTTGGATATTGTAGTTTAGTTAGTGTTTAGCTGTTAGTGTGATTAGGAAAGTAGTTTGGGTTTACTATTCCATATCGTGTTAGTATGGTGAGAAGGTGTAGTGTAGTGGGTTCGGTTGCTCTGTGGGGTTGCACTCCTTTCCACTGGACTTAGAAATTAGGCGCCAGTGGTTGCGCGCAATCGGTGTCTGGAAAACAGTCAGCGCCCGCCTGGTGCTGTAGTTTGCAACCAGCATTTTACCCGCGATTCCTTCGCCAACATGATGGAGTTTGAACTGGGTTATTCTGCACGTCTCCGTTTGAAGAGGGAGGCCATGCCCACCGTGGCTCTTCCACGATTTAGATGCAGCCCACCGACTCTGCTCCCCCACCACGGCGGGCTCCAGTCTGAGGTGAGTACGCTAAATAAAATTTTTAACATCTTCTAAAGACAATTCCCTTCCTAAATGCAAAGTTTGAGAGACGTGGTTCACTCCATTTAGCTAATATCAGCCTGCGCTGCCTTCGGGCTGATTTGTCAAGTCAACAAAATGTGGAGCGGGATGTAAGGTTAGAATCAGCGGCGAATCGGAACATATCTCGAAGCCCTGGCCGACGAAACGGTCCACATGACTATTACTGTCAGGCTCGGAGAAAATTCGGGTTGCTTTTGTGTCAGTCTGTAATTCTGCTAAGAGCGGCTCTAACTAACGCAGCACTAGCTGACAGACATCATTACAGCGTGAAATCCAGCTTGTGACCCGGTTCCATGAGGAATTCTGTTCAGGAGGTTGCATTTCAGGCTCTCCACATCACATGTGACTAGGGATGGGTACCTTTGACATTTGAATCGATCCGGTACTAATTCCCGGTACCTACGAGTCGATACCGGTACTTAACGGTACCAATTTTCGATACTTTTGAGTGTTTATTATTTTAATTCTCTTTTATAATTAAATATATATTTTTCTCAATATATAACCATATTTGATAAATATCACGATAAATAACATACAAGTTTGTATTTTAACATCGTCCTTGTAGTTTTATAAGCTGATAGTTAAACTGAAGCAAACATCTTTACTGTGAACTAAATTTACTGTGTATCTTCATTCCTTTTGCCGTCCTTTTTCATTTGATTTTTCCTACTGGGAAGTTAGAATTTCCGAGGAGAAAGCGAACGCACCATTAGCTGATAACAATGGTGGCAATGGAAGCTAACATATCAAGCTAACGTTATCTTTAACAGTTTATTTAGCTGCTGGAGCAGATTAAAACGATGATGCCTCAAACTTAGATCGTTGTCACTGGTTTTACCTTCACCCAATCACCCGTCGCATTTAGTAAAGTAAAGCCAAACTTTAGAGCGCGTTCATGTTCTTCTAGTCGGAAATTCGGAGTTCCGAGGAGAAAGCGAACGCACCATTAGCGAAACGGAAGCTAACAAATCAAGGTAACGTTATCTTAAACATTTTATTTACCTACTGGAGCAGATTAAGATGAGGATGTCTCACTTAGATCGTTGTCTGTCGCTGGTTTCATCATCACCCAGTTACCCATCACATTTAGTGAAGTGGACCCAAGCTTTAGCGTGCGTTCTTTCTACCATGCTTGCTCTGTTTACAACGGGCTCGCAGGGACCGGCGACATAACGCTCTTGCGCATGCGCAACTGTCTTGGCAGTACCGAAACGAGGCACCGTTTGAAATGACGTGAATCGGTGTTCGGTCGGTTCTATGGAATTCGGTCGGTACCTTAAAAAGTACCGAATTCGGTACTCATCCCTACATGTGACTGACTTTTACGTTATAATAACATCACACACTAGGAATGTTATAAAGCGCCTATATGGGACGGTTTCTTTTGTATATTATCTGACTTTATAAACATCAATGTGCTTCTATTTTTTTTTTTTTCAGACTAAATCTACCCAAGACACTGGCTGTCAGACTGATTTACTAGTCTGCAAGAATGCACTTGTCCAGGCTGACGTGAAGCCTTACCGGCGTAGCAAAGGTGAATAATTTTTAATAATAGTCTACGTAAACATTTTATTATCACCTTCTAGTTTTAATTTGTTTTACAGATTATTGTTACACGTGATTTTATGCTCTTTTAAACATTTATAAATGTGCTGCTTCTTTGTTTTTTATAGAGCTCACAGCCGCAGTGTGTCTTGTGACACAGGGACCATGACAGAAATTCATCTTCCAGAAAGTCCCAGAGCAGCGTCCACACCTCCTGAAAAGACCAAGATGGGAGGTGTCTGCTGTTGATCCCAGCTTCCACCTCAGTGACAGTGCAAGCTCAGTGAACTGTTCAAGGTAAAAAAAAATTAAACATTTCAGAATTTTTAAGATATTAAAAATTAAATAAGTATGTGATTACATCATGACATCATGAAGGAGGCTACTGATTCTGCCCCTGTGACACTTGGTGGTGACATGTGAGCTGATTCACCTGTAAATAACTTTTACATTAAATATTTTGTTTTTGCTATCAAAAGTTAATTAACTAATAACCTGCATTATTGCAGGACACCCAGCAAAATATGGACTCTACACCATGAGGCAGGCACACATTACGCGTTTATTTCATCACGTCTAGACTATTGCAACGCGCTGTACCTTGGTCTTCCTCAGTCTCACCTCTCCCGTCTTCAAATGGTGCAAAATGCAGCAGCACGCCTATTGACGGGTTCGAGAAAGAGGGAGCACATCACCCCAATTTTAGCTTCGCTGCACTGGCTGCCTGTGGTTTATAGGGTCCAGTCCAAGGTTCTTTTATTGGCTTTTAGAGCTGTACATGGCCTTGCTCCGCAGTATCTGTGTGAGCTTTGAGTAACTTTCTCCCCGTTTCGGTCACCGAGGTCAGCCGACCAGTTTCTCCTGGAGGTGCCGAGAACAAAGAGAAAGCTCAGGGGTGATAGAGCTTTCTCAGTAGCAGCAACAAGGTTGTGGAATGCACTCCCGATTCAGATTAGGATGGTTTCATCACTGTTGGGTTTTAAATCACTCTTAAAGACTCATCTGTTCTCATTTGCTTTCAATTCAGTTTGAGAATGCATCTGTTTTAGTAGCTTTTATGTCAGTTTGATACGTTTGTTTTATCATGATTTTACCTTGTGATGAACTTTTTATCTTGTTTTTAGAAATTTTAAGGAACTTCTGTTCGTTTTGTCTTGTTAAGCACTTTGGTCAGCTTTTATGCTGTTATAAAGTGCTTTATAAATAAAGTTGACTTGACTAATACTCTATAAGAGCACATCAGGTGAGCAACACCACATATTATTATTGTACACTGTCCTGGATTAGTTTTCTTTCTGCATCTCATCATTAGCCTGGCTGATCACCTGATAACTCCTGTCATCTGGTTATGACAGCATGAGGATGTCCTCACACACCTGTAACCTATCAGCTCATCTAGCAGAATAGAGAGAAGAGACAACACCACCGAACACTACCGAAAACATTATTTCTTATATTATTTAAGTAATTTCAGGCAGCACACTTTAAACATTATTGCTCACTATAGTGAATAGATGAATGTTCTGTTTTTCAGGGATTTCAAAATCAAAAAGAAATTGAAAACTGTTCTACTGCTTTTATTAAGTAATGGAAATTTTTGTGTGAAGAATCGTGATGCATTTCAGACTCAAATCGAATCGTTAGGCAGATAATCGGAATCGGATCGAATCGTGAGGCAGGTAGAGATGCATACCACTAGTTCCCACCACCACCATTTTAACCGTGTCACACGTCTAACCTCCAAAGCTAAGATGGAGCTCTGTGGCAGCCGACCCGCATGGCTCTCAGGCTTCTGTGCAGGCGGTAGTGGTGCTGGTCGCCTGTGGAGCTCTAATAAGGACTGTAATACAAGCAGAGCCTCAGACCGCTGCGATCTGAGCTGGAGCTCGACATTGCTGCTAAGCCAGGCGCGCTGGCTGCTTACGTCAGCTCGTGCTTCGCTCCTCCACCATGGTCAGAGGTCAGCGGGACATTAGCTACATGCTGACCCAAAGCCAACGGAGGTGTTTTAGCTAGAAAAACACGACGGAGCAACTCAAAAGTAAAGCAGCATCAACTAAAATAACTGCCATGTTTCTGTGGTCTCTCTCAGAGCTCCACAGGTGACCAGCATGACAACAGCTTTGCACGAGCGCCAGGCCACGGCACGCGTCTCCGTTTCCTCGGGAAACCGGAACGGTCAGCCACCTGCTGCTCCCGGCCTGGAGACATGAGAAGCCTGACACCCACTCAAGCTTCTTTACCCAGCCAGCAGCCCCACTAACACGTTTGACCAAGAAGTGTTCCCCCACTCAACCAGCAAAATCAAGTACAGAAATATAAATGTACTTAATGATAAAACAGAATGATCTCTTGGATGATCTATACCACAGCTTACCCTCCTTGTGCAAATAATTCCATGATTGACATCCAAACACGAACACACAGAGGACACAGCTAAAGTTCAGAGAGTTGAAATAGCTGAACATATAACAACGAGGCCCAGGCTGAGGCCTTTCCCCGGAGCTAACTCGCTAGCTCTGACGCTCATGCTACCTGTCAAATCAACTCAAATTATTCATAATTTCAAGCACTTAATTTCACCTTAACAGAAAAGTTTGTTAAAATTCACCCCTCAGACCTAAACTAGACCTATTAAACCTAAAATGGTCTTTTGAACCAGGCTGTTAACATGTTTATTTCTGCTGTGAATTTTAACATGAAAGTGAATGAGGAATTGCTCACTTCTGGTGCCAGCCCCCTAGCGGATGAGGGTGGAACTGCAGGTTTTGGTACTTCCGTGTTGCTTCATGAATTTTTCAGGATTTTCGGGGCTTGGTGAAGGCTCACCTCATCATCCAGCTCCCTCCTGCGATCCTCCTCGGCACACCGTTGGATCTCTTCCTGAATCTCACGAGCATACTCAAAGTCCTGCTCTTCCCTACACAACAACCACTGTGCATTAGTGTAAATAACGAAGCAAGGCGTTGAGTTGTGAGAACACCCGGGGTCACCCACATTTGTCTGGATGTCTGTCTGAGGAGAGCACTGTGCTCTGCCAGGTGCACCTCCTCTTCGTCCTGCATCCTCTTGGCTACACGAATGTCATTCTGCACCAGCTGGTTCTTCTTGATGTTGGTGGTGTAGTACTGCTCAACTGAGGTTAAAGCAAAAATAAATGTGCAACACTGAGTGAAACCAACGAGTCTCCTCCCATTACCTGCTTCTTCTGATGAGTGATGAATAAAATTTATCTGTGCAATGATCAAGAAAATCAACTTGTGAATAAAATGAATCAAAAGACGAGACCGGGTTAGAAGAGAGTGCTGTCTTATGTCCATCCCTTAAGTCGAAACAAGATGAGGCGAGTCAGCTGGTGTACGCACATTAGGGTTGTCACGGTGTGAGAATTTAACCTCACGGTTATTGTGACCAAAATTACCACGGTTTTCGGTATTATCGCGGTATTTTTTTTTTAAACGTGCTACATTTTCACACAATTAAATAAACCCTGTATGTCAGGAAATATTGTCCTCAGTTTGTGTCTAAATTTAGCCTTAAAATGTGTTATTTTGTAATTATGTTGTTTATTTGTTTACACTTTTTCCCTTTAGTCTTTAAAATACCAATATTTGCCCATAACTTCTTATTTTTTGTCTGTTTGATGTCATCATTTTAAAAATATTAGATCAGATGATACTCAGTACTCAAGTAGCCTTCTAATCAGATACTTTTTTACCCTTACTTGAGTAATAATCCCTATATCGGGAAAATATCGTCCTGGGTTTGTGTCCTTCCAGTGAGCTTTGCAGATGTGGGAAATGTCATCAGGCAGTAATCATTGTTAAATTCATAATTATTCTCGGAGAGAGACCAACCCTTATCTGCCCCTGGGAGCCCCGTAATGCATAGCGTCATTTCAACATGGCGGTGTCCGCGACACGGTTTATATGCAGGTAGCGGCGCTGCGGCTGCTTTATATAGCGACTCGTTGCATTCTCCCTCAACCCAAATCCTCGGATCACACATTTTAGCTAAAACGCTAACGTTAGCTTGCCTTGTGTTGCCTGTAGAGTTGTGGGTGATGGTCACGCAGATGTGTCATGAGATTTGAAGCGTTGCTGCCTTTCACAGACACTTTTTCTGCACGTGCTGCAAACAGGATAGCCGTCTTCTATCAGCTGTCCCTCGGCATTCTTCAACTATCCAAAAGATGCCCGTACTTCCCACTTTGTCTTCTTTGAGAGATAATAAATGTCCTCCTGAGCGCTGCCGTCTCCTCCTTTGGCCATTATTTCAGCTTTAGCTTCAAGAAAGTTTTGGTTGTAAACAACAAAGTGCGCATGTGCCGCCGGCAACTTCAGCAGACGATACGGTGGCTGGTAAGGGTCACCGCGCCTACACCGCAGCCACGGTAATCCACCGAGATAATATAGTTTTTTTTTTAAAACAAGACGGTTATTATTATTGTCAACTTTTTTACCGGGATTTACCGCTACACCGGTTACCGTGACAACCCTAACGCACATCACTAAAAAAAACATTTTCGCCATCTAAACATATTAAAATCTCTGACAATAATCACAACTTGTTTAAATTTAAAGAACCACTTGTGCAGCTGACCACAACATTATCAAAAATATTATTTCACAATTCTTGTCCACTTTTTGGTTGCTTTAATCAGAGTGGGCGCAGCTTTGTACACACATCCGATAGCAGGTTAACTTTATACTCACTTTCCTGCTCCTGCAGGCTGTGTGCCAACACTCCATCCTCCAGCACAGCAAAACTCTGGCAAACTGCAACAATAGATGACAGCGGCGTTTCAGTCACAAACAAGTGTTTCACAATGACAGGAAGGGCCAAACAAGTGTTCACTAATGTAGGGAGTTTCACAACAGCGCGAGTAAAATAACAGAAAACTGGATCGGCTTAAAGCGGCCCACTAGACATCCATCCATTCTTCTGCTTACAGACAAATAGGATGTGACAAGCTTTGATAACATAACGTAATGCAACATATAATATAAATATAATAGACAATACAATATGATATCATATCATATCTAGTGATGGGTCCAGCAACAATGACCCACTGGAGCACGGCTCATTAGAGCAACACCCATGTCGTTTAGGAAGTAGTCATGTGACCACTCCAGCTGCTGTTTCGATTGTCAGTGAAGCGTCGACCTGTGTTTAAATGCAGGAGCGTCTCCCTATACGAGATGCGTTTCTGCCACAAGTACATCTTTTGAAGCAAAATAATTCCACTGTTACATCAAGGAGCCAGAAAGAAAATGGAAGGTGGTCCATGAGGGATTGCTCTGTTCATTATTTGTTTTTATTTCCTTGTTTCATCCCTTTTCTCTCAGTTTCTCTCAGAAATTCTTTTCTAAATAATAATTTTTTAAATAATTCAAACTGTTTTCTGCAGATTAAATGTCCCATTTGTTATAATAATATAATGTAACATAAAACGATGTCATACAACAAAGACAAAGCGGCGGATCCACGAGTCGGTGTTTTCATGACAGCAGCTTTGTTGAGGAAGACTTCAGTAACATGCTAGTCAGTTATTTTAATGCTGCCGTCACCATGACTATCAAATTAACATGCAAAGTTTATGAACCACCACCTGAAAGCATTTGCGCTGAGAACTGTGATGACGGCACAAATCTGTCACCATCTGTCTCTGATTCAGTCTGGAACACAAACTCAAACCAGTGTGAGGTAAACCAAGACTTTTCCATCACGCCACATTTTCTCTGTTAAAGGCGCGCTCTAATCCTTTTTCTTATCAGAAATCTCTACAGGTGATTTTGACAGGAGTGAAACACAAAAGTAACGGACAACTCCTGACAAACTGGGACTGAACATAAAATTTCACCTAAAAGTCTTGAGATTTTATGCATCTGAGCATTTGGCCCATGGACAGCTGAGCTGAGCTACACCCATGCCGAGTCCTTCCTGAGCAGCAACAACCTCCATGAGCCCACGTGTTTACACATCTGTCAAACAAAGTCAAGAGTAATTCAGGGGAAAGTAAACACACTGGGCCACTGTGGTGCTGAAGTCTCAGAGCTTACAGACAAAACTGTTTACCTGAATTTAATGAGATAACCCAGAATGGATTGTTGACCTATAATGGAGGCTTTAAATTACACAGTGAGACAAGTGGTATGCAGATAGAGGCAGGACCAAACAACGGCCAGTTAGGAGCTAAATTAAGACAAAGTCAAATAAAAATAATTAAATAATTAAAGCTGCAAGCAGCGTCGTTCGGCCCTCGCAGCTCCGTGCCGCTCCGGCCAGGCCGGCAGCCCGGGGCACCTGAGCACGTCCGCGGAACAGAAACGTCGACCACCATGCCCCGGACACCGCGAACGGTCTCCTCATCCGCACCTCACCCTGACTCAGCACCTCCTCTGACCCCCGCCATTAAATTACGCATCTCACCACTAGGGGATGCTCAATATTTACCACACTGGTGTTGTGACGACACAGACCAAGTTTAATGCTATTCTGGCCAGGTTCTTTGAAGTTATTGAAGGTTAAAGTTATATAGGGGGCGCTGTGACCAATTACATAAAAATCCCATTGAGGTCAGCTTTGGTTGACAAAGATGGTTTTCTGTTATTTTGGCATCAATCAGAAGTTGTGTGTGTTATCTAGAGCCAGAGAGCTGAAAGCGTGTGGAGCTAAATGGATTTGAACCAACAACCACATCGATGTGTTTGGTGCAGTCACGTGATGACATAAGCCAAGTTTGATGCCATTCTGACTTTGTCCTTAGAAGTTCAAAAAGTTTGAACTTATCTAGGGGGCGCTGTGACCCATTACATCTAAATCTCATTAAAGTCATCTTTGGTCATCAAAGATGGTTTTCTGGTAATTTGCCATCAATCAAACGTTGCATGGGTTATTTACATGGGTGTGTCCTCTGTGGAGCCTTCTGCCTGTGATCGGTGGCGGCGGCTGGGGCACTCCTAAGGAAGTGCCCAGGTAGTGGTGGGGGTTGCCACCCTCCCTCCCTGGGCGCCCTGGATTGGTGTCTTAGCTGCTGCCGTCGATCTGCTGCTGTCGAGGCAGACTGCTCCCTTGATGGGGTGTCTTTCATTACCTGTCCAATCCGAGCTCAGCCTAGTGTTTATTGTGGTTTTTTAATGTGTTATGTGGACGAGTGAGTGAATGAGTATGAGTGTGTGTGCGTGTGTGTGTGCCTGGGAATGGTTTGTGGATTGGGGGGGTTGTGTGTGTGAAACTGTCACAATTGTTTTAAGTGTGGGAAAGGGAGGGAATGTGGGCTATATGGGTCATTTTAATCTGGTAAGCACTTTGTGTTGCATCCTATGCATGAAAAGTACTATATAAATAAAGTTTGATTTGATTTGACACAGCCAAAAGGCTGTAAGTGGGCGGAGTTAAAGTGATTTGAACCAGTGAGCACATACATGTAGCACATACATTGATTGCAGTTGCGTGATGACTCCCACCATGTTTGATGTAGTTTGGAGCTTTTTTGTAGAAGTTACAAAGGTTTTATTGTATCTAGGGGGCGCTGTCCCAAATTTACAAAAATATCCCATTGAGCAGTGGGAAGGTTGACATACATGCATGTAGTTTGGTGTGAATTGCATCATGCATGCATTATTCAGGGCCTAATATCTGTCAGGGGTGGAGCTAAAGTGATATCAACCAATGACCACAGGATTGTTTTGAGTCCCTTTGTGTGATGACACATAGCAAGTTTGGTGCAGTTGTGACCTCGCCTGTAGAAGTTATTACAGCTTTAAAGGTATGTAGGGGGCGCTGTGGTGATATTATACAACTTTCACCAACCGTTTATGCCTCGTTGGCTAAAGGGCATGATTGTTGATTGCCAAGCTTAGTCTCGTGCAGATCGAAGGTTGTTTGTGGAAGATACAGTCAAACGCAAGGTCACGGTGTCACGCCAGAATTTGCCATGACATCAAAGCCCCTCTCTTTCTGGAAAGCTATCAGAACTGAATGGTCATTACAGCATCATGAAGACAGTGCATGACCTTAGTGTCATGTTGATTAAATTAGAGGGGACAAATATGGGCATTTCAACATAAAACAACAGACTTCCTTTTGTCAGGGGGCGGGGCTTAGGTGATGTCAGCTGTCCACATTGTCATTGTCTTGAGATGTGGTCAGTGATCACACAGACAAAGGTCGACATAGATCTGATCGTGCGCGTTGGAGTTATTACGTCAAGGAATGTAATGACGAAAGGTCAAAGTTTGAGGCTTAGCCACGCCCACACCTTTCACCTGTAAAAAATCCGACCGTTGAATTTTTCCCCCTATGTCTTAAGAGTATATAGCAGAAGAAGGTGATTGTTGAAAGGGGCAACGGGGCATTACTCTCCAAACCTGTGCGAAAACCACTAAATCGAGTACTCTAGTGTGATGTCATCATTTGACCATTCATTGTTTTTTGGGTATGGATGACAATAAAAACACAGAATATTGTGTAATTTTATTCCTTTCAGTAATGAATTTATAACCTTTTTTTTTAGCGAATACTGAAATTTTTAGGCCTGGCCCCGCCCCCTCAATATACACTAAAAGTAAATTTTATTTGGCTGTTTTTATCGCCCATCCCTTATGAGCCATCACACACAAATTCATGTGTCAATCATCCAAAAACTGAAGCAGAAGGACATCTAATGCTGACCCTGAAAACCGTCTTTTCGGGCTCAAAATGGCGTTTGGATAATTTATGGCCGACTTCCTGTTATGTTAACCACATGGCTGCAAGAGACTTTTCTGTGCATCTGGGGGAGAACTGCAAGTGTTATAAATGTCAAACCCTTCTATGAAAAAAGGTACATTAGGGTGCTAATTTTTCTGCTTCCAGGGGGCGCTGTCGAGCCATTTTTTTTTCGGCATATAAAATACAATTTTTTTTGCAGAACCTGCATTCAGCCAACATTCGGTGCTTTCCCAGTATGGCAAAGGCTCCAAAAAGGCCCTTCTTTTGTATATAGAATAATAATAATAATAAACAGAGCAATTGCAATAGGCCTTCGCAGCTTCGCTGCTCGGGCCAGTGAACAAGAGAACAGCTTTTATCCCTGGATGTGAGAATCCAGCTGCAGCCTCAACACACCGCCTGTGTGACTGAAAGCATTCTGCCTCTTTCCAGCCTTGGAATCGGTGTTACCGTGTTTGGGCTCCTAAGAGCTGCCTGGAATGTTTATGAACCCGATTTCATTCTAACTCCGGTATAAGCTTCTATAACTGGACAACAACCAATACAACTGGTTTTAACGTTTACAGAACAGAAACTACATCTTGCTCAAGAGGTTTTAACAGTCACAGAACTAAGAACATCTACGTCAATCCATCTCCTACACACATGCCACCAGTTACACCGTCTGGTCACATTATACCCAAACGCTGTTTGTCTGTAAATGAAATAGGAGCTTTTGCTGCTCAGAACTGTACCTGGGGTGACATTTCTAGAGTATCACCCAACAAAGTTTATAGAAATCATCCAGACAGAAGTAAGCCCCCAAAAGATCAGTTTACACCACAAATGACCCCATAATCCTCACTGGGGTTAACTTTACCAACAGACACATTCATCATCTCCTCCACCTGTTGTGGAGCTTAAGAGAATATCCACTAAATGGATAAATGAGGTGCCTGTGAGGGAACGGGGCGAAATCAAACTCTCCGTTCCACCCAGAGGGACAAACAGACAGGTCCAAACGGTTTTAGTGTGTGACCAGCGCAGAAGGAAAGAGTGAAAGATGGAGAGGTGGAGAAAATAGTTCACTTGTTTGGTGTATGTGCGTGTGTGTGTGTGTGTGTGTGTGTGTATGTATGTGTGTACGCGTGTGTGTGTGTGTGTGTGTGCATGTGTATGTGCGTGTGTATGTGCGTGTGTATGTATGTGTGTATGCGCGTGTGTGTGTGCGTGCATGTGTATGTGCGTGTGTGTGTGCATGTGTATGTGCGTGTGTATGTATGTGTGTATGCGTGTGTGTGTGCATGTGTGTGTGCATGTGTGTGTGCATGTGTGTGTGCGCGTGTGTGTGTGTATGCGCGTGCGTGGATGCGGGTGTGTATGTGTGTGTGTATGCGCGTGTGTGTGTGTGTATGTATGCACGTGTGTGTGTGTATGCGCGTGTGGATACGGGTGTGTATGTGTGTGTGCGCGCGCGTATGTATGTATGTGTGAGTGTGTGAATGTGTGTGTGTATGTATGCGGGTGTGTATGTATGTGTGCGTGTGTGTGTGTGTGCGTGCGCATGCATGGATGCATGTGTGTGTGTGTGTGTGTGTGAATGTGTGTGTGTGTATGCGCGTGTGTATGTGTGTGTATGCGCGTGTGTATGTATGTGCGTGAGTGTGTGTGTGTGCATGCGTGGATGCACGTGTGTATGTGTGAATGTGTGTGTGTGCGCGTGTGTATGTATGTGTGCGTGTGTGTGTGCGCATGCGTGGATGCGCGTGTGTATGTATGTGTGCGTGTGTGTGTGCGTGCGCATGCATGGATGCATGTGTGTGTGTGTGTGTGTGTGTGTGTGTGAATGTGTGTGTGTGTATGCGCGTGTGTATGTGTGTGTATGCGCGTGTGTATGTATGTGCGTGAGTGTGTGTGTGTGCATGCGTGGATGCACGTGTGTATGTGTGAATGTGTGTGTGTGCGCGTGTGTATGTATGTGTGCGCGTGTGTATGTATGTGTGCGTGTGTGTGTGCGTGCGCATGCATGGATGCATGTGTGTGTGTGTGTATGCGCGTGTGTATGTGTGTGTATGCGCGTGTGTATGTATGTGCGTGAGTGTGTGTGTGTGCATGCGTGGATGCACGTGTGTATGCGTGGATGCACGTGTGTATGTGCGTGTGTGTGCGCGTGTGAATGTATGTGTGCGTGTGTGTGTGTGCGCATGCGTGGATGTGCGTGTGTATGTGTGAATGTGTGTGTGTGCGCGTGTGTATGTATGTGTGCGTGTGTGTGTGTGTGCGCATGCGTGGATGCACGTGTGTATGTGTGAATGTGTGTGCGTGCGTGTGTGTATGTATGTGTGCGTGTATGCACATGTGTATGTATGTGTGCGTGTGTGTGTGTGTATGTATGTGTGCGTGTGTATGTGTGAATGTGTGCGTGCGTGTGGGTGTGTATGTGTGAATGTGTGTGCGTGCGTGTGTGTATGTATGTGTGCGTGTATGCACATGTGTATGTATGTGTGCGTGTGTGTGTGTGTATGTATGTGTGCGTGTGTATGTGTGAATGTGTGCGTGCGTGTGGGTGTGTATGTGTGAATGTGTGTGTGTGTATATGTGTGCGCGTGTGTGGATGCGGGTGTGTCTGCACTGTGGCCTAACTTGTTTTCCAAACTCCTCTGCACCATGATCACATTACTTCTCTATGTAGTGAAGAGTGCTTAACTGGTTTTGGAAGAACAGGAATGATGCATTCAGGGTCAGCGGTAAAAAACATATGTTCAGTGCCAATCCAGGGGTGACTACCGTAAGCTCCTTAATACGGAGCCGGGTCTGTTTTCTAAGAGGATAGTAAATCAACCAGCCGGCCTGCAAAAGCACCTGGCAGCAGTGTTTGAACACAAATACGAGCGAGAAAGAAACCGGATTAAACTACCAGTCCATACCAGAAGCGTGTTTTTTTTCTCTAGGGTTTTGCAGAACACCAACTATAGCAAAAATGAGAGATAGAACTATGCAGCTTACATGAAGCATCCAACTGGGAGCAGCCAATCAAAGGTGGACATAAATGTTGTCTCTATGTTTTTACAGCGACTTGGACAGCAGCAGGGCCAAATGCCAGAAACCAGCAAACGGAGAAAATGACAAGCGTTCTATTTTCAGCCAAAATCGTCTACAAACCGCCCACATGCCCTCGGCTTTTCCTCCTCTCTGGGCTGTTTTGTGCTTATTCTCGCGTTTCCCCGCTCGCTCTCGTTTTCTATAAGAATTTTGATCCCGAACTGCCCGACAGCTCTACGTATGACAAACCCATCACACTGGGCCAGAGAGCTCACAAATCGGACCTTGCAGTCACGAGGAACAAAGAGAGGTGAGGGGCTGAGAGTCAAATTAGGAAGGAGTGGGAGGTGGGGGAATTCCTCTGGGAGCAGCATTCCTTCGGCACATCAGGCTATATCGGGAAGGGCCAACACAGG